CTAGTAGCTTAATCTTTCACTAGTGATCTACAAGAAAGCCACTAACAATCTTTCTCTAAAAATATGAGTTTTGACTCTAGTAAGATTTAAACCTTCACCAGTCACCTGCCTATATGAGAGAGAATAAAATAAGTACGCAAATATCCTTATAAAGTGACATCATCATGCTACCTCTTGATAAATAAAGGATATTTTAGATATTAAAATTTTTAAAAATATTTCAAAAAAAGTGTGACTATAATTTAGTCCCACATCGATTGTAGGTTGAATTCTAGAATGAATATATAGTATTATGAGATTTGAGAATTAATGAGTCCCTTTCTTACATGTGTATGACCACTCCTTACCCCACGCTCGACTGACCACCTATGACATAGAAAGAGAGTAATATATATGTGCCTCCACTACTCCATAGCTACTCAAGCCTTACTCGTGGCTCCACTTCGATTGTGCTAACAACCTACTTGCAAGCCTGATTGCCTGATAGGTTCCCCTCTTTTTATATCTTTTTATTTATCTTAAAAAAAGATTATAATAATTATATAAAATTTTAGAAAATTACATAATTAACTAAATAATTAAATTAACTAACTGAAAATTACTTTTTATAATTTAACATAAATATAAGTCTATTTATCATGAGTTAAGGCTAAAACTCTATTATTTATTAATTATTAACTCATGATAATGAAGACTTATCACTTACCCAACATCAGATTCAACATGAATGATGTGGAAGATGAGTGATACACTTGCTCTACATAGGTCTTTAGCCACTCATGCTAAACACGTGGCTCCTCCAATTGTGCTTCTCACTCGCATATAGCTCTATATAGAGTACTAATTTGTAGCAATTGTCTCCCCCCCCTTTTTTGGAGTTTTTTTATTTTATTTTTTATTCATTTTAACTTGAATGTAAATATAAAAACCATATAACATCACATAATTAACCAAAATTTCATGTTAACTACATAAAAATATACAAACTTTTATACCTAAAATCCTTTTCCAAATAATTTAATATTTCAATGCTGAAATACACTTGATTTCCTTGGGTTCAAAAACTCATTACACCACCAAACTCCACTAGCATGTTATTACTCCACCTAAAATCCTAAGGACTAATAATCATAGATCTCCCTCATTATATACATGTTAGATGTGCCTCAACAATCTATGTGATTCCATTATTGATACATCCAATTTATTTTAAAAAATCATAATCAATCACAATAAAAATAATAAATCATCTTAGAACTATTTGGTTTTAGCCCAAATTGAGATCAAAAAGAGGGAGATTGAATTGATCTATTATTTTTTATGTTATATATTATATATTTTATAAATCAATCTTCTCATTACTTTTTTATTTATTTAATCTTATTTTATTAGTAAACATAACACTAAGACTTTTTATAGTCATTCAATTTAGTGTCTACTTCTAGTGATAAAGAATAAATAATATTATTAGGTTCCATTAATTATGATTATCTAATCAAAAACTTTTAATTATCGAGCTCAACTCCTTTAGAATCACTCTAAATTATTCTACTAAATTCCTGAATTTAGATGGCCAACAATTACATATAAAGATAGCTCTTATATAACTAAATGAATATTCAATTTCACATTTAGCCCATTACAAGTATTAAGGATATAACCCTTAGATATTTCCAAAAGATGATGTTGAATTTAATGAAGATTGAAATTTTGATGAAGAAGATGATGATTAAGAATTGAATATTAATACCTTCTGCCCATTAAAAATGCTGACAAAAGATGGAATATGTTGCTGTTTGGTCTAGTTGAGGATTGTTATTGAATACTTAAATAATGTACCTCAACTTTAGTGACTTTACATAATTTGACTAATTAGCAAGTAATTCAATACAACTCTCAAGATTGTTGAGGGGATACAAATGATTTTTCAGCACTAATTAGTCATTGAGAATGTGTTATATTTATAAAAATATATATATTTAAAATCCTTCTATATTTTTTATCATCTCACAATGGTTATATTTCCAAAAATGATTAGAGATTCAAATAGTTGAAAAATATATAATATACCTGCTAATGTTTAGGATATCCTCATAAGAAATTAATATATATTTTCATTAATAACGACATATATATTTGAATGATATGGTTCAATGAATAGATAAGTATTTGATATCATTAAAATAAAGACACAATATATAGATAAATAATATGGTGATTTAGTAATCAAATATCATTAGAATCACTTCAAATAAACTATCATCAATTAAACATCTTCAACCATGATTTCAATATTTAAAATTATGGCTTTGACGATTCAAGCTATCTAAAATATTTTTTATAATATTTATTAATATTTAAAAATCTTGTCTAACATAATTTGTAGTCTAAATTCAGTCAATTAATGTGATATCAGAAGTATTCAAAATTGGTGATCTAATATCACAAGGATATGGTAGATTGAGTGAGTTTTGATATAATAATTTACTTCACATGATCTCATTTAGATGCCTTAATCATTACTTTCTCACTCTAGCATATTATATAAATATTGACACTTTTTATAGTCACATAAAACATGATAAATTCATATAATAAAATTAATTAAATATATAAATTTAGTATTATTGGTCACAAGTCTATTCAATGAATTCTCATCTAAATATTTAATAGTATTATTTTGAAAATATATGTGACCAATTTCATACTTAACCTCTTATAAAACATATTCAAAATTAAGCATAATTTACGAAGAATTAAGCTAATGGAGGAAGCACTTAAGATCATATTTTATGTGCATATCTTTTTCAAAGGAGTCTTTATGTCCTTTGTGAATCTTTGGAAGTTTAAGAGGAGGTGGTGTAGAAATTTCGTTTTATTTCTTCTTTGAATAGTAAGACATGAGACTAGGCTTCCCCTTTTATGTCTTTCATCAAGACTAACAATCAACTTAGGTGGACCTTACAAGACTACAAAAAATATAAAGAATTATTTGTAAGATTTGTAAGAAATTGATGGATGGGGTGGGGTCTCCCCTTTTTGTGCCTTGGTTGTGAGTTTTATTCTCCTTCATTTTTTATGTACCTTGTCTCCTCACTCAAAGTGGCTTTTCGTCTCTCATTTTCCTGGACGTAATAAGTCTCTCATTTTCCTGGAGATCGTCTCTCTCCCTCCCTCTCTCTCTCTCTCTCTCTCTCTCTCTCTCTCTCTCTCTCTCTCTCTCTCTCTCTCTCTCTCTCTCTCTCTCACACACACACACACACACACACACAACATGCTGGAAGCGGAGGCGGTCCCTCATGACGATCTCCCGGCGGAACGACCTCGAGATGGCCTCGGTCAGCGCGTGGAAGTCGCGGCAGACCCGCAGGTTCTTCACCATGCGAATGGCGGCGCCCTCCGGCGTCCTCGACAGCCCGAAGGCGATTGCCAGCAGCTCGCCATGGACTCCCCCGCCGCCGCCTTCCTCCCACCTTCCCTCCAGCGAGACCCGCCCTAACATCTCCCTCACCTTCGCCTAGATCTTCTCCATCTCGCGGTGCGAAGTGTCGCCGGCCACGAATCGTCGCCACATGCCGCCGGCGACCTCGTCCCAGCACCAGCCGCAGCCCGTCTTTCCCCCCTCATCCTGGTCCTTCGCCGCCTTCCTCATCCTCGCTACGCCCTCCCCGTCGCCGGCGCCGGCGTAGATCGCCGCCATGAGCAAGCAGTCACCCCTGTGGCGAGCCCCCGCGCGTGGTAGCCCGCCCATCGCCAGCTCCCCAATCCGCACGTCCCCGTGGATCTTGGGCGCTCAGTAGCGTCCGCCAGAGCACCGCACGTCCAGGAAAATTTTCTGCATGATGCGCATTACTGGCCAGAGACTGGCCAGTTAGTTATTTCTTACGGTTATTTCTTTCCCCCTTTGTTTTCTTATTTTAAAGGACTGTAAGAGTCTTTAACTGCCGTTGTCTCTCCGGCGAGTTTCTGACAAGTGTATTCGTGAGGTGAGCGCCGGGACCGGGTTCCCAATGCTCACCAAGACCAACTACTCCGACTGGGCGCTGCTCATGAAGGTCAAGCTCAGAGCCCGGTCGCTCTGGACCGCCATTGAGAAAGGGGGCGTCGAACCCATGAAGACATGCAGGCGCTCGACGCGCTCTGCAGCGCCGTGCCGCCGGAAATGTGGCCGGTGATCGCGGACAAGGAGACGGCCAAGGAGGCCTGGGAGGTTATCGCCACCATGCGGATCGGCGATGACCGCGTAAAGAAGACGTCAGCTCAGAACTTCCGGCGACAGTTCGACGCGGCGACGTTCAAGGAGGGAGAGGCTGTTGAGGACTACGCGCTGCGTCTCAACAGCATGGCGTCGACTCTCACCACCCTCGGCGACAAGGTCGAAGAGACGCAGGTAGTGGAGAAGATAATCCGCAGTGTTCCCCAGCGTTTCAGGCAGATCGTGGTCGTGATCACGATGCTACTCGACGTGTCGACGCTCACCGTCGCGGATTTGACGGGTCGGCTCAAGGCGGCGGAGGATGCCTTCGAGAAACCGCCGTCGGCTATGCACCACGACGGCAAGCTGTACCTGACCGAGGAAGAGTGGGACGCACGGCGGAGGAAGCGTGATGCTAAGAAAACTGGTGGTGGAGGTAGCAGCAACGTGACGCATCGTGGTGGACATGGGTGCGGGCGCGGGCGCGGCCGTGGCAGCGACAAGGGCTTGTCATCAGGCGGCCTGACGGGCAACTCAAGCCGGCCCAGCGGTGCTGAGTGCAGGAGATGCGGGAAGCTGGGCTACTGGGCCCGCGGGTGCCGCTCCAAGCCCAAGAAAGAGTAGGCCCACGTCGTCCAGGATGAGGAGGAGGCCTCGCTCCTTCTCGTAAAGTCAACGACGGCCATATCGACGGCGCCGCCACCAACCTTCACTCCACCACGTTTTGCTGCGACTCCGCAGGCAGAGGATCGGCTCCGACGTGCACGGCCTCCTCCGCCGCGAAAGCGGGGACGCCGCCGCCGTCATGGCGTCGCGGCTGGCGGGCGCCTACGCTGCCCTCGGCGGCGTCCGCGAGGCCCAACTGGTCTTCCCCCCCGGCAGTGCCACCACCGCCGCCTGGAACTTCGTCCTCCGGCGAGCCGTCGAGGCCCGCCGCTTTCCGGTCGCGTTGGCAATCTTCCGCTCCATGCTGGCGGCGGGTCCGCCGCCGGACGGGTACACGTACCCGTTGCTCCTCAAGTCCTGCGCCGACTCGTCGGCACTGGAGCGGGGCCGGGAGATCTACCGCTCCATTGCAAGACCCAACGTGTTCGCACAGTGCGCCGCGGTGGACATGTTTGCCAAGTGCGGGAGCATGGAGGAAGCACGGAGATTGTTCGAAGAAATGCAGCAGAGAGATCTGGTCTCCTGGACGACGATGATCTGCGGGGCCATGCAGAATGGGAGCTGGTCGGAGGCGTTGACTCTGTTCAAGAGGATGAGATCGGAAGGGTTGGGTTTTGACTCGGTGACTCTGGCGACGGTGGCGCCGGCCTGCGGGCGGGTGGCGGCGCCCCTGCTCGGGATGGCCCTCCACGGCGGCGCCATCGCCGGCGGGGTTGCGGAGGACCTCTGCGTGCTGAATTCTCTGATCGATATGTACTGCAAGTGCGGGCTGATCCGCCTGGCTGAGGCCGTCTTCTCCGCCATGGAGCTCAGGGATTCCATCTCGTGGAGCACCCTGATCACCGGGTACTCGCAGAACCACCAATACTCGCAGAGCTCGCGCCTGTTCGCCGCCATGATCGCCGCCGGCGCGCGGCCGAGCTCAGTCACTCTCGCCGGCGCGCTCCCCGCCTTCTCCGGCTTGAAGCTGCTGCACCATGGGAAGGAGATCCATGGCTACGCCGTGAGGAACCTCTTCCACCTCGACTCCTTCGTCGCCAGCGCCATGATCGACCTCTACAGTCACTGCGGCGCCCTCGCCAAGGCGGAGTTCGTCTTCGCCGGTGGAAGAGGAGGACAGGACCTGGCCGTCTGGAACTCGATGATCAGCGGCTACGCCATGGCCGGCGACCCCAGCTCGGCATTCGAGTCTCTGCGGGCCCTACTCCATGCGGGGCTCCGGCCGAGCTCGGTGACAGTCGTGGCGGTCCTTCCGTTGTGCGGCCGCTGGACGATGCTCCACCGGGGGAGAGAACTACACGGATATGCGACCCGCAGCGACCTGCTCTCCGCCACCACTGTGAGCAACTCCCTGATCGACGTGTACTGCAAATGCGGCCTCCTGAGCGAGGGGGAGAAGCTGTTCCAGAGGGCACCGCGCAGAGACGCCGTCACCTTCAACGCTATGATCGCCGCCCTGGGGATGCACGGCCACGGCCGCCGCGCCGTCGCCTGCTTCGCCGCCATGGGAGAGGAGAAGATCGAGCCCGACAAGGTCACCTTCGTCGCCCTCCTCTCCGCCTGCAGCCACGCGGGGCTCGTCGACGAGGGGCTTGGCTTCTTCCGCTACATGGTCGAAGACAGAGGTATCAGGCCGGAGATGGAGCACTATTCCTGCATAGTCGACCTTCACGGGAGGTCTGGACGCTTGGACGAGGCCTGGGATTTCATCAGGAAGATGCCGGTGGAGCCAGAGATTGATGTGCTGGGGAGCCTGCTCGGAGCTTGCAGAGTTCACCAGAGGGAGGACCTCGCTGAGCTCGTGGGGGGCTGGATCATGGAGAAGAAGGAGGCCGTTGACCCGGGGTACCACCTGCTGCTGGCCAACACGTACGCCTGGTCTGGGAGGTGGAGCGAGGCAGCGGGGGTGAGGAGGATGGTGAGGGAGAGTGGGCTGAGGAAGAGGGTTCCCGGCAGCAGTTGGATTCAGGTTGGCGCCGCCGCCCACCGCTTCTCTACGAGGGAGAGGTCGCACCCGTTGACGGAGGAGATGAACGAGACCCTGAGGAGCTTGCTCTGCCAGATAAAGGACCAAGGGTACTCCCTCGACGTGGGCTGCGTCCTCCTGCCCGAGCTCTCCGAGCAGATAGATGCCGATGAGGCCTCTGAGTGATTGACTGACTTTGAGGATCAACCTGTCCGCCCAGACAGTCGGATGCTGCTACCTACAGCTTCGACCAGGTCAACCCATGATCTTTCCCCCAGATAAAGATCTCAACTTGATCCGGTTCTGGAATTAGAGAGAGCTAGGTCTTCCAGATTTTCGTGTCTCTGATGTTGGTCTCTCTCTCTCTCTCTCTCTCTCTCTCTCTCTCTCTCTCTCGGAAGATAAGAAACCATTTTGATGAGATTATCGGGTGGATATTATTGGGCTTCAAGGTTTCCAACCGGCCCATTATCTCCCCTCCGCTCCGTATCTCAATTTTCTGATTATTTATTATTTTTTTAATAAGAAGAGTTGCTGGGCCTACTGGGGTCACGTCGGACTTCGGCGCCTCCGAGGGTATTAGAGGGTAGCATTTACGTAATTTTTTTGGTAATTAGGAGCCTTTTGGTATTGACTCAACTCCTGACCTGCCCCGTTGAAGATAACGAAATCTCCCTGGCGAAGCCTAGCTTTTACCCCTCACTCTCTCTGGGACCTGGTGGGTGATGGCGTCGTCGTCGGCGCCGGCGGCGATCTCCCTTCTCCACTTCTCTTCTGGTCCGCCCCGTCGTCGGGCGGTGGGCTACCGAGGCCCCATTCAGTGTTCCATCGCCGGCAAGCCAGCGGTGACCACGTCGAGTGACTCCTCATCGGGGGGCGGCGAACCAGTGGGGCGGTTCCGCGCTGACTGCGTTGTGGTTGGCGCGGGGATCAGCGGGCTCTGCACGGCGCAGGCGCTGATCGTGCGACCGGTCGGGGGGGGCAAGGGTACGCCGGAGGTGCTGGTGACCGAAGCGAGGGATAGGGTCGGAGGCAACATCACCACTGTGGAGAGAGACGGGTACCTGTGGGAAGAGGGCCCCAACAGCTTCCAGCCTTCGGACGCCGTTCTGACCATGGCTGTATTGTGGCTTCCCGCTTCTTCTTCTGTTTCCATTTTTTCTTGTAATTTGTTTTAGTCGATCGGTTATCTTCATGATTGATTTTTCCATTTTTTCTTGTAATCTGTTTACACTCTATTGATTTTCCCAGGCTTACTTTTTCGAAAGGTTTCTGCTGATTTATGTTACTTTGTCAATTTTTCACTGCATCAAAAATCTAGCATATTTTCTTGCTCCCAGTTGCGTACTTGTAAAGATGAGGACCTCCGTTTTCTGCTCTTTCATTTCAAGCGGTGCTATTAGCTGTTTGGTGGGTTCCTTTTTGCTTTGGTTTCATCAGCTAGAAACAACCTGAAAACATCTGATTTCACTTGGTACTCTGCCCCTAGAGATTTCCCGTTTTCTCCTTAGATCCGTCTCATTTCAGTCCATTTGTGTAAGAATCCTGATGAGAAGACCCCGTTCCTGTTTTCTCGCCCAGTGTCTTTGTCATTGTACACCATGCCAATGTTTATGTCATATTGGTCCCTTCTCGATACATGGCCTCTTCCACGAAGTTATTAACTCAACATGAAGAGAATTAACTTGAGGAACTACTTATCTACTGGTTTTTCTTCTTCTTTTTTTACGTTAATATCGAGGAAATAAAAGTTTCTCTGATCTAGTTCTTGCCATCGCGATCCACGTGTAATAAGACTGGAGTAGTGTTTCAAACTTTCAATTGTAAAAAGGCAAGTAAAGTTACCCGGTGCCCAAGTGGCAGCTAAGAGTCATATGTGTCATTGTGCTTGATTTCATGTAAACTATACGTTCTGATTAAGCGCAGACGTATTATTCAAATTGGAGCAAAGTTGAATACATTGTGTACAATCGTAAATGGACAATAATGGATGTCTGTCGGATCTGTTGCTGGGCAGATTTTTATGTGACAGCTTGTCGAATTAATATAAAATCACGACAGTCTACGTATGTAGTGTATATGTGCTGAGGATGGCAACCTATTTGAAGAGCTTTGTGTGCCAGAGACGCTCTTATGTGCTTGGATAATTAATGAATTACTTTTGACTAACATTTTATTCAAGGTGATCGTAAATGGACAATAACATTTTATTCAAATTACTTTTGCCCTTTTTTGATATCTGAGTATTCAAGGTGGTTGCTTCAGTTCTTACATGCTGACTGACATACGAAACATGTCCGCAGGTTGATTCTGGTTTAAAGGATGACCTTGTTCTGGGTGATCCAGATGCACCCCGTTTTGTTCTTTGGCAAGGAAAGCTGAGGCCGGTGCCGGCAAAGCCAACTGATCTCCCTTTCTTTGACCTGATGAGCATCGGAGGCAAACTGAGGGCTGGGTTTGGCGCTATTGGACTTCGTCCTCCTCCACCAGTTTGTCATTGAACCCTTTTTATTCATTCTTTAGACAATCTTTTCCCCGAGTAAATCTTTCTCATGAGGAAGATTCCTGCAAACATTTCAGTCTCGGGAGGAATCAGTTGAAGAATTTGTCCGCCGTAATCTTGGTGATGAGGTGTTTGAGCGCTTAATAGAGCCTTTCTGTTCAGGTGCCTCACCAATCTCTAGCCGTAGTTCGTTTGCATATAACGTTTGCATATAGTCATCAACTTCTTTACGATAGAGAACTGGTGTTCCTGCAGGCGTTTATGCCGGTGATCCTTCCAAGCTCAGCATGAAAGCTGCATTCGGGAAAGTCTGGAAGCTGGAGCAGACCGGTGGTAGCATCATTGGGGGCACTTTCAAAGCAATTCAGGAGAGATCAAAGAACCCCAAGCCTCCTCGAGATCCGTAATGAGATATCTCTTCAAGTGTCTCTCTATCTTATGCATTAGATCAGTTTATTGTCTTCCTTTCTACAGCACACTGATTCATCTTCTGTGCAGACGACTGCCAACACCAAAAGGACAGACCGTGGGTTCTTTCTCCAAAGGGCTCGCCATGCTCCCCAATGCAATTGTATCCAGGTATTCCGTTCATATGCCTGGTTTAGAAGTACCATCTTTCAGAAGGTAAAGCACTGCTGCATGAGGTTTACATTCTGAGCTGCAATTCAGCGCCTAATCACTGATGCCATTCTGTACCGCTTCGTTTTGATATCCTAAGACGAGACATTTTGACATGTGAAAGCCCGTGGAATCGGAGATGGGTTGTGGAGTTTTTAGTAGTCCGCCTTTAGTTTTTCAGGCTGGGCGACAGAGTCAAATTGTCTTGGAAGCTCGCGAGCATTGAGAAATCGGAAGGCAAGGGATATGTCTTGACCTATGATACTCCAGAGGGAGTGGTCTCTGTCGCTGCTGACTGCGTTGTCCTTACCGTGCCGTCGTACATCGCCAGCAACTTGCTGCGGCCTCTATCCGTACGTTGGGTTCTCTTCCTCATTTTGCTGAACGGTTCATCTGATTTACAGTTAATATGATCAATCTTTTCATTCGCTCTCATCCTTCTCATGAGATGAAATTGCTTCGGCCCGCGTTGACTCTTAGGGATTGTTTTTGACCAGAATGATGCTGCGGAGGCCCTCGCCAAGTTCTACTATCCTCCTGTGGCGGCCGTGACGATTTCATATCCATCCGAGTCGATTCGGAGCGAGTCTCTGATCGACGGCCAGCTCAAGGGCTTCGGCCAGCTGCACCCCCGCAGCCAGGGAGTTGAAACCTTGGGTATGATCCATCGTATCACATTTTTCCCTCTGACCTACGTTTTATCCGAAATATATATAAGGCTTAGTGATCCGAGCGATTCCACAGCACGCAAGTCAGTCGCTAATTTATTTATTTATTTATTGTCACATTTATTAGGGTCATTCCTCTGTTCTCTGATCTTGTTTCCTGCTCAATTTATTCTGTCTACAGGGACCATCTACAGCTCCTCTCTATTTCCCAACCGGGCTCCCCCCGGCAGGGTGCTCCTCTTGAACTACATCGGCGGCGCCACCAACGCCGGCATTGTGTCCAAGGTAATCGAACCCAAGGCTCCTGCAAATCCCTGTCAACGAGTTTTTGACCGTGCAGGGATTGTAGATCGGAGCTTAGCGATGCAATTTTTTGCTGCATGAATTTCCCTCCCTGTTTTCAATAATCGAATGGTATTTTCATTGTTTGACCTTGTTGCCGCGGGTGGGGGTGGTTTGCAGAGCGAGAGCGATCTGGTGGAGTCCGTTGACCGGGACCTGAGGAAGATGCTCATCAAGGTCAACGCCGTGGAGCCGCTGGTCCACGGGGTCCGGGTGTGGCCGCAAGCCATCCCCCAGTTCCTCGTTGGCCACCTCGACCGCCTGGACGCCGCCAAGAGCGCCCTCAGCAGGGGCGGCCTCGACGGGCTGATTCTAGGAGGCAACTACGTCGCCGGCGTGGCCCTCGGCCGCTGCGTGGAGGGCGCCTACGAGACCGCCGCCCAAGTCTCCTCCTTCCTCTCCAGATATGCTTACACCAGCAGCTAGGCCTCTCTCTCTCTCCCCCCGCACCCGCCCACCTGGTTTATTTTATTTTTTGTTCAAGGAAAAAAAAGGGACCTCCTTTCTTTTCCATGATGAGGGAATTTCTGATATCTATTTATGCTTCTTTGTTTCGACCCTCGGGCGTTTGATCGATGCAGTGTGATGTAGTGCTCAAAGAGGGTACAGTTTTCCGGCCGCCGGTGAAGTCTCTCGCCGCGGCGGGATCTTGACCTAATGAGCTGCGGCGGCGGCAGCTGCGGTGCGGCGGTGGTTGCAGGCCCTGCTCTCGGCGGCGCCGCCCATCTGATATCCCTGCTCAGGAAGGCTGGCGCGAGCAGGCGGCGGGCGCGCCAGGTACACGCCCAGGCCGTCCTCCGGGGGCTCGCCGCCGTGCCGCGGCTGTACGCCGCTCTCGTCGGCGCCTACGCCAACGGCGGCGCCGCCGACGATGAGGGATTGATGCTGCTCGCCGCCGCCGTGGCTCCTCCCTCCGCCACCGCCAGGCTCATCGCCTATACCACCCTCGTCGCCCACTTCTCCCGCCGGCGCTGCCAGCCCCTCAAGGCCCTCGCCCTCTTCTCCGACCTGCGGCGGGGGGGCCTCCGTCCGAATCAGTTCACCTTCTCCGCCGTCTTCCCGGCGTGCGCCGCCGTGGGGGCCGTCGCCGCCGGGGAGCAGGTCCACGCCCTCGCGCTGAAACAGGGCCTCCATCTCGACCTCTTCCCCGGCAGCGCCGCCGTCGACATGTACGCCAAATGCGGCGCCGTCGATCTCGCCGGCAAGCTCTTCGGCGAAATCCCCCACAGAAGTGCCGTCACCTGGAACGCCCTCCTGGTGGGCCTCGTTCACAACCAGCGGCACGCACAGGCGCAGGCCTTCTTCAGGGAGATGATGGCGGAGGGGGGCTCCGTCGTCCCCGACGAGGTCTCCTTCTCCAGCGCGCTCTGCGCGTGCGCCGCCGGCGCGGCCGGCGCCGCCTACGGACAGCAGGTGCACGCCGTTGTCGTCAAGCTCGGGGCGGACTCCGCCGTCTACGTGAGCAACGCCCTGGTGGACATGTACGGCAAGCGCGGTTACCTCGCGGAGGCGGAGGGGGTCTTTGGCGGCGCCGCCACCAGGGACGCCGTCGCCTGGAACGCGCTCGCCATGGCCTGGCTCCGGCGAGCACGCTTCGAGGAGGCCGGCAGCTGCTTCCGGGCCATGGCGAGGGAGGGGGGCGTCTCCCCCGATGAGGCTTCCCTCTCCACGGCCCTCCACGCCGCCGCGGCCCTAGCGGTGCCGCCGCTGGGGGCCTCCCTCCACGGCCAGGCCCTGCGGCGAGGCCTCGCCAGCGACCCCTCCGTGGGCAGCTCCCTGATCACAATGTACGCCCGCTGCGGCGACCTCGGCGCCGCTGCCGGCGCGTTCGGGGACCTGGAGCGCCATCGCCGGAGCGCCGTCGCCTGGACCTCCATGATCGACGCCTGCCGGCAGCACGGCCGAGCCCGACGCGCCGTCGAACTCTTCGAGGAGATGGTCACGGAGGGCCTGCAACCCGACTACGTCACCTTCGTCTGCGTGCTCTCGGCCTGCAGCCATGGCGGCCTGGTCGACGAGGGCCTCGGGCTCTTCCACCGCATGTGGGAGGCCCACGCCATAGCTCCTGGGCAGGAGCACTACTCCTGCATAGTAGACCTTCTGGGGAGGGCCGGAAGGCTGGCGGAGGCCCGCGCCGTTGCGGAGGAGATGCCCATCGAACCAGACGCCTCAGTGTGGGGGGCGCTGCTCGGGGCCTGCCGCTGTTACGGGGAGCTGGAGATGGCGGAAGAGGTGGCGCAGAGGTTGTTCGAGATCGAGCCGGAGAACCCGGGGAACTACGTGATCCTCTCCGGCATGTACCGCCGGCGGGGGATGGCGGAGGCGGCGGAGGAGGTGAGGAGGATGATGGGGCTCCAGGGGGTGAGGAAGGAGACGAGTTGCAGCTGGATTGACTTCGGGGGGAGCACCCATGTGTTCAAGGTCCGCGACAGATCGCATCCCCGGAGGGAGGAGATCTACCGGATGCTGGCTCTTCTGCGAGACCTGGTGGGGAAGAGGAGGAAGGAGGAAGAAGTAGAAGATGACGATGACGACGACGACGACGACGACGACGATGATGATGATGAGAATAACCTGTGGGGGCACAGCGAGAGGATAGCCCTGGCATTCGGTCTGGTGAGCTTGCCGGAGGCGGCGCCGATGAGGATCAAGAAGAACCTGAGGACCTGCGGGGACTGCCACGAGGTGTTCAAGTCGGCCTCGGAGATCTTCCGGCGGGTCATCGTCCTCAGAGACACCAACCGATTCCACCACTTCGCCGCTGGCTCCTGCTCTTGCGGAGACTACTGGTGATTCTCTCTCTCTCTCTCTCTCTCTCTCTCTCTCTCTCTCTAAACCCATATGATTTGTATCATCGTCCTCTTTTGGGGGCGGTCAGAATCATACCCTCACGACCAGCTGGATCGTAGCTTAAAGAAAGAAGCTTTGACCTGGATGACACTCGTCGGATGATCAGCCATTCATTCCCCTCTTTAGTAGCGTATACGTTATAAAAAATATATATAGTTCGATTTGTCTTTATTCATTTTAGGATATTCGAAAGCGAGCTTCATGGAAAATAAGCCCGGGAGATGAGAGAGAGAGAGAGAAATAGGGAGTTTTCGGGATTAAAAATTGGGGATCAAATCAGAATTGAGTTTAAAAGGCTGGATTTTCCTCGAAAAATTCGTGGGTCGATTGATTTTCTCGAGTGTTGTCCTGAACGGGAAGGGGCGCCACCGGGGATAAGACGGAGGACGATGGGCTAACCCGCCACCACCAGCGGCAGGCGCCGGCGGCGGAGAAGCAGAAGGATGCGGCCGGAGGATTCCCCGGGCATGGCGGCGCTCGACCCCGCACTGTCTTCTCTCGGATTTGAGTACGGCGACATGTCTCCGGAGAGGGTCACCGGCCGGCTGACTGTCACAACCCCCTGCTGCCAGGTGAGCATCGGCGGCGCCGCCTCCTGCTCCCCCCCCTTCCCCCCTAGAAAGAGAGAGAGAGAGAGAGACGGATTTCATCTCATCTCATCTCATCTGAGTTCTCACTTCCCCTTCCCTTCTTCTCTCTCTCTCTCTCTCTTCCCCTCTCCTTCCGGGCCTCTGCAGCCGAGTGGCTACATACACGGCGGGGTGTTTGCGCTGATGGCGGAGTCCCTCGCCAGCTACGGTGCCTTCATCGCCGCCGGCTTCCAGCGGGTGGCCGCCGTGAACCTCTGCATCAATCATCTCAGCAGCCCCGCCTCCGCCGCCGCCGCCGCCGTCCACGGCGAGGCCCGGCCCCTCGAGTACACCGCGGGGAAGATCATCCAGGTATGGTGACCCTTATCTTCACTAGCGTAGGTTCTTAACCCATTTTAAACTGTGCGCCGAAGCAATCATCGGTCCCAGTCGAGATGAGGGAGCGGCCCGAGGCCCGAGCCAGTTAAAATCCTTCCTAGAAAAGTCAACCATTCAGATTCACCGCACCCGTTGACCGCAAATGTAAATGTGACCAAAAAAAGCCCCTTCCATCCCCTTCCTGCGTGTAGGTATGGGAGGTGGACTTCTGGGCCGCAGGCCCATTGGGCCCAGAGAAGGGGGCCCTCGTGGTGACCTCAAGAGTCGTGCCGGTGTGTGACTTCCCCCCGTCGGACGCTGTGGGGCACATAGTCAGCACCCTCAAGAAACACTCGAAGCTGTGACAAGGCGATTAGGGCAGACGTGGCTGCAATCACGCCCGGTTATGGGATTTTGACTTTGGCCAAACTGTGGCTGGAATAGGATTAAACGTTGCGAATCCTCAGCGACCGAATGGGCCCCCTGAAATGACGTGGAATGTAGATTAAATGAGCCCGAAATGGGACATGATTGTGGACCTTGGTGAGGAAAGACCACCAGATTAGAGTCGTAGGGGTGGAACTGGGCCGGTTCCAATGTAGTGGGCCTGGCCCGCTGTGATAATATCACGACCCGGATTCGGGTGAGGTGGGCCGAGTTCGTGGGTGCCTTACGAAAGCCCAATAAACCCAATATGACGCGCCGTGCTGCGGGAGCACCATAAAATAAGTCGAATTTCGATTGGTGGGTCTTAATTTTCGTGAGGATTAAAATAAACAGAAATAGAGGGGGTCATCGTGGGCCTTGTGGGCCAGAGAGCGGACTCCAGGTGGGCCCAATCCTTGAAAGACGTCTACGCCCAGGAATTGACCGCTGGTGGCCCCACGGGGGCCGTTGACCTGGTAGGGGGGAGGGCTCATTGCTCCAGCGGGAGAGAGAGAAGAAGAAGGAGACTACCCGGAAAAACGGTGAGAGGGGAAAGAGGAGAGAGAGAAGTGGTGTAATCTGTCCATTGATGAGGAGTAGGTAGGGGAGGACCAGGGGGAGAGACCTGTTTCAATGCACGACAAGGACAGAAAGATAGCCGCCATCTCCTTTTCAACGAGAGCCCAATGTTCATTTCCAGCCGAGATCATCATCTCTCTCTCTCTCCCCCCCTTCTCCACGGCGGATGCCATCTACAACTCTCTCGAAGCTACCATTACGTAATGGGGAAATCTTGAAGGAGTTTTGGAGAGCTTTGTTGGACCAATGGGCTGTTGTTCTAGCGGAGATCACGAACCAGAAAGCCCTAGTTTTCTCATCCTCTGGTCCTTCCTTGCCAGGAGGTTGGATCGCTGGCCGGCAGGGATCTCATCGACCCAGAAGGTCTTGGGAGCTGGGTCGAGGCCGGTGCCGCTTCCCTCCCCGGGCAAACAGTCTCCGGGGACTTGCAGGTTTAGAGAGAGAGAAAGAGAGAGAGAGAGAGAGAGAGAGAAAGAGAAGGGCTTGGCAGTGGTGCAAGTATTCAACAAAGTCGACGCCAGTCGGGAACCCAAATTCCTCAGACGCTTACAGTCAGTCTGACCTAAATCAGGTTCCGGTCTTATCTTCCTACAAGGACTTGTAGGCTTCTGCGATTTCAGCGCCCTTCACTTTCATGGTAGAGGAACCAACACCTCCCGCCCCCGCCGGCTTCCTTTTCTAGTCGAAATGACGGCCCGGGCGCCGACATCGTTGACCCACTCCCTCCTTCGATCGTCTGACCCTCGCTGCGCCTGCTGCTCCGTCCCATGTTGGCATCGTTGACCCCAACGCTCTTGTTAGGCGGCGACGAAGGCAGGATTCTTCACTCCCCCGGCGATCCATGAACAAGAGGAGAGAAGAGAAGAACAATCGGGTATGTGAGTCAGAAGGTCTGATCCATTCGTCGTCTACCCGGACGGTCGACGATGCTCGCCCTCACTCCACCGCCACCGCCGTCGCCGCCGTGAGTCTCTTCTTCTTCTTCTTCTTCTTCTTCTTCTTCTTCTTCTTCTTCTTCGGCAGTCCTCTTCTCCGAAGAGGACCCGTTTGTCCGCGACCGGTAGATTCCCGTCCGTTCCTTATCCTGTGACAGCGAATGCTTGAAACTCGTCCGCCTGCGTTTGGATATCTACCACAGAGAAAGAGAGAGGTAGTCGTAGTCGACGGGCAAGACGAATTGAAAGGAGATGCCTTGCCCGGCATTCAAGACTCCATTGACGTACGGCCACCGAGACAGGTGCCTTTCGCACGCTTTGGAAGCATGTCAAGGACCGATTATGCCTGCAGACCTGCGGAGAGGAAAGAGAGAGAGAGAGGAATTGTCGTCGCCGTCTTCTTCCCACATTCTCCTCAGTTTCCTTGGCCGTCCCACCGCCGTCAGACCCTAGATGGTCGTCGTTCTCCTATTTCTCCTCCATAGATATCCTGGACCGCTACCAACTAGAGAGAGAGACAGAGAGAGAAGACGTAGTGCAGGAGGAAGAATACGACCTGCGTCTTCAGGTCTCTCCACATCTCGGAAGCATACAGCTTTGGAGGTTTTTCCGTAAATAAGTAATTTTCCTGGGGACCAAAGGACATTGCTCTGGCGTGTCTTCGGAGCGGTGCGACGAACATTATTTTCATAAAAGTCCCTACAAAATCATCAACAAAACATTTGATTCCTTCGGCTCTCACTACTTCCGCTTTGAAGTATCATTAAAGACCCTACTAAACCCGTATCGGGTACACACATCCTCTGTTTCAACTTTGTTATCCTACACTTACCAAATAAGACAAAATTGATCATCTTACATGTGGCCACACGGCATCTTTTTGTGTTAGTTCTTGATAACTATACGTCTCAAAAGAGACATTCAACGTAATTCCGGTGGTCCCGCATCTGAGGCTGCTGACGTGCCCTCCCGGGGTTTTGGGGCTAAATGGGGAGATGCCTTAAGAGAGGCAGAGGAAGAGGAAGAGGGAGGGACAATCCCCTGCAGTGCAAGTTGAGGGCGGAAGGAGATGGCGGCGCTGCTGCACCAGCACAGGGAGGAGGACTACGGCGGCGGCGGCGGCGGCGGCGGCGGCGGAAGGAGGGGAGAGATCGAGGAGGTGGACTTCTTCGCGGCCAGCCGGAGGAGATGCGACTCCGGCGGCGACCGGGAGGACCCCTTCTCCGACTCCGACGTGAAAGTGAGCTCCTCCACCACCGCCGCCGCCGCCGCCGCCGCCGCCGCTGTAGATAAGAAGTTCTGATTCAATTTACAGTGGAGGGCGCTGACGGGTGTTTCGGTGTCTGGTTTGGTCGATGGCAGATCGGGTTGCAGCTTACGACGGCGGACCGGTGGCGGGAGGGGGAGGAGGAGAAAGTGAGAGTTTACGGGATAATGGTGGGGGGATGATGTGTTTGAGGGGATGGATGGATGATGGGGTTGGTGGCTCAGGTTCTTACGTTTGGTTCGACCATGGCAGATGAGGAGGCTCCGCGGCGAGCTCGAGACTGCGAGCAGCGAGAACCGGCGGCTGAAGGTCGTCCTAGAGCAGGTCTCCAGGGATTACATCGCCCTTCTCTCCATTCAGCGCCAAGCTCGCCATGGCCGTCCCCCCCAGGTCCCCCTCTGTCGACTTTACCTCCACCTCTCTCTCTCTCTCTGTCTCTTTCTCTCTCTATCTGTGTAATCTCATTTCAGGATGTGTCGATGCACAGGGTTACACTGAGATAGACCAGGTGACGGGTGGGTTAGGGTTATCAGAACAGCAAGAGCAGATCAGGCTGGGGGAAGAGAAGAGCCATCTTCTCGACGACGGCTTCGGGTCGGCTCATCGCAGGTCGCGAGTCTCCGTGAAGGTCCGATCAGACGCTCCTATGGTGAGATCCTCGCCGCCAGCCCTTCCGGCCTCCTCCTCATCATCGTCATCATCCTCCTCCTCCTGCTCCTCATCATCAGAATAATAATAGTCATCATCATCATCATCCTCCGCCGCCTCCGGTCGTCTAGGGTTTTGGCTGACGGTGATGAGGCAGGTGGGCGATGGGTGCCAGTGGAGAAAGTACGGGCAGAAGGTGGCCAAGGGGAACCCATGCCCGAGGGCCTACTACCGCTGCACCATGGCTGCCGGCTGCCCCGTTCGTAAGCAGGTGCAGAGATCGGCTGAAGACAGAGCCCTCCTGATCATAAACTACGAGGGCCACCACAACCACCCCCTCCCCGCCGGCGCCGCCGCCGCCTTGGCCCTCTCCGGCGCCGGCGCCGCCGAGGAGAGCCTTTCCTCCGCCGGCGAGATCCAGCGTCAGCCGTTCCCGTTGACTCCTGCGGCGGCGGAGTGGGGGTCTGAGACCAAGAGCTCGACGGTGGATATCGTCACCGAGGCGATCACGTCAAACCCCCGCTTCACGGAGGCGTTGACCGCGGCCATCACTTCGATCCTGGGGACCCCTCAGGACACCGTTGCAACTGAGACCCCACTGCCTCGACAGTGCTTCACTCCCTTTGCCACTAACTAGAGCGAGAGAGAGAGAGAGAGAGTTGTAAGGTCTTGCTCCTGTTTCCCTGCACCTTATTCTAGCCAGAAGGATAGATAGAAGGAGAGTTGTAAGGAGGGGAGGGTCTTCTCCTTGTTTCTTTTTCTTCATCGTGTTACACACGCGCGCGCGCACGCACACACACGTAGAGAGAGAGAGAGAGAGATGAGTGGTCATCGTCATCTCTCTCTCTCTCTCTCTCCCCCTCCTATTATGGTATATCTCCTTGTTTTTTTACAGTATTTTGGATGAATTTTATGAGCCCAAGTTCACATAAAGACTAGGGACGAGCAGACACAAAACATTGCCCAATGTTTTTATTTATTTGAGATCCATCATATTTCGAGGATTTTATTTATTTATTTATAAAAATAATGCTTTAATAATTTCAGTGAAAGGAGTGATATCATTAATTAGGAAAATTACTGGGAATTACAGATCAAATCTGTCAAGCCCAACTTCCATGGGTCCCATGGGGCCTTTGACTTCACTCGTTCTCGGGGTAACAATACTTCTCGGTCAACTTTACGGGTCCTTTTTATTTTTCTATTTTCAATTTAAAAAATCAAGAAAATAATGATTTTTTTAAAAGAAAAAAGGAATCTACGCCATCTGGGCCAATTTTATCTTCTTACGAAACCGGTCCTTCAGATTCTGTGGGAACGTGTTTAGATGCTGACCGTTGGATCTCCACCGGATCTCCACCGTTGAAACCGGTGGTGAAGCTTTGGGGGAGGAAGGAATGGGGGGGAAGGGGTGAAGCTAGGGCTCGGGTTCCATTCCTCGACAGGGCAGAATCTAGCACGCCGTCGTCCACCCAGCCCTCAGCTCGGCTGTCGAGGTTGGTCTCCGGATTGATTCAGGCCGGTCGTCTCCGGAACTGTGGCCTCCGCCATCTCCGCCGCCTATCCCGATCTGGAGCAGAGGGCTAGCAGCAACCAGATCGGTCCCCGCTGCTGCAGCTCGTCGTTCCATCCGCTTTCTAGACTGCTGCCAGAGGTAAGCTCGGGGATGCTGCCGCTTTTGTTATCTTCCGATCCCGGGCCGGTGCCTTCTTCCTCTTCTTCGTTGAGTCCTAAGGGGGGCGTTATTTGCTTCGGTATCCGTGCCCGAATACCAGTTTCTCCTGATCGTTGAATTCTTGATGCCGGATTGTCCCGATGTGCTATTTTATTTTAATCTCGAATTTTTTGGCCATTTATTTACTTCTTACAAGTCTGCCCACTAGAATGCCAGTTGCGGATGGGATACTGATTCTGGGAATGCACCGAGGCACAGGACTTGATGTAATCATGGATCATCATGTTCTTAGTCGACCTCCGAGTTTGAGATTTATTATATGGCTCTGGGAACTTGTGGGGAATCTCCTGGTGCTCCGGAGCGGGATCAGGGCCATTGGATCGGTACTTGAGGACAGTGTAGGTTACTGGTGATGGGATGCCGAGGTTCGGAATGTGATTTTCCCCCACTTGGAGCGCACTCGTCCAAGTACTTGTTGAGATCATAAAGCCTGTCCAAGTCTCTGTGGGAGTCCGACGCCTTCTGATCCCTCATGTCCGTGCTTGGGCTTTAAAATGGAACAACATGTTTAGTGAGGGGGAGAGAGTTTCTTTCAACGATGGAGAGGCAGTTGGAAAATCACGGTTGAAATGCCTGCGAAGGGTTTACTTGTTCTTCGTATCGCCGAGATGCGCTCGCTAGATTACTAGTACTTTTCTGCCGGAGTCGGAGTGGTGAGCACATTTTTTGGCAGCATTCTTCTTCTGATAATTTAAATTTCGGTAATGTTTCCTCTGCGAGTGATTCTTCGTTGCTTTTACTTCGTTCATTCTAATTACACTGATCTGGTTGAAAGTATTTCTGATGATCCGACTCATAGTTTTAAGAATTAATGACAACCAGGATGCTAAAAGTATTACTAGTTTTTTCCTATAAAGTTTGAAAATTTTAGTGACAACCGAGATTAATGTTTTAGCATTCTGGTTGAAAATTGATGATGTCGACTAATAGTTTTGGAAGCTTACGCATTCTTCTGGTCTCATGTTTCTGCTCTCACGATTATGGTTGAGTGCTAAAAGTATTAATCTTCGTCAGCTTTGATCTCTATAAAATTTGAGAATTAATGACGCCATTGACGGCGAATCTTTTCTCTCCCATATTTCTTGAAGGACCGGATCCACATGGAACAGAGGCCATACAGTGGGAGACTGGAAACATACACTCAACAAGATCAACGGCCTCCTCAGGGAAAGGGGGAGGTAACTGATTGTTGCACTTGTCTGACTAGATGGATCGAGAGGGGATCATCTGTCGGGATTTTCTCTTGTTTTCATGTCCGAGCACAGAAAGTGGAAGTTCATCTTGTGGACGATATGATCCTTCTCCTGAATGCTGGATGCCGTTTTCCATGGCATGGCAGGCACTCCACCACTCGTTCATGGAAGACTTGGAGGAGGACTTCCGGCTCCCGATTCATCACCGGCCAACAGAGAATCTCGACACGGAGAACTTGGAGCAGGCATCTCTTGATACCAGGCTGACGTCGTCTAATGTGGGCTTTAGGCTACTGCAGAAGATGGGGTGGAAGGGCAAGGGCCTCGGCAAGGACGAACAAGGTACACCTTGCCCCTCCTCACCCTCCCATGTAGTCAACCAGTCTATATATATATATATATATATATATATATATTAATGCAACAATAGGTCGGATTACTGCTTGCCTGGATCATTTAATATGGTTGATGTGATAATTTAAATGGGGATTATGCATGCATCTTGTGATCATATAGGAGGACGGTTGCCTCTGTGCAGTGCATTTAGTGTTAGCATTCCTCCCTTCGGACCGGGCGAATTCTTCTATGCCGATATCCACAGAAGAACTAGCCACCCACTCATGAACTCCTTGTTTCCCCACACACCCACTGGGTCAGGCCTGGTGCATTTTTCCATGTGAATTGGGGCCGATCGGACGACGTTGAAACGCATGCAGGTGAGGTCAGTCGGTGGGTGTTCTTCGTCCAGCATGCGGTTGACTTTCTCCATAGGTAGAGGCTTAGTTTGAGATATGAGAGTCTTCTTGCATGACGCTGCGGATGACTGCGCAGGGATAATCGAACCGATCAGAGCGGGGATTAGAGACCCGAAGCTGGGCGTGGGCAAGCAGGAGCAGGACGATTTCTTCACCTCCGAGGAGAACGTGCAGCGCAGGAAGCTCGAGATCGAGGTGGAGGAGACGGAGGAGCACGCCAGGAAGCGCGAGGTAGGAGCAAGCCCATTTATCTATGGTTGACCTCTCCATTTTTATTTTTCTTTTTTCCTTTTTTTTCAAGTTTTAATTTATTTTTCGGAGGGAGATCGATCCGAGGATCTTGAGGGGTGTGGTGCAGTCTTTATCTTGGCGGCTTCTGGCCGCCTCCTCGTGCCCATGATGAACATCCAGGTGCTGGCCGAGCGCGAGCTGAAGATCGAGAGCGAGGTGAAGGAGATCAAGAAGGTTTTCTTCTGCAACCTCTGCAACAAGCAGTACAAGCTGGCCATCGAGTTCGAAACTCACCTGAGCTCCTACGATCACAACCACCGCAAGGTCTGAATTCCTCTCCCTCTGGGTAGGGTTCCGGTTGGGTTTTCTTTTTAGCTCAGAAGACGCGGCGACGGTGGTTTGGTTTCAGCGGTTCAAGGAGATGAAGGAGATGCACGGCGCCAGCAGCCGCGATGACCGGCAGAAGCGGGAGCAGCTCCGCCAAGAGAGGGAGATGGCCAAGTTTACCCAGATGTGCTCCTCACTCCACTCTCTCTCTACCCCTGTCTACTCTCGCTCTCTACTCTCACTCTCTCTGATTCTTTGGTGGGAATGGTGCAGGGCGGAGCAGAGGCAGCAGCCGCCGGCCGCCCAGGCGTCGAAGGGCGGCGCAACGGCGGTGGCGGAGCCGGAGCAGCGCCAGACGCTGAAATTCGGGTTCTCCTCCCGGCAGGGAGTCTCAAAGGTTTTCCTTCTCTCCGCATTCATTCAGTCTCTCAGATGGGGATGCATCTTCTTCTTCCTTCCTGTTCTCCCTGACTTCATCTGAAGCGCATAATCCCATTCATTCCTCGGATGAAAACCCTAAAACCCGGTTTCATGGAGGAAGATGATGAGCCCAGACCCGCTATTTATTGCTATTTGTTTCTCCACGAATCTTCGTTGATTGTGAGAACCCTGCTGCCTGCGTTGAATCCATCCCCAGGGCGGCGCAGCGATCGGCGGCGGCGCAAAGAGGCCCAAGGTCGCCCCCAAGGTCTCCTCCGTCTTCGGCAACGACAGCGACGAGGAGCCTTAGCGCCGTCCACCTTAGAAGCTGTAACACAGAGAGAGAGAGAGAGAGAGAGAGAGAGAGAGAGAGAGAGAGAACTGTATGTAGCCCAGGAATGTTTCTACCATGTAATGTAAGGGGGAGGAGTTCACCAGTCGGTACAATTAGAGCAGGGATGAGTTCTAGGGGGGCGGGGACGACGATGGCGAAGGTGCTCTTGGCGGTGATGGATGGGTCTTCTTCTTCTATAAGGGAGTGGAGGGAAGGGGGGGTGGTGACTATCCACAGGTTCCTGATAATTTAGAGGCGGGCGCCACCGCCTGGGGGTCACCTGGCCGAACGGAGCTCCGCCAGCACGAGCTTGATCTGCTCCTGCATGAGGTCAATGCGGCGAGAGAAGACTTCCAGCTCGAGGATCTGCTGCTTGCGCCACTTGGCGTCCGCCGCCGCGGTGGGCGCCTTGGCGTTGGCGCCGCCGCCGCCGAGGCCGAAAGGGAGAGGGCTGAGCCCGAGCCCGCCCCACCCGCCAGCGACCGCCGCCAGGGGGCTAGCGCAGTGCAGCAGCTCCTTGAACATCGGCGAGAGACAGCTCCTCATCGTCTCCTCGATCACGTTCGGCACCGGCATAGGCCCTCCCGCCGCCTTGACCTCCACCGGAGCGGCGGCGACGGCGGCGGTGGGCCGCTTTCGGTGACGCCTCCAGCGGTCGCCGCCGCCGTCCTCCTCCTCGTCGTCCTCGTCGTCAGGGGCGGCGGCGGCGGCGGCGGAGCCCCAGATCTTGGCGGAGAGGTCGAAGGCGGCCTGGTCGTGGGGGCTCTTGAAGGCGTAGTCCTTGCCGGAGCGGATCCTGTTGGTGATGTTGCGGTACTTCTTCTTCAGGCGGCGGAGCTTCTCCACCAGCTGGTTCTTGTTGAAGTCCAGCTGTATGCGCGCCCTGATCTGGTCGTAGAAGGCCCCCGTGTCCTGGTGGTGGTGGAGGGAGGAACTCCTCTGGGAGCTGAAGGCCAGGAAGCCCTGCAGGATGGCGATCTCGTCGTCGTCCGTCCACAGGCGCTGGAACAGCCGCCGCGAGTCCTCCGCCGCCGCTGCCGCAGGAGGCCCCTTCGCCTCCTCCACCGCCGCCGCCGCCGCCGCCGCCGCCGCCGATCCGCCCTCCGTCTTCCGCCGCTTGCAGTCCGGGGCGGCGGAGCCGTCCTCCGGCGCAGCCAGCTCGTCGGCGCCGCTCGGAACGGGCTCGGACGCGGCGGAGAGGCGGTGGCCTCCGTTGGAGCTAGGGTTTTCTGCTGCTGTTGCTGCTACCGCTGCTGCTGCGGCGGCGGCGATCTCGGCGGAGGAGGTGGAAGGAGAGGACACCTCCTCGTCGTCGAGACCTGCCGCCGGCTCCTCCCCAACAGCCGGCGTCTGGTCCTCATTTTCCAGGTCCTCCAGGTCCTCCAGGAAGGACGCCGCCGGCCCCTCGCCGCCGCCCACCGCTGCCGCTACCGCCGCAGGAGACGACATATTTTTTTGAATTCGAAAAGGGGAGAAAAAGTGGGATCGGATCGGATCGGATCGGATCGGAAGGGGAGGAGCTGCGACCTGCGCGAGCGAGCTCCTTTCTATTTTTAGGGTTAGGGTTCCCTGGAGAGGGCCCGAGCTCGAGGAAGACGGACCTGCCCTGGTTTCATCCCCCATGGCTCGATCGGATCCCCTCACTCGCGGTGACTACACCGCCTCCCACCGCCCTCACAAATCTTCCCAACGTGACCGAATAAAAGACGTGAGACCCACTATAGAATGATGAACCCTTGCCACCACATGCCAGGTGTCCAAATCTCAGGAGATCTTGCGGCCTACCCAAGTCAACGTTGAAAAGTAAAAGCGTGTGCTGATCTAGGCGGCTCGGTGTTCTGCCGGATCGCGTTGACCCGCTTAGATTATGGATCCATGGGTCAACCCGAATTATGCCAGATTTTTTATGATAATAAAACCCCGATTAAATATAAATCAAAGCCGTTTTTATCTATTGTGCCGTTTTTATCTATTCTTTAAATAATAATTTATCCGGCGGTGGGCCTTCGGGGAGAATTGGGCCTATCTAATGGGCTCGTTCTCGTTGGGCCAGGATGGGCCTAGTCACCCCGTTATTCCCTTGGGATATTTCCAGCCTATGTGGGCCCCAGTCACGTTATCGGATCCTTTTGCGGCCCGCGTCTTCATCCCGTGAGTGAGTGGCCTTCCTCTTCCTCTGCTTCTGCAGCAAAATCTGGGGACCTTCTATCTCTCCGCTCTCCGCTCTCCGCTGTGGGCTCCTTACCGTCGGTTGCTCCGCCAAGGTGGGGACTCTCTTCCTCTTCCTCTTCCGCCCATTAGCTTCCGATCTCCTACTGATATTCTTCTTCTTCTTCTTCTTCTTCTTTGTCGTCGCCGGCGTATTCTTGCTGTTCTTGGCTTTTCGATTTCATCTTGTTGCAGGCGGTGCGGGTTAGGATCCGGCTGTTCTCTGTTTGTCGTCGACATGGTCACCGAGCTGCGTCGGAGAGCCCCCTGTTCCCCTCCTTTTAGGGCAAAAAATCTCGAGCTTTCGGTTCCAGGGGCAAACTCCTGAGAGTGGGTTCTTGGGTTGCGAGCATTGATGCTGATGCCATTCTTCCTTCAGCTTTGTTCTGAATTCAGCTCTTCTGTTGTTCTTTTTCCTTGATAGAAGAATCGTGGTGGTCGTCGTCGTCTTCATCTCTTCTGCAACGAGGTGGGTGGGGGCAGCAGGTTGCAGAGTCCAACAGCGATGGCGATGGCGATGACGGCGGCGGCGGCGGCGCTGTCCTCCGTCCGGTTCTTGACGGGCGCCGACCAGCTGCTGAAGGCCCCGATGGATCGTATCGGCGGCAGCGGCGGAAGGTCGTCGGAGGTGAGCGTCATCAGGATGGGCGGCGGGCCGAGGACGTATCCCGGGGGGGTCTCCAAGTGGCAATGGAAGCGGATGCAGATGAAGAAGGCGAAGCAGCTGCTGAAGGCCCGTCTCTGCAGGGAGCGGCAGATCTACGAGATGAGGAAGCGAGCAGAGCTGAAGTCGGCGATCTCCGAGCTGGAGCGGCCATGGGAGGCGGTGGAGCGCGCCGCCGCCGCCGCCCCGAACCTCTTCTCGGTCGCCGCCGACGAGCAGCTGAAGGTCCTCGCCGACCGCTTTCAGAAGCCCGGGGGCTTCGACATGTGGTCCCGCAGCGACGGCCCCCAGATCCTCCGCCCATTCGATGGCCTCCCCTCTGCCAGGTTCTTCCCCAAGGGGGTCGTCCACAGCCTCAAGCCCTACGGCGGCGCCGCCACCGCCTCCGCCGCCGGCGATGAAGAAGACGAAGAAGAAGATGATGAACTGCAGTTCGACGACTGGGTCGCGAGAGGGAAGGGCGGGACGAGGAGGACGAGGCATCATCGTAGGGGAAGGAGGACTGCGCTCTCGCAGGAGGAGGAGGATGGAGCCCGCGAAGCTGGGACCACCATGGGAGTTGGCTCTTCTTACCCAGATGTTGGAGAAGTCAAAGACGAGAGGATCCGATCGGCGGGTCGCTCCAGAGTGGACTTTCTCAGAGGGAGAAGACCGCGGGGATCGGAGCTTCCCAGTGGCGGCGGTGATGAGCTTGGCGGAGGCAGAATGAAGAGAACCAACAGCCGGGATGCGAGGAGAACAGGGCCAAAGTCCGTTGAAGTGGCGGCGTTTGGGAGGGTGGGGAGACTGGCAATCGGAAGCAGCGCCGGCCCGGGCTCCGCCGCAGGGCGGCGTTCTCAGAGCACCAAGAGCACACGCGGCGGCGGCGCTGCCTCCCCCCGGCGGAGGAAGGCGTTCAACTGGTCCGAGGATGACATCTCCGAAGATGCCTTCTGGGACGTGTAACTTCCGGACGAGAGCAAAATCCGGAAGAGGAGAGGAGACGACTTGCTAGCTTGTTTGTTAACCCCCCTCCCCCCCTCTGGTGGGCCAGTCAACGGCAGAGGACCTAATCTCCAGCATGCCCGGGATAAGGGCCTGGGGCGGTCTGGAAATGAAGCGCCACCCATTTGATTCCAGAAAAGGAAACACAGAGCTGATGTCAACCCAGTGGATGAATGTAACAGGCTGTTCGAACACAATATAATCTCCTAGTCAACCCAGTGGATGAACGACGCATCCGTTTTTGCGTTCATTATAATCGCTGATGTCAGAAGTCAGATGCTTTGAGGGTTACGACGGGAACTTTGACTTTCGCCCTCTCCTGCATGCTTGGAAGGCTGACCTGAAGTAGACGACCGTGATAGTTGACCGATTTTTCTGCAAACGGATGAGCAGCAGCCCTCCACCAATCTGGGAGGCCGCGTACATATGTCTTCAAACATATTATATCCATTCTATGATGCTAGCAGGAGTGAGGAATGATTTCAGGATCCCCACCTCTCTCTCTCTCTCTCTCTCTCTCTCTCTCTCGCCGCAGCATCCCAAGGGTTGACTTCTGGCTTGGCCTTGGCTCTCCAGAATACTATGAATTTCATATATTCTATATAAAAGAAATTCAGTCCATGCTCTCCTGCGACCTTGCTCTTTCCCCCGTTTGACTTTGCTCGAAGTCAACAAGTTCTTCTGCATCTCGAAGGAGACCGAGTGACGGGAGATCCAATAATCCCGGCGCGAAGCAAAATGGAAGAGGGCTCAGGCAGCTTCGGCAAATCCTATTCGAAGGTTGCCAAAGTCAAAGGCCGTGTGATATGCTCCCATGAAGACGTCCCCAAGAATCCTGCAGCATCCACAGCAAGGCGTTCAAGCTCTCTCTCTCTCTCATATAAATACCAAGCACTAATCAGTGGGGAGCAGGAGGAGGATGAACAGAGTCGTGAGGGTGCATACCACAGGGGGGCCCCAGGAGGACGAACGTCCAGTGGCACAAAGCCGCTGAGACAGATGGTGGTGTCGCCTTGCTCGAGCTTTATGATGTACTGCAAACAAAGGCCGTCTCAGAAAGATAAATGAGCGGTTAGGTTGACGGCCATGAGTTGACCCAATGAGCTCTCAGGGAATCGGACAAGTCATTACCTGATCCGGAGCAAGTCTGAAATCCTTGCTTCCAATCCTAAATGAAACATCTGGCATGCTCGAAATCTGATCGCAGTTGACGGCCGATTCTCTCATGGGATTGGGCACGCGCTCGCACAGCTGTATTGGGGTATGATATCCAGCACCCATCACTACTACAGACTCTCTCTCTCTCTCTCTCTCTCTCTATCTATCTATACATATATCTTTTCATTTCAAAGAAAAATCACAGAACGTGTTCACCGTTTAGAATGTGTTGGCCTACCTCGTCGACGTACTTCAGTATTCTATCTCTCGTCTGATTCCGCTTGAGCTGTTTCTGCATCCAGACAACGGCCATCTGGCAGGCAGAGCACACGGCGGTCTTCCTTCTCTTCTTGCACAGAGCATCATAACCAGAGGACGATCCTTCCCCGCTTCGCCTGTCGAGCACAGACTCGATCCCCATGCTGGATGGGCTCCTCCTCCTTCAAAAAAAAAATAAAATCGCATTATTATCGGTAATGAAGAATCCCCAACCGAGACAACAGTGGAGACCAAAGCAGGAGCTACAAGGACTGACTTAATGGCACCATCCAGGCTGCAGAGGCCGATGTGACCGCAGACATTGTGGGCCTGGCTCTGCGTCGTTGAAGGAAGGCTCAAGATGCCACTGTAGAGAGATATTGTTGAAGGGAATATGCTTGTGGGTGCAGAAATGAAGAGAACCTCGTTTGTTAGAAGCTCGAACATTCTCAGCCCGTGTTCTGAGACGACTTCCTTGCATTCCACGCTGACAATCCCTTGTGCTCCGATGGCGTGGTTGATCTGGGTAACAGCAGACTGCAAGCAACGAGAAACCATGGGATGCCAGATGATGCAACAGCATGAGATGTTTCGGAGGGCTCCAAAGAGCTGATTGGCAGCCCCTTCCATTAAAGGGAACGTGAGAGAGAGAGAGAGACGTTTTAAAATTTGAAACATGTTTGGCCAGTCAAAAAAAAAAGGGTAAAAGATGGCATATTCACGTATAATCAATAAATGATTCTCTTAGACAACCCGGCTAACCCAATCTTGAAAAGGTTTTCCATCAGCTGAGAATAACCCAAACTTGAAGACTCATCTATTGCAATTACAACACAAAATTTGGAGAGAAAAATATTTAAAATATATATAGCTTAAAAACATCAAATATTTTTAGGCAGAGGCATTGCTTATACCCAAAGATTCATTTCAATTATAAGAAAATATGGGGCTATTATAAACCTGCTAACTGAGAAGTCCTGGACTCCATGATAATAAATGAGGTGAATTCAACCAAAGAGCAACCATCTGTTTTAACTCAAAGTAAGACTTAATGGGCCATCCAAATCAAAATCAACTGGAAATGAGTTAGCCTCGTCTCTATAATGACAGGCATATTTCTATAACCCACCCACCAAATCCAATTCTTTAAAAGATAAGCAGCAGCACTTACAGTTGGACCTGCCAACATGGAAGTTCCAGAGTCCATGATAGCATCACATCCAGTGGAGCAAACACCTGAAGGACACGAGAATTATCTCAATCTCTTCCTATACTAAGTCATTCAGACATCGAGTACTATAAAAGAAGCCTCACCTGTCGACTCGTTGCCTATCACAAAATCACCCAGCTCAAACTACAGAAGAGGTACAGACAAAAAAAATCAATTAGAAGTTACCCGAAAGGAAACACTGAATAAGTACTCAAAAGAGAGAGATCAGTTCAATTTTTTTTAAGGTCTTATAAGCCCTTTTACCTGCCAGTATCCTTTGCGAGTGACAGGAACGAAGGTGTGGTTTCCCTTGAAGTGCTGCGGATCCACACCTCCGAAGACAATCTCTCCCCCATCTGTGTCCTCTACATTCCGATTAAGCCAGAAGGAGAAGACCTGTTCCTCTATTAGATTTTGTTCAATCATCGGTTGCCTGTGAACGCGCACAACGAAAAGGTTTAGGGCAAAAAAAACTTCAAAGGACGGGCATGTTTATTTATCAACGAGAAATAATCAACAAGCTATTAAGGAAAATTATACCAGATAGGCGGGATTCCTCCGGCAGAGATCTCCTGGAATCCCAACCCTAGTATTCCATCAAAAGTTGCTAATAAGAGTATGGGATTTGACTCCTTTTTGACCTCTGTGAATACCTGAAAACTCATATCCCAGAAGTATAGAGCAAACTATGCGATCTATTTTCCGTGACAAGTGTGGGCATGGATAGGAAAACAGATTTTAAGAGAGATCTAACGGAGATGGTGGCAAAACCCGTCAAGTTTGCCCACGGAAAAAAAATGTTTTAATTGGGAAAACTTACATGGTCTTTAATAATTAGATTGCCGATTCGCACATGGTCTTGGCTGAGGAATCCAGAGACAAGTCCGATACCATAAGAAATTTTGCTTGATTTTCCTGTAAAAAGAAACCATGATCGTATTTTTAGTCACGAACAAAATTCTACGGGTGGAAGAATTTAGGTCAAAAGCAGGGAGTTGATAAAGAGGAAACATATCCAATAATTTCAATATGAAAAAAAATATAAGCACTGTGTCTTCTTTGAGGTGATACCGTTCATCCTGTAACTGCACGATTGGCCTGACCTGTACCTAGAATGGAGGAAGCAGGCGATCTGGGAGGAAAATTTATCCCTGTTAGAACTAAACTGTAAAATCTCTGGGTATATTTTTCAAATTTTGGTTAGAAAATAATTTGAAAAACTAGAGAAACAGATCGTTGCCAATGGAGTGAAAGGGCTCACGGAGAAATAGCACTTCAAGGATGGAACCCACAGATTGGAGCTTCCCGTGTCAAATACCACGGTGAAATTTTGTGGAGGCGTGCCGATGCTGATCTTCCCGTAGTACCTGGCGTCCATGAAGTTCTTCAACGACACAAAATCCATATTGGAATCGCCTAAACTCTGTTGAAGGCCTCGGCCCTGGAGACAGATGTTCTCTCTCGCCACCGTTCTTGCCGCTCTCAGAAGGTTAGAGTCCAATTTATTCTTCTTGAGATTGATCCTGACCAAGCCATCGCACGAAGCAGGGACAAATGGGGACGAGAACGCCCACAGAGTGAGCAAGGCCAGAAAAACCTTCTCCCCCATCTCCATAGAATTACACCCTGCCAGCCGTCCGAAATCCAGATGAGCATTTCCCTTGATGGAAAGAACAGCATCCAAGATGAACAAAGAGTGGGATGGGCGGCATTGCCATTGATCGTAACAGCAGAATGGGAAATCATGGAATCGCCGATCATTTTAGCATAGGCGCAGAAAATTCAAGCGACGGAAAGAAGGAATGGATCGATTTCGTTCAGGTCGGCAACAGGAAGTGAGCCGAGACGAAGGAAATCCGCAGCAGCAGGATAATTCCGCAAAGAAAAAAGATGACGAAATATCAGAGAACGCTAACGAAGAGATCAAACACGAGCAATCATAGAGGGAATCCTCGAAAACAGAAACTGATCAAATTACGGGAATACAAATAAAACGAAAACATCGGAAAACACGCACAAATGCGTACGATAACGAGAGTGTTACAGGAAAGATAATCGAACAAAATCATGCAGATGGGGGGGAACAATGATGAGAGAATCGCTCAGAACAAGGGAATTACGGAGAACAGCGACAATCCCTCGTCCGGATCACAGAATTCTTCCACCTTCTGAGAGCTTCGCGTCGAGAGAAGGGAGCAAGCAACCGTGATTTGAAAAAGAGCGCCGATTTTATCACGCAAGGGAGAGCAAATGTCAAACTAGCCACATGAAAATATTTTATTTGTATATATATGCCTCCTTATCTCACCTTCTCCAGGTGGGATGGGGGGGACGGGGAGAAAGAGAGGGAGAGAGAGGGAGAGAGAGAGAGAGAGAGAGAGAGAGAGCGGCACACACCCTCCCCATGGCGCCTTCCAAGAAGCCTCCTCCCAAGACAAAACCCCAGATCCAACTTCGTGGGTTCCACAGCGTTCGCGTGTTGCAGGTGTTAAAGACGGAGAGAGAGAGAGAGAGAGAGAGATGGAGGGAGAGAGAGTGAGAGAGAGAACGACGATCATGGAAAGCGTATGGAGCACCTTTATATCAATGTTCAGATGTAGCAGTAGTAAGAGGGAGAAAGAGTGAGAGTGAGAGGGAAAGAAGAGAGAAGGGAATAGGTGGAGATAGATAGAGAGAGAGAGAGAGAGAGAGAGAGAGAGAGAGAACTTCTTTCTCCAGGCTCGCGCCCAACAAAAATCTTCAACGGCTATACTAACAGTCTAATACGTCACGTTTCGAGCAAGCTAGCTACGCGCTTCAGTGAAACTGACTTATCCATGCAATCAGTCAACGCTTTTCTTATTGCGGTTGAAGGTCAATCAATGCTGGGTTATCATCGTTCCAGTTGGAGGGATTTTTTGACTGTTCTAACGGGCATCCACCATGAGTGAGCTCTTTCAACATAGCAAGGTCAATGAATACGAAATTCAATGACTCTGGATACTTGACTTTTGTCTAAAATCCTCTCCAATAAGTCAAACTCTCCGTGGGAAGTGGCAACCGACAGAGGTAGGCTGAAGGCCAATTTTTTGTTATCCCAACAAAATCTCATCTTTTAAACTGAATTGACCATGGTTTGACTTCCAAGCAATTAAAGCAGAGGGATCAAAATGTAGATTTTTATAGCCGAGAAGGTCAAATCTCTCTGAAATCCAAGTCAGACCAAGAAATCGATGAAGCTTGACTTTGTAGAAGGTCAAACCTTTCCTCACTGAGATTTTAGAGGGTTTATTCGAATATTATTCATAATTATATTCCCAGTTAAACCGGTAAGAATCGCTTGTATGTGGACTCCTATGCTCGTGTCCACCCGGGGGGGGGTTTACCTAATTAATCACGAAAAACTCAACCATCATAGGTCGACGCCCGTAAGTAAATGATACTGCGAGGTGAAGAGCGACAAATCAAATTTATTTCAAGGACATAAATGCAAAAATGAACGTACGAGAGAATACAACAACAGACTGGTTCTTCAGTTGCCGGGAAAAGCTGCCACTGCTCCTCCCTAGTAATGGGGAGAAGGTGAGGGCAGAGAGGGGGAGGAGTGGAAGAACGGTGAAGGGTGGGAGGGGAGGGGTATGGAGCTCGATGACGGGTGGGAGCCGACCGCCGAGGAGCTCGATTTCCTGGAGAGGGAGGCCATCCGGAAGATCAACGAGAGAAAGGCTTCGTCGGCCGCTGCGTCCACGTCCTGGCCTTCATCTCCCTCTCCCGCTGCCGGAGTATCTCCATCTGCGTCGCCACTGGCCCCGCCGCAGCATGAACATTCGAGAGGTGACCTCCTTCCCACCGTAGGGGACTATGGCCGGTCGCCGGCGATGGTTAACCTGGGGGCCCGGTATGAGCAGACCTCCCCGTTGAAGAATGTCGGCCAGCGTCCGACGACAACCGACCGGATACACCAGAGAAACACGGTTTGTTCGATGGATCTCTCTTTCTATTTTTTGGTAACTTGTGCGGCTTTGTTCTCTGTTACTGGCATGTTTTGGCCAACAAGAAAGATGTGGCTAGGGCTTTTGTTGCCCGCTGACGGCCACGTCTCACAGTTTGTACAAGTTTATTTTTCTCTGTTTCCTTCAGAATGCAACGAGAATGAGCCTTCTTACATCACTGTTCCGTGGTTTGCCCTGTAGGACATGCAATTTGATGCAGAGATTTATATGCATCCGGGAGAAAGAACGGTAGAAAGGATTGACTGATTGATTAAGCCTTCTTGTAATCATCAGATTATTTATTTCACATGAAATGGACTAACGATACCCGTTATCGTGATTTTTGCATCTGGGGACGGGGTAGGTGCGCCAGTCTACTGCCATTCGTGTCAATGGAGTGGTTGCTCAGAAGGATGTAAAATCTATACCAAAACCACGGTAAAAATACACCGAAAATCACAGACAGAGAATTGATAAATGGGCGAGATCCTATGTTCATGTATCTATTTGAAGTTGCTCCGACTCTTGCAGCCTCACGCTGCAAATGGTAGGGGGTTTATTGCTTATGTTTGCATGAAGTTTCCCTAACTTCCACGGCTTTGTGATGTGGTATCTGAAATGTAAATTATGATCTATTTTCATGGGGGACGTCTGATCTCCTCTTGAAAATAATTATGAAAAATAATGACGAATAATTGGCCGGAAATGGGAATTTTTGCTTCGATTGGGCAATTCTAGAATAAATGTTCTTTTATCAGCTTCATCTGTAAGAGGAAAAGTGGGAGCTGCATCTGACGCCTGATGGTGGATGGCAGAGGGCGGAGAGCAGAGGAGAAGATATAAGAGGAGTAAGGAACAAACTGGAAAATTAGACTACTTTATGGCCCGACTCATCGATGCTTGTTATCAAAATAGCACGGGTGTTATTTGATCAAAGGGTAACAGGATGATGTAAGAGTCTCTTCCCTCTGAGAGGAAATGATCGCATAGCTTGAAATTCTGGTTAACCTACCGGCAGAATGATCAATGCCAATGGTAGACACAGACTCGTGCAGGTCAAAATAAGACAGAAGAGGCTCTGTTTATTGTTTATTTCATTTTCCACAATTTTTTTAGATGGATGATTTTTATGTGTAGGGTTTCACACCTGAGACACCGCATGTGTAATTGTATAGATCTCTTTGTGGACTACATCTGAACTCCTAGTCAACATATAGACACCGCATCATTCCTTGTGTGCCCATTCTCATTGACGGAAGCTCCTCTGTGAAATAGGTATTGATCACGATTGGCAAAAATCATCCAAAACGCAACCATAGACTGTGAAACTAATTTTGCATGCAATCCTTTGGTTCATTTAGAGACTGAGAATTGTAACCTGATATTCAAAAGCCAAAATCGCTCCATAGAATGGTGGTAACGATTGGTTGCTTCTGGACCAGATCTCTGCTTAGACCTAGCCCAGGTACGTACAACATTCTGTTTCCTCAGCCATTTTGTATCCATTCTATTTCCTCACCCATCTCCTTCTCAGCCACAAACCCTGCACTTCCATCTCTCATCGTGCTCCCTTCCCTTCCCTTGGCAGCTTCCTACCTTCTGCCCATCCAGTTGCCGCACCTCCATTCCTGCTACAGGTCCCACCTCTCCCTCTACCGTTAATCCTTCCCAAGGCATCCCTCACATCCTGTGTCAACCTTCTCCTACGTACTCCCCCTGCTTGACAACCCCCCCATGTTTCCCTCCCTTCATGGTTCCCATGCCTGGGACCGTCCGTGATGACAATCTCCCTGTGCCCTTTTTCCTGCCGGGTCAATGGCCTATTATCTGGGGTTTTAATTGAGTTTGAGCTATGTCTGGGTCTCATGATAGGTTTGATGTCTCAGGCCAGGCTTTAGGATACCCCAAGTTTGATCCACAGTGTATTATTAACCAAAACATTCTTGATTAACATATTTGATCAAGATACTTGAATTTTTTGCATGATAAAATAAAATATAAACTGTCTTCTAATTCTTTGGTTATGAACCAGGGAGGAGCACTTTTTCCTGCAGCCTCTCAAAGATTGGATAAATCAAGAGAAACGGGTGAAGTTACTTCATGTTCTTTTCAGGATTCATGTTTATTTTCTTGTTGATTTTTCATTTATTATTTACCAATTTGTTCTTTTGAAGTACAAGCTGCTCATATTTGGAAATCGTTCATTGCTAACCTAGTTTCACCTTCAACTTTCATGGGAATGATACTTCAGGGAACCTTCCAAAACTGTCCCTCAAACTTTATCTTCACGCCAGTGGTGATATAGCTGCGAAGTTTTCTTATCACCAAGTACACAGTTACCCTTTTTTCGTGTAGTTTCAATTTTCATGGCATAATTTCCTTCACTCAAAAATATTTTTTACGCTTTCCAGATACTTGTGGAAACTTTTCATAAGATTCCAAGAACTTGTTGGAATGCAAAAGAAAGGTTGTTCCTTATCATCAGTATCTTAAGTTATTTTGGGTTCTAGTGTCTTGTTCTATTGATAGGAAATATTCTACAACATGAAATTATCGTTGTAATGTCCTCAGGTTATGGATGCTTCCAGCATCATCTCTATCAGTAGCCGAAGAAGTCCTCAGCAGAATTACTTGTGCAAATGTTGAGGTATGGTCAAACTCTTTATTAAATTACTCGTCTATTCGTTTATCAAATTTAGCCACTTGCATGATATGGCTTGAATATAATATTTTTAGTTTCTTCTCGTGTCTTTTTTGATGTTTTGAGTGCATAGTTTTTTGAGTAATGGATAGTAGGCTGAACCTTTGAAATTTCTGTGAACTAGTTATGGTGTGTCGAGAAACAAGACATAAAGAACGCAAACATGGAGGAGAAACTTCCTCTGTCCTCTGTTGCAGAGGGGGAGAAACATTGGAAACCGCCCCACTCCTTCATTTACCTTAAACGTCCCTTAAATAGGGACGAAACCTACATGCACTTTTCCATAATACCCTTAGTCCTTTACAATATTACCCTTACACCTTCTATCATGGTGTTGCTTTATGAGACTGAGAAAGCAGAAGGTAAGATGAGCTGGGGATGATGAAGGTGCTGACTGGAACTTGACACAAAATTATTGTATACAAATAATTAATTATTTGTGATATCGAGGGGTAGTTTAGGTTTTCCTTTTTTCCCCACTTGAGGTTAGGCATGATAATAACCATTTCTTTGCCCAGCAACCATGATCAAGGGTAAAGAGTGAGATTTTTTGTCAATGACCCAGATGATGAGTGAGCCTGGTGGGTTAGAAGTCACCCTTACCTCTTTTCAGAGGAAGCGATAAAAGATGGCTATGGTGGTCTCGAGACATAGGGCCTCCTCGTGGAATGCTTGAGTTTTTTGGTAATCTTCTTACATCTCTTTCCAATGTTCTTGCAAAAATAAATGTGGAAGCTCAGGACCTAGGCTTTATCTTTCTTCTTATCACGGACTGTTGAGCAAATCTCCTTTTTTGGGTCGATGGCTTTTGAGAGAAGCAGTCTTTTCTAAAATTAACTTGAGAAGTTTGTTCAAAATAGGAAACCATTTACCTTGCCCGAAGAAAATTGCAGAAATTGGCCCTTGATCTTATTTTTTCGTAAAATCAACACCTTGACTCTTGATCTTGTTCTTTTGCGTCATTATCATGCACCATGAAGAATCTTATTCCATGAAAGTCAGCTGTGTTTCTATTCCTCTGCGTTAGCCAGGATTCTGGTTTTGATAAATATCCTCTTGCATAAAACGTCCAGTCACCTGGTCTTGAACTTTATTCCTGTACTCGAAAATATCTCTCATGTTCAAATAACTCTCTCGTACCAAATTTCTTCACTCCTTGAAAACCTATGTTGTTCTAAAAACATTGTTTTATGATGCTATTTCTGAGGTTTTCTGGACCATAAATTGGCGACCATATAAAGAACCCAGTGAATCAATACATCTTAGAGACTGTAGGAATGAATCTCTGCAGTTAGACCATATAATTGCAACACCAATAATAGACATGCCTGTTGATCCATAACCAGCTATGGCTGGAAATGACATGATCTCTATGTCAGAATGTCTCTCTTACAGAAATCTCTGATATCAGATTGTATTTGGTTTTCTAGACGTGGACCATTTCCGTTTACCTTCAAATAATTAATGGTATGCCCTTTAAAATTTTACTGTGTCATCCCAATTATCTGTTCCTTAAATTCCAGAAAAACCCACGCAAAACAATGTTTCAACTATTTTTAAAGAGTAGCAACTGTCAGGCTCTAGGGTTTTGCACCTGATCATCAAATGATTCCAACTTCTCCGCTTATCTCAATACAATCCCTTTGTTAATTACTTTTGAGACCAATTGACGCGGGATGGTCTTCTTGTCAACTCGGTAATAAATTCTTTTCGTATGGGCACACAAGATACGCTCTATAATTTGTCAATTCTTAAACATCTCATCTTCTCTCCATCCTGCACCTGCATCTGGCACACAAAACAGGTCGTCACTGGAAATCACCATGCCTTCTTGATCACCCATAGATTCTCTGTGATTGTTTCCTAATCCCTCTGTTTAGTGTTTCCTGTCTTCCCTTTTTATAGTGGACCAAGATCCATGGTCCTAAGATCTAGGGTTCTTCTTTATGGAAGCTTTCTCTGTTTTCCTCTGGCCTTTTTCTGCTTGGATGCTTTGCACCTATCTTCTCACTGACAGTTAGTAGCCGAGCACCTCCATGTGATTGGCGTCTTTTCCTATGTTGCCCTAAAAGATCCGTTTATCCATGTGCATTATCCATTTATATTTATCTTGAATGATGTTGTTTCCTTACAGGTGCAGAAGTTGGATCCTTTGGTGCATCGTGCCCTTCTTGCTGCATCTGCTGTTCCGGATCTTCAAGGTACATCATATCTCTGCAGTGGCTTTATTTACTCCTATCTCATGGTCTTTTGTCAAACTTCGACTTTTCAATTTGTTAGTAAGTAAAAATCTGGAAGTAGTGGTTTTCCAGATTTTGTTTGCATTTGGAATCTGGCATCAATGTCTATTTGTTTGGACTTTGGGATGTGACACAATAATTAAAAAATAAGTCTGGTCACTGGATTGCCATCAGTGGCAATGTTTTTGGGCTGTCATCCTCCTTTTAGGAAACAGTTATGATAGTATTGTAATAAAATAGGGGAATCTAAACAAGTAAAAAGGTTCTTGGTCTTTCTGTCTTGTTCGTATTATCAAAAATAGAAGGAAGAAAGGCTTTATTTCTTTCATATAAAAGTGTCTACAAGAATGGAAGTATTGATGAATCGACACCAGTTCAATTCGATTTTTCTAATCATATCAGTGAGAAAATGCATAATAAGAGCATCCCTTTCACAAAAACCTAAGGAACCCCCCCTCCAGCCACATCAGCAGCCAGTGAAACCGTAGCTATTATAGCGTAGACTGCTCATTTTTCCTAAATCAGATTCAACCAAACCCCTGTGTCTGTGAAGAGGGGTCTTCTTTGTCTGTTTTGCATGTAGCACTCTGGTCCAAGGCTGGCCAATGTAAAACCTTACTATTAAGTATATTCCACTCATTGCTAATTAAGTTTGAATTTGACAACCTGATTATATACCGTATTATCCGTGTTTCAGGTAGTATTCTTGGATTGCATTTAATGTTTCCATTATCCATGCGAAAAAATGTAAACAAGTTTGGTATCTACATGATGGAGAGTTAGTGGAGGCTGTCATGGTGTATTTGTTTTAATCTCTACTTCGATGAGTGGTTGAATTTTTCTTTCCTACTTTTCTTTGGTTATTTTGAATTTCTCTTTGTTGGTGCTCGAACCATGCCTGACCAAGAATGGATTTATTTTTATACATTCCTCGTATTTTTTATTGCACATGCACATAACCTTTATATTGTACATTTTATGGACTTAGAAATGTTTTGGGAAGGTTTATATGACAGGATGCCCAGCTTCATCGAATCAAAGCTTCTACCCTTTCAACGAGATGGTGTCAGGTATAAGCTACAGCCCTTTTTCAAAATCAGATAGCTCTGTTGTTTTGGGGAAGCATGATGCATAAAATTTATGTATTCTGTTTTTGCATCGTATGCAGGAGTTTCTTCCTGGGGTTTCCTTAGTAAATAATATTTCATGGATTTTTTTTCATTGGTGAGAATATTGACTGAATGATAGTCTGTCTGTGAACTACTTCCAGGAGCATTCACTTTGACTTTTTAAGCCTATAATTTTCCAAAATACCCACAAATCAGCCGGCTTCTGATCAACTCATTTCCAGGATACAAATCAGGCTGTAATTTTGCTTTGGTATAACTCACTTTGATATCTTGGTAGTTTTGTCTGCATAAATAATTCGTGTCGCTTGAGAAGATCTAAATACCATGAATTTTCTTGCACCGGATGGATATTATTAGGATGGTGTGTTTTTTTGGGAATTATTCATTGATGTTTGATCGTAATTCGTATTTGTTCATAGGCTTTGTTTCCGATTTCTAATGAACAATGGTGTCCAGTTGGAAAGAATTATCTTTATGAATTTTGTTTCATTTGCTTGCTTTCTTGTCTTTCTTCTAGGATAGATTATTCTCTTTCGTTCACTACTTCTCACTGGAATCTAGCGGAAAAAAAATTGGCCTTATCTTAGTGTGTAATATTGCATTCCTTTTGCTCCTGGAAGTTTTCCCATTCCATATATTCCTTTTAGAATAGCCCATTTGTTATTATACTTCGCTGTATCATGGTTGTGAGATTCATACAAATTGATGTTCATGCATCTCACGCATATCAGACGTTGACATGTTCACATGATTGCCGATTTAATATATCAAAAAACATTTCATAATTCATCTCATTTCTCAGTTCGCCAAGTAGGCGACCGAAATACTGAAAAACAATACTAATCAAACAAAAGGTCTAGGAAATCAAAAATGAGTTTTATAGTGCGGATTATCCTCAGTACTTCAGCTCTAGTTGTCTGTAATATTGTGACTTTTAGTGAAATTTTTGGGTTTTTGTGTACATCGAGTTAAGCATCATCAGGTTCAAAAGAAATTATCTTGATTTTAGGGAACCATTTCTATATTTTCTGCTTGTATATGTTGACCTAGACTAGAAAGTCTTGACTAGTCATTTTATGTATATATGCATGTTTACTCTTGGCGCTGTTTCTTTTATTAAGTTACCAAAAGTTCACTTATTTTTATTTTAGGTTTCTACTTCGTCACGGAGGCCGGGTACTGCTTGCTGATGAGATGGGTCTTGGAAAGACTCTTCAGGTACTGATTTTCTACCTTTCAAACCTTTTACAGCTCCAATTTCTGGATCTATTTTAGAAGTTATTGTCATGGATTACGATTACCCAGATGACGCAATATTTTTGTTTCTGTATATATACTTGGATAGATGTTCACTGCACTTTTGCTATATTTCACTGATATTTCAGTGTTTGGGTTCGCTGCATAAACAATACTCTTGTATGAATAGTAGTAAATATTAACCCGTTTTCATTTAAATGGCATTAATTTACACTAAAAGTTGGATATACAGATAAGAGTATTTTTTTGTTTGATTAGAGGTGCTTTGGTCTAGAATATTCCTTTATAAGTAAACGAAATAAGAGGTCAGGGAAATCGTTGAATGTCAATTTATTTAGTGTGTTATAAGTAATTGTTCCTTAGTCACATCCAATTTATGTGTGGCTAAAAAGGATTACAGTAGGTATTTACCAGCATAGTTACTCAAACAAGAGGAACTAGACGCATACAAATGCATTTGCAGTAACGGTTGTGTTATTATCTTATGCCGTCAGTGGTTTAATGGATATAGTGACGAGCTTGGAGGATTGTATAATCAGGAAGTCTTCTGATTTTGATTTTATTTTGATCATTCTAGGGGATTATATGCATTTTTTTCTTGTTGATTTTTATAATATCCACGAGCTTTTGTCATGTATATTTCTAAAAGATGGATATCATCAAATATTATCAAAGATACTGGCTTATAAGGGCATCATGTCAAATTTCCAGAGGATATCCCTAGAGAATATGATCCATTGGTGGAATAGCTTTTACAATGTCGCCTAAGAATAGAATATCATATGTTCAGAATGGGGATGTTGGTGGGATGGAGAAACTTTATGTTTTGGTGACAATGACCTCTTTATGATCTTGTTTTAGTTACAATCATAGGTTCTTTTCTAGTTCTAGAATGAGTGATATTCCCTCTTTCCTGTTCATATTTGGGAGTTATCCAGTCTTCCTAAAGTCTAGCGGCCACAGATTAATGAGATGTGTGATAGAAATGGTTCTTTGCCAATCTATTCTCCTGACAGATCAAATCATTTTACCATTGACGGAATCTGTCCTGGGCCATTCAAATGTTTTCCAAACTTTGGATTTTCTTTGCTGATAGCATGAAGTATTGTTATTATTATTTTTGCGCAGATTGCAAGCCTATTTTTGTGCAGATTTTGTTAATGGAGTTGTTTGGGCTGTGTTTGGCAACTTACAGAAAATCTGCTGAAGCAAAACTTTTTTCGTTTTGAACTATGGTGAAATGTGAATATTCACCAGGATATAAATACACACCGCTGCACAGCTATTAACACCGTTGTTCAATCTCCTGGTGAAGTTCCTATATGCTGCAACCCTACTAGATGATGGGACTAGTTTCAACATTCTGAACATGCGTGGGCTACAAAATATTTTCCATTGTAGGAAGTTCATTTGTTATGTTATAATATATAACAGTCTTCATCAAGCCTTTAACATTATAGCAACATTGTTACATTATTCGTTGCAGGCTATTGCTTTTACAGCCTGCATTCGTGAATCTTGGCCAGTTCTTGTCTTGACTCCCTCTTCATTGCGTTTACATTGGGCATCAGTAAGGTTTTTGATAAGTATTTTTTTTTTTCATGTGCTTAGTTGGTGTTGCTTGTATTCGTTTAGATCTTACATGTAATGATGCCTATTAATATATATTTTTTCTATCAGACGATTCAGCATTGGCTCAGCATTCCTCCATCAGATATACTGGCATGTTTTCTAAACTTTCTGCTGCGAGTTCTTATTTTAGGATCTGATATTTTCAGTACAGAACATGGCATTCATGAGCTGCATTAGATATCTTTTTTACCTTTGATACATGTATCTTCATTGCATTTACCGATCACAGTGCAAGTTAATCTATGATGTGCTGTCTAGTTGGAAACTTTTGACGCATGTAAACTCTGGTGCAGTCCTGTAGACGCATAGTGGGTACAGAAAATGAGGTGAAGGGGGGTTGATTTTAGTGTGATCAGCAGTATCTTCTTATCACATCACGTCATGTCACGGCATCAATTTATCTTCTTATCACTTCTTATGAAACAAGTTGGTTGGGAAGGGGGGGGGGGTGGCTTGCTCAGAAGGGAATCAAGTTGCCGTGGATAGACCTTTAGGATGTACTACACAAGCCTTTAGGATGTGACCAGAGCCAGTTCAGGCAGTGTCAACCTGCCTGGTGTCATCTTATTGTGTGGCGAGAGGTGGAATATAGTTCGATTCTAAGGAATTTTGGAAGAATGAAAGAGATATAGCCTTGAGAATGGGCTCAAGGAAATACAGCTATAACCCTATTATTTACAGCCAGGGGTAGCTTGAGATGAGGGACAACGGAGGAAAAAAGATGATAAAAAGGCATACAGCTGGCCCTCCCAGATTCATGGATCCTAACAAACCAGAGCAATTTCTGCCCATTTTCTCGAGCTGAGCATCATTATTAGCTATTGTCCACTTAGTTATCATTTCGTCAAATTGGAGAGGGCAAATGTCAAAGAAAGTTAGTTCATTGAGTCAACATTCTATGAGAGTTTCACATTCTAAAAATACGAAGTACTTATTGTACGAAATCTAGGGAAACGTTTTTCATCTTGCCATTTTAGAAAGTACGGGTAATACACTATGAACTTCAAGAATTTTGACCAGTCCCAGAAAGTGATTTTCCTCTTGAAAGAAAACTCGGTGAGAAAACAGGAGAAGAGGAGTTTTATGCCTGCCTAGCTCCTTTTTTCCTTCTCCCTAGCCCGAGTCTTCCATGATAAATCTCAGAACCTTAAAACAGAGTCAACTGGATTTATTTTTCACTTCTATGTCAATTCGGGTTCGTAGATGTTACTTAAATTTTAAGCCTGTGGCTTTATATCTTTTTTCCTTTTGAGAGAAACTTTGGAGATAGGGGAGTATCTGCAGTAGAACTGTGCCATTGGATGGTCTTGCATTGCCATGTAAAATAGCATTGATATCCTGAGTACTTGCAAATCGACCACCAGCGAAACTATGATTAGCTTCTTACATGAATCTGCTATCTCGTAAAAAGAAAGTCATCGATGCCTTACATCCAGTTAAAACATTTCTTCTACTTGCTATATTCTCTGCATCTATTTGGAGTCTTATTTTTATTTAGTATTTGATAGTATCGCCATCATAATCATGATTTTAACAGCCCTAAATCCTCCTAACTTATCAGGTTGTCTTGCCTCGATCAGGAGGATCGAATCGGGGAGGGTATGATGTACAATACACGAGTGGTAAGGCATCTGTTCGTCTTGATGGTGTGTTCAACATCGTTTCCTATGACACTGCTCAAAAGCTACAAGATGTACTTCTGGAGACACAGTTCAAGGTGAATGAAAATATAGTTTGACAATTTATAATGCAAGTCATCTCTTTACCTATCTTTGACGGGCTTGGGAATACTTCCGTGTAGTATTAGAATTTCTTTTGTGGTTCAATCTCTGAATCATCAATACCTTTTCTTTTGGTGGAGCAATGTTCTGGTTTTTGGCTCTCTTTGTGAAAGGTTTTCATTTTGTGATACTTTTACATACAAATTATTTCAGTATCGTGAGTGAGTGCACTTTTATCCATTGCTAATTGATTTGGGTGCTTTATGGAACACCTCTCAAAAAATTGCACAATCTTTATAGCTGTTCTTGTTGGGACGCGCATTGTTTTTCCCTCATCTCATTTCCTATTTGTAGGCAATTACTTTATGGTTATGGCAGTTGGTTCTTTTCTTGTGTTACAGCTTGTTTTCCTTACTTTTCGGAGTTCTTCTGGGAGGTAGGGGGATTGATTTGTGGTTGAGCCAAAGCTAGTTTGAGTCAGCTTTTTTCTTTATTGGTTTAGCTCTTGGTTGCGCTGAACAAAGGGCTAAACTTCTTGGTTTGGCTGTCCCAAGTTGGTCATGCCATATATGTGGATTGGCTTCCCCTTACGCTGATAGAGCCCTGAGGATATTTATGGAGGGCAGCAGGCTACAATTTAATTAGACAGAGGTAGCAGCTTCACCACAAATAACTGGCAGAATTCTTGCATCAAATCTCATTTTTTCTCTATCCTAGCATGAACACGCAAACAAACAGTGATTAAAAAATTAGTATCGAATAAAAAAAAAAAAATCCTACTGAACTTCTGTTGAGGGATGTTGATTGAAATTATCCCGAGTTCAGGGTCAAAGCTCAACGCTGTGGAGTTGTAGTAACTCTTACAATAATGTGTTAGTTGTACCTATTTCTCCTAATTCTCTCTTAACATATAGTCCACAAACTTGCTGATAAAAGGATTTGACCCTTTGATTATCTCCACAATTTTTTTCATACCACGATCGTTATCCACGTCTCCTAAACCCTGAATATTCATCAATTTTATTTGAGTAATTACGAAGCTTCCATGAAGATCCTCGGTTAATGTTTCTTTGTGTTTAGATTCCAGATATTTCCCTTAGGCAACAAAGAAACTAAAATCTATTGGTCTCATAGTGATTATTTTGGCCGAAATAGAAAGTGAGGCATCTAGTGGGACATTATTTATTATTTCTGGTTTAAATGCTTATTTTCGTAAAAATATTTTTGAAAAAGGAAAAAGAAGATGAAATAATGAAGCATCTGAAGTTTCCCCTTTTAGAGGTTTTGTCTATCGATCCTAAAATTATATTTGTATTGGTATTCATTAAGCATATGATTATTTATACACACAATTTTGCCTTGCTTTTTTTTGTTTCATTAAAATAATTCCAGAGATATAGTTGTGACATTATGAGTACTCATAGGTGCCTTGAAGTTCCAGATCTTTTGTTCATGGACATGGATTCTCTTCACTGATTCGGACTCAATCGTGGATATGCAGAGACTTGAAAATTATCCATCAGCATTTGGAGGGGGTTATACTAATGCTCATATCAGTTTATATGTAACGGTTTATACTTTGTGCATGCTCCTATGATTGCTCGAATTATTCATAGAAATTAGATGTAACACCAGCACTATTGGCAGATGCTTCTAGTCTGATTTTAGGGACGTGGAGGTTGATATCAAGTGTCAACATGGACATGGTTGTATGGCATATAGTTGAGGATTATTGATGATGACATAGAAAGGGAATTGAGTAATCATTTGAATGTTGCTCAAAAGTAGCAAATGCTGGGTGATTTTCTGTTTAAATACATGAATAGTATTTTCTGCATAAGTTAGTGTAATGAATGTTTGTTCAGATTGTGATTGCAGACGAGTCACATTTTTTGAAGAACGCACAAGCGAAGAGAACAAGTGCTTCACTTCCTGTTATACAGGTCTACCATCACACGCCTTCTACATATATGTTACTGAAATGTTTTTGTTACTTTATTGTGACATGCATAATTAACTTTAGTCAAAACATTCTACTAGGACTTCTCAGTTTTAACAAAAAACACCTTTTGCCTGTGTGAAACCCTGATCATCAATTACTACAGTGTTGATCTTTGCATGCTTACTACCATGTGGTGCCTAACGTCTTGGTTTAGCATGCTTTTTACCTTATATGTATTTGTATTAATGTCACATGCTGTCCGCTGAATAAAAATAAAAGTTTAGTGGTGCAGGAGCAATCGAAAATCATTTGAAGTCATCATTTTCTTATCTGATCACAGTTTTTATAGAAGATGGCAACGAACTAGGGTTCACAAAAGAAGGAATGTCGTTCTCCCAACCTGAGGTGTCATAAAATATCTAGTGTTTCCTAATGTACCAATGTGACACGCTGTTCTGAAAGTGAACTTATTTACCTTTTTCCCAGTTCTGTCGAAGAGTGCTTCTATCCATGATAGAGATGTTTTTGCCAGTATGCTAAACAGATATTCTGGTTTCCGAATCTCTTCCTCCATCGCCGATGAATGAGACCATATTCCAAAAAGTGTTCCCCATGCCTTTTCAGTTTCTATAACTTACCTAACAACATCAAGGTTAAAATCTCTGATGCTGACGCCAAGAATCCCATTCCTTCTGTTTCTGTTTTCTTTTTGGTTGGTTTCATGTTATTCTCTATGCCTCCGTCTACTTGTGTACTGGAAAAATCTATCTTGTCTTGATTCTACCCTATTTTCCAGTCTTCGGTTTGGTTAATTGCACCTCAGTAGCCCCTCCCCTTGCATCTCTCTCTCTCTTTCACTCACTCACTCACACACACACCCCCGAGCGCATGTGCTCGCACATGTACATGCATATGCATACTCTGACAATTGTTTTTTAGATGACCATTATAAACCTCTCTCATTCTCATAATCTAGCAGTTTTTCTTATGGATAACAATTCAATTTTCTCTTGTTCTTGAGAATAATGTGTATCATTCTTCAGACCACTATTACTCTCTCTCTCTCTCTCTCTCTTACACGCACAGAGCAATAATGGCACAATTGATCAGGCATTAGGCATTTTATTTTTCCTAAAGAGTTGGATTTCTCACATCTTATCTTTATTTTAGAGAGCTACATATGCAATTTTGCTTTCTGGGACTCCTGCTTTATCTCGACCAATCGAACTCTTCAAGCAGGTGCCTCCCTGAATGTTTATCTTTGCCTACCAGTAAAGCATTGCATCCTCTTTTCCCCTGATACAATCTGATTTGCAGCTACAAGCATTGTATCCAGATGTGTACAAGAATGTCCATGAATATGGAAATCGGTACTGTCAGGGTGTAAGTAGATCATTCCTCTTATTGTTGTACTTTCCATGCTGTCGTATCTTCTATCCTGGTTAATTGTAACTTGGCTTTGTAAACAAATAATTCCAGAGTTTGTTTGGCATGTATCAAGGAGCATGCAACCACGAGGAACTGCACAATTTAATGAAATCAACTGTGATGATTCGCAGGCTCAAGAAAGATGTGCTCACTGAACTTCCTTCAAAGCGTAGGCAGCAAGTAATGCTTACTATTTACATCAAGTAATTCTTACTATTGTACTTCAAAACGCCAACATAAGGCATGATGTTTTGTATTATCTATTATTTCGTTCTTGAATGTTAATTTTTGTTCATTGACACCCCTATATAATTTCTACAAATTCCTTTTGACTGTTTTCTTGCACTTCCTGTTTTATATAGTGTCAGGGTTTTTTTTATTCTAGTTACATATTGTGCCTCATTGCCATAATTGATGGATGGATCATCGTGCCACAATTCTTTTATGCAACACATTTCGTTGGTTTCCCTAGAAATGACCTTGTTATAGAAGATTAGTTTGTCCTTCTCTTTTGTGAATTGCCTGATTTGAATTTTGCAACTTTAGATATGTAAAAATCAACTGGTTGATACACCAGTTTCGTGCTTCAATTTTGTCTGTGCGTCCATTTATCAGGGTCACCACCCTCAGTTATGGCATGGGAAGTGAAGGGGACCTCTCATGGCTGCTCTCTTTCTGTGTTTCTGCCTGATTTCATGGACTGTTTTCCGTTTTCTCCTCACATTTTTGGAGAAACAGATAGAGAGTTTTCGTTACGTTTAAGGCTTTGAAATGTTCATTGGCAACGGTTGGTACTTTGCCAAGGACTTTGACTGCAATGCATTAAATGTGATGTAATATTTGTTTATCTTTCTTCGTTGTCTTAAATAAGAAAAGTGTGCTGACGAACATGCCAGAAGATCTATCAAATGTTTCAAGCTACATTTTGATCCTATTTTCAAATCTTTCACCTGGCTTTCCACTTGAAGCAGGCTTACTGTAAGTCAGTGATGTACCTCTCCGTTGAAAATTATTATGTTCTCATAGAGCAATCTGAATGCATTCTGCACCCTAAGAACTTTCTAACACCTAATGTACACCTTTAACATTCGCATCGCTCGATTTACTTATCCTGATTGTATCATCATATGGGTGTGTTGAATTTGCATCAAAGTGACTACCTTTTTCCACTTTGCCTAGGTCTTTCTGGAATTAGAAGAAAAAGATCTGAAACGGGTTCGTGCACTGTTCTGTGAGGTAGGTCAAATATGTTACTCAAATGGTTTGTCTAGGGCATCCAAAATTCCTCTGAGCATTATTATATCTCTGGAAGTAATAGTCTGTACCTTTGAATTCTGCTGTGGTCTTACACGCTTTGGGACTCCCTTGTTCTCTTTTTTTCAAATCGTTCTTTCATTATGGAAAGTGAATTTTTGAGGATGAATAATGATTCTGCTAAACAAAATTTTAAGAGTACTTCAATTTCATCATATCTTGGGCGCATCATACATGTATTATGTGCTCTATATTTAGACTTTTAAGAGCACATTTCCATCATGGTCGAAGAATATTAAAATCAGGGAAAATCCTCTTCCTTTGGTCTTCTACCTTTTTACTTCAAAATTTTAGTAAACGTTCCTGGTAGGTAAGGTGTTATCCTTGAGCGCATATCAAGGGGATATAGCTTACTCTTTCGAACTTCCTGAATTCAGTATTTATCGTGTGACTTTTAAGAGGATACTTCTTATTCTGCAGTTGGAAATAATTAAAAGAAATATCAAGGAGTCTGACTCTCCAGAAGTGACTGAATCACTGAAAATCTCACAAAGGAACACTATCAATAAGGTATTCCTACCAACTTCATCTGTGTTTTTCAGGTAAACTAACAAATGAATTCGATCTTTTCCCCTTCTCGTCTCTAATTTTTTATTGTATCGCAGTTAATGTGAATTGCCACAGTATCACGATTCTACATGAAGTATAAGCAGATGCTACTTTCCAATATCTTTCTTTATTCCTCTCATTTTCGTGCCAGCTAGATATAGCGAGTGAAGTGCAACATTGAAGGAAACCAATTTACCAACCTCCCTTGGTTCAACACGCATCTCTTAATGCTACCTATTATAGGGAATGAATATTAAGACAGAATCAAAAGTTCAACAAAAATATGGATTTGGAGAAGAAGTAAGATATAAATGCCCAAAAAACATGATAAATGTTTCGGTGACCATCCTTTTGGTAGTTGTCATCGTCAGATTGCTACCGCATTTGTTATTGTTTACATAAGCCGAGGTTTGAGGTTCTCCATCATAAATCCGTATACCATATTATACGCATTCCTTGCCATCTTTCTTAACCTCCTAACAGCTACATGTTTATGCATTACATGCTTCTTGATGTAATATTTTCCCTTGCGATGGAAATGATGATACTACTTGGAAGCGATGGATCTTCATTTTCATTATCTTGACCTGAAATTAAAATCATTTTATGACATTTTATTTTTTTGTTCAACTGCAGATATATAACGATTCAGCTGAAGCCAAGATCCCGGCAGTCATTGACTACTTGAGCACTGTCATTGAGGTAAAGTACTTTTAGGTTATTTATTTGCTTTCCAAATTTGGTTTTGTTGTTTCATTTTTTTCCTTTATTGAATGAAAAAATTGAGTCAAATTGAAGTTAAACTATAATAAACTTTCCATTTGCTGCTGTTGGAATAGACCAGAATATGATACGTTCTTCGAAAACATGTTCTACTTACTTTTTTCATGTCACCAACAAGGTAAATATACTGCCCGTGATCCAGTACACTCCATCGCCGAGAAGGACGATATTATTTAAATCTGCACTGAGATTTTTGTGCTTGGTTTGCTGATTAGCTGGTTGTTTGTTGTTTGGATATGACTATACTTTATCCAAAACCTGGCAAAAGGCCCATATGCTGTTTAGTTTAATATGATGAATGTGATATCTTTTTATGTATGGAGATTCATTGGATATTTGTTCAACGCTTTTGCAGGCAGACTGTAAATTCTTGATATTTGCATATCATCATCCAATGCTTGATGCAATACACAAATTTCTTCTTGTAAGTTAATAATCTTTCCCATGTTTCCCTTATGTTTCTCCATTTTAATGTTTAGTTTCCTAATGCATCCAGAAAAAGAAAGTGGGATGTATACGCATTGATGGCAGCACACCTTCGTCAACTAGGCAAGAGCTAGTCTCACAGTTTCAGGAGAAGGATGATATCAAGGCTGCTGTTGTATGATGCCTCCACCTCAAAACTGATAATCCTTTTGTTTTTTCAACACAGTAATATGGTTATTAGTCTTTAGACTCTTAGCTCTGAATGACATTTATTCCGAGGATCTATCGGAGAGCTTTAGTACCCGGACTGGAGGTTGGTTCAATCTCGTGATTTTCTAGTTGGCGTCAGTGTGATCCACCTGGTCACCTGATATTATTTCTAAATAAGCAGCTCCTCTTGTCCATGATGCGGGAAGAATTACATCGATAAGTACAAATATATTCCTTGCCAAACAACAGTTGCAGTGCTTGTGGATCAATGCGTATTTGGTTTCAGCGTCCTCTCTGGACCTTAAGACACTTGCCTTGGCATTACGCATCATATTGTGCGGGGGTTTTCTATTATTCACTTCTTTCGTCCTAAACCAAGGAGCATGCTACCGTTTTTGTGCAGCTTTCCATTAAAGCTGCTGGGTTCGGGTTGACTTTGACGGCTGCAAGCACAGTCATCTTTTCTGAGCTGTCCTGGACTCCGGGTGATATAATCCAGGCAGAAGACCGTGCTTACAGGATTGGACAGGTAAATGTCGTGAACTCCAAGATTTTTCACTCTCATATTTATTTACAGATATGTGCATATATATGATCTTTGGGGCATGGACCTGGTACACCGGCGATTGGCTTTACTTAACTGGAAGCGTGATGCTTTGAATATGCAATGTCTCCGTTTCTTTTTGACCTCATGAGGTAAAAAGGTAGTTTATGAAAGCGATTTTCGAAAGAGAACCAACCCTTTTTTAATCTGTCGGATATTGTTTGCTGATTCCCACATCATGCTCCTGTCTCTCTCCGATTTCTGGTCTAGAAATCCCGATTCCCTCTATCTCATCAATCAGTTGTGAGAGAATTTAGAGTTAGAAGCCTACATCTCAGCCAATGGCGTTAGATAACGCAGACTATCATTCAAAACCTTACGTATATGATCGCTCATGGAAACCCAGTTACCTCGTGCTTGCCATGTTTGATGGGGTTCTCCTCGATGATGAATGAACTGAATTGTGTATACTTTACTTTGAGAATAATATGCTCTGATTGACTGAGGCTTCCGTGGTGATTGCGGTCTCCGAGTGTGATGGACGCTCTGTGACCCTGTCATTGGTGGTGGCATCACAGTCCACTGTCACTCTGCATTGCTCAATAATGAATTTTCCAAAATTGTTATCAGGTACACTCAGTTAATGTATACTACCTCTTGTCCAATGAAACAGTCGATGACATCATGTGGTAAGGCGCTTCGTTTAATTGTTCATGTGGATTGTGTTGAGCTTTCGCAGCCCTGATTTCTATTTTCTATTACCAGGGATGTTGTTCAGGGGAAGTTGGAGGATCTTGGGCAGGTGATTTCTGAATCCTATTTATCTCTCCCTTTTATCAGAGCGCTGAGAGGAAAACTCTTCCACTTTTCAGTCCTTAGAACGCATGATCGTAGCGATCTGCCCTAAATAGTTTATCAACTCAGAGCTTTGTATTGATAAACCCTACCAAACTTAGGCCACGTACATCAGTCACATCATCTGGGTTCTCGTCCTGCTTTATGCCACCTACCTCTTCCCGCTCATCCTCTATCCATCAGATATAATTTCATCGAGAGGCTGTAGGCTCACTTGCTTCACACCAGCAGCAGTCTCTCTGCTTCTTTCTCCATCGTCAGCTTAGCAAGGCTTCAAGCTTCTCTTCCATTTTCCTGGTAGAAAGGGATTCGTGGCGGCACCACCGTCATCCACGGCCATGATTGATTGCCTTTTTCATCACTGTGCGGTTTGTGTTGCTAAGCCTCCCTCCTCTCATGGTTGTCAGTCGTTGTCAGTGCCAACCAGAGTGTCATCATTGAGGGTGGGATCCTACATTCTGGGTGGAGTTTTTCTTCAGGTATTTTTGTACCATCTGTCGGCTGAGGGTTGACTGGTTCACACGTCAAGACCCCCCCCCACCACATATCCCTGATGAGGGATGACGACTGCACAACCAATGTCAACATACATACATCCCTATGTTCATCCTGGGGTTGCTTCCATCTCATTAATTTGGGTTGTTTCTTCATCCTGGGGTTGTCGACTGCACAACCAATATCGACGTGGCATTTTTCTCCATATGGTTGCTGCTGATTATCTCCGAAAGTATGTATTCATTCCCCTGATCTATATCTACTATCTCTATAGTTTCCTGTATAGGTAAGCATGCCATTTGTTTGGATTGGTTCCTGTAGCGAGGAAAAGGATGCCCAACAGAAGAAAAGATGCCCTGGATTTTACTATTTTCTTCCTGTTTTCTTGACAGTTGATTTATGATGATGCTCTTGTTATCCTCTCCACCTCCGTCCCCGCAGGTGCTCGACGGCCACGAGAACACCTTGGATGCCTCTCGTAAAACAGAGGGCGGCAGCCCCGTTAAGCAGTCAACCCTGGACACCTTCTTGAAGCGCTGCCATGGCGCCGCCGGGGAGCCACCCCCCAGCTCCAAGATGCCCAGGAATTAGCGATCGTCTAGTAAAAAAAAAAAAAAAAAAAAAAAAAAGGAGCTCTTCCCCATTCTGTAAAGAGGGGGGACCTCTCTCTTGGGGCTTCAGTAATTTTTGGCGGGCGGGCTCATGCCAATGCTTCCCAGATTCTCTTCTTCTTGTAAATGCCACGATCCGTTGACCGAACATCATCTGAAGAAAGAAATTCCCAGTTCTATTGGCGACGAGAGGGTCAGATATTTCTTTATTTTCTCTCTTTCTGTGGAAAAGGCGCTCAGTAATTGCTATGGCTCATGACGGGGGAGCTTGATTGATGATGATTCTGGTGTCAGTTTCCACCAGCTGCTCTCATATTCTTGTAAATTCGAGGATGCGTTGACCGAAAATAATCAGACAAAGGAATCCCAGTTACAAACATTTCTCTCTCTCTCTCTCTCTCTCTCTCTCTTTCTCTAGATATGGCGGCGCACACTAATTGCTACGTTTCATGACGAGAGGAGCTTGTTTGATTTGATGACTAATAACTTGACATTTTGATAATAAACGGCGTGATTCGAGCCCTCAAGCCTGAGTCGGGGCAGGTTAGATACGCCGAGCATCAGCCCCTCCAGAATGGGCTTGGAAGACGAAGGGGGCTGAGGGTAGTTGGCGTCGCTAAGCATCTTTCCAAAGCTTGATGTCGGAGAACGGCCCATCTCTTAAGAGAGAGAGAGAGAGAGAGAGAGAGCAAGAGGGGATGGGTGGGCTTCCATTTGACGGTGTATATGGATAGATTCATTCTGTCGGATTGTGTTCCCGTGGGCAAACTCAGGTCGTGTTCCCGCTCACTGCAGCCGCAAGTCGGCGTCTTTTCTCCAGCGCGGCGAGAATCTACGCTCCTTCCGTCCCGCGGTGGGGACCCTCCAGGGGGATCAGCAGCAATGGCTCTGCGGAGGGCGTTGGGGATGTCGGACGGGGAGCTGATGAGGTCCGACGCGAAGCCCTGCTCGAGGCTGATGCGGCACACGGCCGGCATCTTCTCCGTCGGCGGCGCCCTCGGCTTCTGGGTCCTCTGCCGCCTCCACTACGGTAACGCCCCCCTCCCTCTCCTCACAATCCGAGCCAGGGCTACCTAGGGATACTAGGGTCGTGTTTCCAGGGCTACCTAGGGATCAGTCGTGTTGCCATGCTCGCAAACGCATCCAGGATCGTCCTTGTGATTTTGGAGGGTGAATTCTCAGGCATCGTCATAATCTGTCATCTTTGATCTTCTGGCTGTTGTCTGGTGGTTGAGGGAGGGTACTTGTTTGAATTCTCAGGTACTTGTTTGATCTTCTGGCTGTTCCGCAATATTTCGGCATCAGGAGAATTAATAAGCTCCCAATCACCCAGATTTTTGGAAGGGAAGCAGCTTTTTCTCTCCAGGAAATATGGGAAAGTCTATGAAATCTCTATATTATCCAGATTTACAGACAGCTGCTTCTGCATGAGATGAGGGGGGGGAGGGAAATTAATAAAGTCTCAAATACGCAGGTTTAGAATCAGCTGCATCTTTCCAGCAAATTTGTGGGTCGGTGCAGCAGGGAAATCAAAGAAATCTCCTTCCTTTACCCAGATTTTAGAAGCTATGAGTGCCTTGCAGCTGGGTGCCTCTCTTCATGAGATGTGTGGTCTACTACTAGCGTGTTGTTGCCTCTCTTCAGGAGAACTTTAGTATGGTTTCTGAGGGCTGGCTTCATCGGTGCTTGCGTAACTATTCTTGCCCCAGCTGGTGTGACCATGCTCTCTCTCTCTCTCTCTCTCTCTCTCTCTCTCCATTGCACCAGATGGCAAATTTTATTGATTCTTTCATGCGGGGGGCTGTTCTGAGGACCATCTACTTAACATCATCCATAATGACCTCATTTATTTATTGGGAAATGAAGGCCCGAGGATAACTGTTCCGAGGAGTCTGAGGTGGGCAACATGCGGCGCTGTCTCCATGAGCTCGACATCGGCGCTGCTGGTCCGGCTGTTCAGCCCCGAATGTGAGCCGCAGAACATCGCCGCCTTCGACAAACCCAAATGAGGCGATGTTCTACCTGATCCAGTGCGGGCATTTTCAGGCGAATTACCCCATCTGGTGATCATCTGGGTCCTCAGATTCTATGTGGTCAGTGATCGATCATTAACTATAAACACAGGTATTATGAATGCCACGGATTATGAATGCCACAACAATATTCGTTTACATCTGATCTCGATTTATTACATCAGCAAGCTCTACCGTCAGAGGTAAAAACTGTGCAAGAAAGAAAAAATTGGGCATGGATCGATCTTTCTCGGCGGCGACATATCTATAGGCCGCCGCCGGTGGATCCCATCTCCTCATGATTTTCTCCCTCTCCCTCTCTCTCTCTCACTCTCTCTAACTCAGCCTGCGAAGGGGGCAAACTCCACAAGAGCACTGATGAGGTGGCTCCCGTTCAATGGCTGGGCTCTTCTCCGGCGATCGAGCCAGTAGCAGACGGAGGAGTTGATGGGGATTGGGTTCCTGAGCGGCGGGCAAGGCTCCGGCGAGACCCTGTCAGAGTAGCCCTCGCTGTATGAGCATCTCCATGGCGGCTCCGACTTCACGTTGTTGAGCGCAATGTTGGAGAAGCAGATATCCCTCAAGCTCCCACCTTCAATTCCCTCCACAATCCCCGCCTGCTTGATGTTCTCTCCAACCACGTCCCTTATGGTGATGCTCTTCACCAAGGGGAGCTCCGCCAGCCCACCACCGCCGCCACCGCCGGTGATCACAAAGGCTGTCTCCACATTGGTCATTGTCACACCGGAGATGAGGATGTTACGGATGTATCCGCCTCCAGTGGCGGCGGCCCTGATGGCGATGCCGCTCTTGGAGTTGGACAGGCGGAGGCCATCTGCCCGGATGTCGGAGATGCCGCCACTCGACGTCTCACTCCCGAGGGTGATCCCTCCGCCACCTGAGCCGGTGATCTGGGTGATGGTGATGTTGAAGCTTGGCCGGGCAGTGGCGGCGCCGCCATGGTCGTCCCACCCGCTCTTGACCACGATCAGGTCGTCGCCGGTGCTGATATAGCAGTCCTTGATGCACACGTTGCAGGATGAGTCTGGAAGAATTTGAGGAGGCCGTGGTCAGATATGAGTGACATATTGATCGACAACGGCATGAGGGCACCCACTGTTTTCCTTTCCTTGTCTGGGTGGCATGATCTTGCTGTGAAGATCATCAGGAAGCTGGGATTGCAGGGGCAAGATACCCCACCATCAATCTCAAAATTGCTCGGAACGTAAAATTCCGTGGCCAAAAATAGTTTTTTTTTTTTTTTTTTTCAACGAGAAGAACCAGTCTTGAGAAAGATACTTACAGAGGAGGGAACTAGGATTGAATCCAACACCAAATCGATCGCTTGGTTGCTAGGAGGGGAGGAGCCTAGGATTTTTATTATAAAAAAATCGAAAGAAATAGCTGGCCTCGATCTCCTCAGAACACTAGATCGACCCCTAAATACCATCTAGAAACCCTTGAATCGGCCAGAAATCAACGCCTGATAAAAGTCAACCCATCACGGCCATGAGAAAAACACAGACAGGGAAGATGATTCTGGTCACTTGCGGCTTTAACTTCTTCATAGCTTTCTACAAGAGGAAGCAGGTCCTCTCATGTCGAGGAATTAGTAACCTGCTAGGTGATGAATGGGTTTCTTTTTTCTTTTTTCTTTTTTTATTTTTGGCCCCCATGTCTGGATTCATGAGGGAAATAGCTGATATAATTTTGCTAAATTAGGGAAATAGCCTGTTCTGTGGACCCTGTTGCTGATATTCTCATTCCTTTCACCACTTCAATCGACAATGCAGAGTACTTTTCCTCGATTGGATCATGAGCATTCCTTAGTGAAATAATACCGAGGAATCAGCTCTGCATTCCAAAGTTTCAGAAAAGACAGGGAGAGCTTGACTCTCATGAACATTTTTTCTCGTTTTTATCGTCCTTGAGAGAGAAAATGGTAACCCCGGGAAAGAAAAGTCAACGTGCCATTAGGAGCTGCAAGGAAAAAAGAGGGGAAGCAAAAAAAAAACCATGTTTTCTTACCTGGATCGATACCATCGGTATTTGGTGAATCAGGGGCCGCGAGGATCGTGATGTTCTGGATGAGGACTTGGCTGTTCACCAAGCGAGACACAAGTCAACCGATCGTCAGTTTTAATGAGAGAAAGTCATCCGAACTGAACAACTGAAGCAACAGACCTGCAGTACACCGGATGGATTGCCCAAAATGGGGAGTTCTTGAAAGTCAAATCTGAGATGACGACCCCGGTCGAGTGCATCAGCTCAACGAGGTGCGGGCGGGTGAAGTTCAGGATATGATTCCTGGCCCATTCCCACCAAACGCCGCCCTGCCCGTCAACTGTCCCATTGCCACCTGGAACGATCAGACCATCCAATTACTGCATGGAGATCGGTCAAAACACTCGCCCCCGATGGATTCTCTTCCCCTCCCCAACTCACCCGTTATCACAACATCGGTAAGGTGGGACCCAAAGATGAGGCTCTGGTGCCTTCCACGTGGCAGATCCTTCCCCTGGCCATATGATGGCAGGGGGTCAACGATCGGCCAGTCGCTTGGATCCTGAATTTGATTTCATGCATGAACGAGGCTTATATATCGTTGAATAACGAGGAATTCAATTCGATCAACTATTCCCCATAATTTTTCAACAAAATTCTCTGGTCAAAACAAAGAGATGGGAGAGGATCAAACCCAGGGAGCTCACCGTTGACCCGAGAATGACAGCATCCTTGTCCAAAGACAGGGTGAGATGACTGATGAGGCTGAAGCTCCCGGTCAACCACTTCCCTGCAGGGACGAACAGCTGGGCCCCACCCTTGTCGGCGAAGGAGTGGAGATAAAAGATCGCATTCTGAAATGCCTTGGTGTTGAGCGTCACCCCATCGCCCACTGCCCCAAATTCAGTGATGGAGACACTGTGCGGACGGACGGGGTCTGACTTTGCTCGCCGGCAGCTTGCGGCGGCCCACCGAGCTTCGTGGATGGCGGCAGCAATGAGAAGAGCACTCAGGAGCTGAAGAACAGCAGTCCAAGTCCAAACTCGAATCAATTAAAATCCCAACGGCATTTGAATAAAAAATGCCGAGATGATCAGAGCCCAGGAGATAAAAGCCCCTTTCAAGGGTATCTCGAGCCAGTCGGGAAAAAAATGCAATGAACTGGAAGAACAGTACGAAAATCTCGTTGAACGAAATCGTTGGCAGAGAAACTAAAAACTTTTCAAAGAACATTCTTGATCAACAAGAACGAGTGTACATGAATTGTAGCACAAGAAGATTCATAGGATGATCACAGGAAAAATAAGAGGAAATCAGCATTGGACCCAGATCCTGCCGCAAGCTCTCTCTCTCTCTCTCTCTCGATCTCAGATCAATGCAGGCATTGTTCACTCGAAGAAGAAGAGATGCCCACAGAAGCAGGGATCGAAGAAGAAGAAGAAGAAGAAGAAGAAGAAGAAGAACCACTTACGGTGGAAAACCTCCTCATAATACCAGAGCGTGATTCCTCGCTGATAGAAGCCCCTAAAAAAGGAATCCCAAGAACAGCAGCCCTACTTCTATTCCGCCGCCGCGGCTTAGCAGATCAGCGGGAGCAGCAGGACCAATGACGGGAACCTCGCGACGACCCCAGGCACCGGCGACCAGAGTTCGTCGTCTGCGGGAGGGCGGTGGCGCCGCAGCTAGAGATCCCCGAGGAAAGCAAGAAGGGTCCCTCCCCGACGGGCCACGGGGAGCAGACCCATAGAGCGCGCCGCCGCCGCCGCTTCTCCGAGCAGAGAACCGCTCCACCCTCCGGCTTCTGCTTTCAGCTCCCCAAGCAGTCCGCCTCAATCAGAGGCGCCCCCTTCCCCCTCCGAGAGGTACAAGACGACGACATCCCACCGAGGAAAGCGCTGATTCCGGCAGGAAAATCCGTCAAGCCCGTGCCCAATTCCTTAAATGTGAAAAACGGCGGAGGGAATTCAGCCTGATTGCCGCGGGAGCCGGGGGGGGGGGGTGAGGAGAGTTACTTCACCTCCGTCAAAATAGCCTTCATTTCCAGGCATGTACCTGATTGATAAACCTACTAAAACTAGAAATACAGCGTACGAAAAATGAATGCAAAATAGGAAAAAATAATGCGAGCACAAGAACGAAGTCCGGATTTTGAAGATTCCCCGCGCGATTTCTCCAAAAATTCAGGCCCGTGGTAGCGAGCGGGCTCGGAATCGAGCCCACAAGGAAAAAATTAGTCAAGAACCCGTACAAGCCAGTCCCCGTGCCCATCTGCTGCCTCTCTCTCTCTCGATTTACAGAGAAGAGAGGAGGAAGATCCCGATCCCCGGTTCAGGGGGGTCCACGGAGCTGAGAAAGGAGAACAAGAGGAACAGGAGCAGGAGGAAGACGACAGGCATGCAGCACATGAGAAGAGGAGGAGAAGACGCCCTGACCTGCAGTCGTTTGATGCCATGAATACTCCTCGGGGTGACAATAAATGAGCTACAGAGATCTTGCGAGTTAGAGCCCCAGCCCTCTCTCTCTCTCTCTCTCTACTCCCTCTCTACCCTCCAGCTCTGCGTCGTCGTGGGACTAAATGCTGCAATTGGAAGGGCATGCAGGGGGAGAGAGAGAGAGAGAGAGAGAGAGAGATAGTGGGAGACTCCCCCCCTCCCATGACCGAGGTCCCTATTCATTCCGTTGCGGAGGCCCACAGCAGCAGGCCCCAGTGTCATCTTGTTCATTTTGTCGATCTCTCTCTCTCTCTCTCTCTCTCTCTGGAACGTCCGCTCTCCCTATCTCTATAATTCACCCTCCCCCTTTCTCACTAGTTCTCCCCCCTTCTCTCTCTATCTCGATTATACCACGCCAAACGCCCTGGATGTGATTTTCCTCTCATTCAATAGCCATTGCAGATTGGACATGATTCGTCGCTCTCTCTCTCTCTCCATATATATATATATAAAGGGCTCTGACTATCCTCTCGAATAGAACCCGACGAGTCCAAACTCCCGGGAGGTGCCTTCCACCATCTGCCTCCTCGGGGGCAGTAAAGAAGGGGTCTCTCTTTTACCAGTCCCAGACGTTATCACATCAAGAAGAGTACTCTCTCTCTCATCCATCTATCTTTGAAATTCATGGTTCTCGGGCCAACGTCAGATTTCATGGTCCTCGGACAAGACGAGATGGAGGAGCGTATGCCTCAAAGGGGTCATCCGCTCTCTCTCTCTCTCACGCTGAAAAGGATGGAGCAACAGGCAATTCTCTGACGTGCAAGTGTCATTAAAGGGAACTCGAGAAGATTCAAAACAATAATTCAATAAACGAGTGACTGATTGCAAAAATTATCTTCCAAATTCAGCTACCATTTTTCTCGGTTTCAACCTTCATAGTCCCCATTTACTGCACGTACACGTACACGTACACGTACACGTACACGTACTCTCCCCTTCATTTAGTTCGATATTTTTCTCTTTGCCTGCTTCATTCACCGTGAAAACCTACGACCCATATTTCTGTGAGATTTCAGGGCCATAATTATTCTTAGATCTCCTCTTCACATGCTCCCATGGTGATGACATTTCGACATGCTGTGTTCTATAATTGCATTCAAGTGTCAAATGATACTATTTTCCAATGCACAGATTTCTCGTCCGATTGATGATATACATCTTCCTTGAAACAACCACAACCATGCTAGTGTACATAAATCGCCTCTAATTGATACAACACATTTTTCACCGGAACATACGCAACCATGGCAGATGTGCATACAAAAACTTAAACACTCCTTAGGGGGTAACATTAATTTTCAAATGTTCTTGAAAATTGAGATGTCGGCAAAACCCTAGATCACTAGAGGATGGTGTTGTGTGAATAGAAGAGAGGAGAAAGATTGGAATGACTTATCTTATTGAATGTCTTTTGCATTTATACCCTACCACTTACATAATGAGGCGGTGGGTCTATTGAAGCCCAAATTAGGTCATAAGAATGTTTCTAAAAAACTGCAAGGCATAAATATAATTCTAAAAATAAAAGGTAAACTTATAAATTGATTTGACATTCTCTATCAAACTAGTGAGTGAATGCCATCCATATTCAACTTGGAGACAATTCTCTTGAATATTAACTTACTCAAGCCTTGGGTGAGCATATTCGCCTATTGATCATGTGATGAAAGGTATGGTATTCATTTATGTAAACCCACTTTCTAATTTCTCCCAAGGGAAATGACAATCAATCTATATGTGCTTCATATAATTATGTTGTAGTGGGTTCTAAGTTATGCTGATGGTTGATTTGCTATTGCAAAAAAAAGTGATAAGAGCACTCCATCAAATTTTCAAATCTTCTAGAATGCCCTTCACCTAAAGTACTTCACGTATATTGTGGGTCATTGCTCTAAATTCAACCTCTTTACTTGATTTCCTCACTACCTAATGTTTCTTATTACATCTCATGACAAGATTTCCACTTAGAAGTGTACATTAGCGAGAGATGGATCTTCTATGAATTATTGGTCTTGCATACTCAACATTGATAAAGATTTCAATATTTATATTTTCATTATTTTATAATAAAATATCTATGCATACTATTCCTTTCAAATAACATAATACTCTATTCACTTTATTCAAATAAACTTGTTTTGAGTTTTTAATGGATTGAATTATAAAGAGTATAACTTTTAGTGATTCATGATGTCAAGAATATATTACAAAGTATATCTATTGATATTCAAAAAAATACTATTTGAATGAATAAGCTATATGCGTACAATCAATTAAATTGATATCCAAATAATTTGAAAGTAATACTTTAATATTATGAACGCATGGTGGATAAACATTCATATCAAAATTTTATTTCTTAATATTTTGTTGATTTTGATGTCATAATCATGATTTTGATCATGATGACATATTTTTTACATATTGATGCTTTCCACAACAATATGTAATATGATTATTTAATGACGAAATCAACCATTTGTATAAATTCTACATTTTTAATCTACAATGAATTATTATCTAAATATTTATTAATATTATATATAATAACTTCCATGTTTATCCTCATATCGTGCATACTTAGAATAAGGTATAATCTGATCATTTTAATTGATCTTATATTTTTTTTTGTCATCATCAAAATATCATGAATATAATATTCCAAAAATCTAATCATGAAAGTGAGATGTATGGGATCCAAAATAATTATATGTTCTACATCATTTCGTCTCTATTTTATCTACTCCTATAATATTTACTAGTCAACTCACTAAAACATTCAATATCTAAAACATATATTATACTTATTACATCAATTTGAAGTTATCTATTTTTCATACTCTATCCTTTGATCAAAAATATTCTATTTATATCTTGGAGGTCTTGTAGAAAATAACTTTTTTTTTAAGGGGACCCAAGTTTCTTCAGGCCTATAAATATTAATTTTAGATCTAGGAATGTATACATCTCTAATAATTTTAATTTTAAATATCTTTCCTCAGCATTGTACGTCTACCCTTGGGAATATACCTAAATGTTCAATTTTAAGTCCTTGTCTCAAATATGTGTTTTCATGTTTACGAGTGAGCCTATATGTCTTATTAATTTTATTTTGTCTCATGATTATTTTTTCATCCCTAAGAAATACCCCATTCCTTCATTTCTTGATAATGACCATTGACCTCTAAAAATTATATTCATATTTTTCTCATATACATAGCTTCAAATAGGTTGAATTCAAATCAAAAAGTTTTACTGCTAACAAAGAATGTTTGGTTTGAGGATCCACACAATATTTCCTTAATTTTCATTTTCTTTTTCAAAATTATTTTTTTTTATTTTTTGTATATATTTTAAGAGTCTTAAATACAGTAATTGATTCATCACAAGTAAATATAATCTTATCCTTAGACAATTTAGATTTAATTCTTGACTGTACCTTATCTTTTTTCTGTTGTCATACATATGTGTACTTCTTCTTTGTCTGAGCAAAACTTCATTTCCACTTCATGTCATTGCCATGGCCATTGTTCTTTTAGTTTGCTCACTTTTCATCTTTAGACAATGAGCCTTGAAGTAACATGGTCTATTACATTTATAGTAATTTTCTTAGCTTTCTTTGAACTAGATTGAGAATATAGTCAATTTTTATATTTTTCTCTCCTTCTCATGCTCAATATCTTCCTAAATTATTTAGAAAAGACTGTAGGATCTTCTTCAATCGAACTTGATTCACTAAAAATATTTTTCATTTTTAGGGAAATACTTCTTATAACCCATACATTCATCTAATGTAGTGTTACTTAAATCCCTAGCCTCCTAAACAAGCCTTTTAGGTTTCCATTATGCTATTAGAAACCTAAGAATTATCTTATTTAACACAAAATTTGTGAATATTCTCCCTAGCCCTACACAAACTCATCCCCCTCTCTCCTTCCCTTACCTTCTGAAGGCTCACCGGAGTGCCGCTTGGGCAAGTGGGAAGGAGAGTCGCCGGCGAGAGGGGAGGAGACGTGTCGGGTTCTTTCTAGGGTTTATTGAAGGTTTTCCGAGAGCTGTCGGTGAGGTTCGGAGGCGATGGGGAGGAAGAACAGGGGGGAGTCCAAGAGGCCACCTTCGACGACCCTTGCTGCCGCCTGCCATGATGGTCAAGAACAGTGGGGGAAAATCTCTTTTAGCCTCAATCCTTGCGTTTTATCGCTTATAACCTTTGCGTTTTACCCTCGTTTTGACCCCTGGAGATGTCTCCTATCATCCAGGTCCAGGGCTGAGTGCGTCCAGGGGAAGAAGCTTACTGAGATGTTGCAGATGATCGGCAGGTCAGGGAGCCCTCTCGTAGATTCTTCTTCTTTTCTTCTCATTCTGGTTATCATTTCTTCATTCCTTCCGTGGAGAGGATTCTGATGTTCCCTCTCTCTCTCTCTCTCTCTCTCTCTCTCTACACCCTCGTTCTTTCTCCCTGGTACGTCTAGAGAGGTTGAGCTGGAGAGACTGTCGAAGGGTGGAATCCCGGATAAAATCTGGACCAAGGTAATGGTAAAACGATGAACAAGGCACTTCTGGTTTTCATATTTCTTTTCCTCTATCCAAAACATTGCTAGAATAGGATGGAATTTCTCTTGAATTTATCTACCCTTGATCGTCACCTGCGATCTTACTCCAAACGGGAAAAGATTCAGTGTTCGTTATCCGCACCACCTCCTAATCGCAGTGCTGGCCGATGACGAATTGCTGAATTGGGCACGATTACATCAAAGAAGAAGGGAGGGGAAAAAAAAAAAACCGTCTGAAACTTTTTTAGCTCGGACTAATCCCTTGATTCAGATTCTTCCCATCAGAAACTCCTCCATTGACATCTAATCATCTGGGTACAGCAACAGTTTGCCATCGGCATCAATGACGTCACCCGGGTGCTCGAGAGAATGTCCAGGAAGGAGAAAGGTCTTCAAGCTGAAAAGGACTCCGCCGCAATTCATCATCGCCCAAGTCCTCTCGTCTCTCTTCAGGTTGGCTGCTGATTCCCACTATTCGTCCCGCCATTCCCTTCTGTTGTTGAGAACACTTGGAGCGTGCTTGCCTTTTTTAGCACATTCATCACCTCATCGATCGGTATTTCTTCGTTACGTTTATCTGTCAGAGTTCCCTCAATCGAACTGAGGCCAAGCCTTTAGTTTTGCCATTTATATGTAGAGATGATGATACATTCTTCGCTGTTCAAAGGTAGCTTGAGTAATCAGCTCACCCTAAACATCAATCATGCCCCTTTCCGCAATACTTCCATCACTTAGCCATTAATTAATTTATCGAACACTATATTTTTTTTTCCTGAGACTCAGGTCTACATGGCATTATTATCTGCTCTCTCTCTCTCTCTCTCTAACATATGAGCATACGGGCTATCCTCCTTGCCATTTTTGGAGTATTTTGAAGAATATGCCATGCAAAATTGTTCCTCATTAGAGACCCAGCAAAGTTTGATATATTTTCCATTAAAAAATGGAGTCTAATCTGACGTTTTTTGCCTGAAAACCCATCGAAGTTTGATATGTGTATTGGGTTTCCAAGTCAAGGGAATATGGGCTCTCTCTCTCTCTCTCTCTCTCTCTCTCTCTCTCTCTCTCTAACCATTAATGGAGGAGAGGGTGCCTAGCTCATGGCTATCCTTCTTACCATTAATGGAATATCTTGAGACATGCATCATTTTTATCTATTTATCTGTGTCTGGACGCTGCTACCGTCCGCGCGCAGTTTATATATTTATCATTGGATGTATGTTCATTTCCGGGAACGTAGGCCGTCCTTGTGGCCTCTGACTGCACCCCGAGATACCTCACCCACCACATCCCGACTCTGGCGAATTCCCTTGGAGTCCCGGTGGTCCCCGTCAGGGACTACGGAGGAGGCTCCCTCCGACTCGGCGAACTGGTCAAACTCAAGACAGCCATGGCCGTTGGTGTGAAGGTTGGTTGGCCTCCCATTCACAAGTCAGCGCCTCCCTCCATCTGTTCACCGGCTTTTGCATTCATGGGTTCGTCTTCGTTTTTTTCCAACAGGCCAGGGGAAGCAGGATTAACAAAGCCATGGAGGAGTTTCTGAGATGTGAAGGTTGGTGGGTCTCCCATTCATAAGTCAATGAGCACCCCCCACCCCACCCATTCTGGTCGTCGACTTTCCTTTCATGGGTTCGTCTTCGTTTTTTTCCAACAGGCCAGAAGAAGCAGGATTGACACAGCATGGGGGAGTTTCTACGATGTGAAGGTCGGTTGACCTCCGATCACAAGTCAACGACCCCCCTCCCCTCACCATCGGTTTCTGCTTTCATGGGTTCGTCTTCGTTTTTTACAACAGACGAGGGGCAGCCGGTCACATAACTTTTGTGAATATTCTCTCGAAAAAAATTGAAGTCTTTGGAGAGTTTAAATATATCATCGGCCATTATTAAATATCCGCATATATCTCGTTCATATTTTGCTCATTATTATTATTACATTAGGAGACGCAATTCTCGATTACGGAAGTGGGATCGTCAGGATAATTTCGTGATTTTTTAGAGAGAGAGAGAGAGAGAGTGCGGGACCCGCCCAATAAATCGGAGCTGCTCGCCGGCTCCACGTGGCTCATCATCGTTAAAGAACACCCTTATCCCCTCACGACTCTAAATTACCGCACGTACGTCCAATGGGCGGACATCGCCTGACTCACACCCACGTGGAGATTCCCTTCCCCCCGGTCCACGCACTTCCACTGTCTCGCGGAGCATACAACCTTGACAGAAGTCAACATGCTTCCCGTCTGGATAATCCTCAGAGAGAGAGAGAGAGAGAGAGGGGTGGTTTTATGCTTTAGTATGCTACGGACTAGGTTAACTCTCGTGACGATATCAGTTCCCCCTCACGCGCGCCGCGTTCAGAGCGGAAAAAAGGTGTTTTTCTGTTAAGTTGACTCTCCACGAAAGGGGGCCACTTGCTATTTATTATTCAGCCCCCCAGAAAAAGTAAATCCTGCCCATGGGACCCCACTCACTATTTATTATCAGCACTCTCGGAAAAGTAAAATCCTGCCCACGGGGCCCACTACCCTGCCCACTGAATGCACGAAAGGTTCCCCTACGCCAAAAGATCATAATTGATTGTTATATTAAATGTTGTATAATATTCTGGTTTCGGGCCGTTTATTTCGGCCCGAAGCCCATTCTCGGCCGAATCGGATGAAACACAAACGGGCCCGGACCGGCCCAGCCCGTCGAGAAACCCCCTCTTGCTTGCAACGGCGAATATACATCCAAATAATAATATAAAATAAGATAACATATAATATTAAAATATAATATGATGTAAGATAAAAAAGCGGGAAAGAGGGTGAAAGTGCGAGGGGAGTGGGCCCACCTTCCCGCCGGCATTTAAATAATTGTTAGAAAAAAGAGCAAGTGGAAGATGCGTCGATGCCCCTTCCATCTTCTTTCTTCTTCCTCGTACCCTCCCTCCCCTCGCCATCGCCGCCGGCTGAAGAGGCAGCGGAGGAGGAAGGTCCGATCAGGTGGCTGATGGCTCCGGATCTCCCCAAGGTGGCTGCCATGGCCGTCGATCGCATCGCCGTCAACGGCCACCGGGGCGACGGCGTAGTCGCCAACGGGCGCCACGAGGACGTTGGTGTGGTCGTCAACGGGGAGGGGGATGACCGTAGGGTTTCGAAGAAGCTGCGGAAGTTCCCGATCAGCGCGGAGGAGATACGTCAGGAGTTCGGCCACCACGACCGGGGGATTGCGCGAGTGAACAATGGGAGCTTCGGGAGCTGCCCGGCGTCGGTTCTGGCGGCGCAGAAACGGCTGCAGGAACTGTGGCTCAGGCATCCGGAGGCCTTCTTCTATGACGTGCTCCAGCCGTCCATCCTCAGGTCGCGCCAGGTGATTCGATCGCTCATCAACGCCGAATACGTGGAGGAGGTGTCCATCGTCGACAACGCCACGACCGCCGCCGCCATCGTGTTCCAGCACGTCCAGCGGGCGTTCTACGAGGGGGTGTACGAGAAAGGCGACTCCATAGTGATGCTCCACTACGCCTACGGATCAGTGAAGAAGTCGGCGCAGGCATACGTGGCTCGCGCGGGGGGTAACGTGGTGGAGGTGCCGCTGCCGTTCCCGGTTAAGTCGGAGGAGGAGGTGGTGGTCCAGTTCAGGAAGGCTCTGGAGGCGGCCAAGGACGGGGGCAGAAGGAAGGTTCGCCTGGCCGTGATCGACCACATCACCTCGATGCCCAGCGTCGTCATTCCGGTGAAGCGGCTGACGAAGATCTGTCGGGAGGAAGGCGTCGAACACGTATGGTGCCGTTTATCTCCCGTCATGGATTGAATTTCAATTTTCAATTTGGTGGATGAAAGGATTTCTGATTGTTCTTCAATGGATGAGCGGCTTTCAAATTATGCTTCCATGGATGAACGGATTTCAAATTGTACTTCCATGAATGAACGGATTTCAAATTGTACTTCCATGGATGAACGGATTTCAAATTGTACTTCCATGGATGAGTGGATTTGAATTCACTATATTGGTGATGATTGGGTCCAGGTGTTTGTCGATGCGGCACACGCAATTGGGAATGTGGAGGTGGACATGAAGGAAATTGGTGCCGATTTCTACGCGAGCAACCTGTACAAGTGGTTCTTCTGCCCGCCGTCGGCCGCGTTCCTCTACTGCCGGAAGTCTCCCACCTCGCCGGATCTTCACCACCCGGTCGTGTCCAGCGAGTACGGGAAGGGTCTGCCGATGGAGAGCGGCTGGGTCGGAGCCCGGGACTACACCGTGCAGCTCGTCGTCCCCGACGCGGTGGACTTCGTGAACAGATTCGAAGGGGGTGTCGCGGGTATCACCAGGAGAAACCACGAGAAGGTTCTTGAAATGGGGGAGATGCTTGCCGACGCCTGGGGGACTTGCCTCGGCAGCCCGCCCGCAATGACCTGCAGCATGGTCATGGTGGGCTTGCCCAGTTCTCTGGGCGTTGCAAGCGACAAAGACGCGCAGAAGCTGAGGCGACATCTGCGGGAAGTTTTCCGAGTCGAGGTCCCCATTTACTACAACTCCCCAAAGGAAGGCGACGATGGGCCCCTGGAACCCATAAACCGTACAGCTGCGTACGCCAGAATCTCCCACCAGGTTTACAACGTGGCGGACGACTACTACAAACTTAGAGATGCTGTGAGAAAGCTCGTCGTGGACGGGTTCACTTGCAGGTCTCTTTCTTCTAACTGATGAACCGCTGAGAAGGTACGAATCCGGCATCCCTCCTACCTAGTGGCTTCTCTCATGCGGATGGCTGATTCACTCGCACTCTCACATTTCGGTCACTAGATCATGGGAATTGGCTCAACGCCCCTTTTCTCGGTGTTCAATGATTTTCTGACAACATACTCTGGGAGTAGTGAGGTCTCTGGTCGTTCGATTTCACGGTGAAACGTCGTCGGCCCGTCTCTGCAACTTCCCCCCCTTCCCTAAAATACCCACTGTCGCCGGAATTCTTTAACCCTCTGAATTCTCTCCTGTAGAAAAGGATTTCTTCTGTTCACGGAATTCAGTGACGTGCTGCTTTCCTACCCTTCGTTTGTACGACATAAGTAGATCCAGGTCGCCAGTTAAAACATCGTGAATGGCGAGAGTTCATCCCTTTTTTTCTCTTAACCCTATCTATATATCTTGAGATCATGGCAGAAGTCGCTAGAATGCTAGTCATCCCCCCAAACCTTACAGAGATTCAGGGGAATCTTTTTATTCACTCAGTGCAAGACCGACCTCGTGAGGTCCAGGTCTCAGCCATTCATTCACGAGAATCTGTTCCTTGTTCAGATCTCTCTCGATCTCTATTCACAGATCTTGACCTCTCTGATGCAGGCTTCAGATTGGTGCTTCTGTAGACGCATGGATCCGAAGCCGGCTCTCCAACTCTTGTGTGGCATCAACATAACAAGGAACAGCGGGCTGCTGTCATCATCATCCCCTCTCTCCAAATAAGCTCTCCACTGCTTTTTCACACGGTAAAATCTGATGCTATATCTTGTAGCACGCCTTCTTCACACACCGAGAGTATACCTACTACCTGGGAACTAGATGGTGCAGTGTGTCGATGCTCAGGCTCCGGGTCGATCGACCCAGACCCAATTGCTTACTGATACAGGATTCATACCTAAATTATTGTGCTGCTCTCGATCTTGGTTTGGCTCTTTCATCGATCTTGATCTGGTGCCGGCGGAGTTAGCACAAGGATAGAATGCCCGTTGTTTCCGAAAGAGATTCAGACCCCCCCCCAAAAAAAAAACATGTAAATGTTACCACTTTTCCCGAAAAAGTCAACTCCATGATCTAAGATTAAAAAAGAAGAAAAAGAGTCAACCAATGACCGGTTGCTTGCCGATACCAGCTGTCTCATTGACCTTGATCTGGAGCCGGCGAAATCAGCACGAGGGTGGAACGGGTTCTGAAAGATTCAGAACCCAAATAAAAATGCAAATTTTCCACCTTTTTCGCTTTTCTTTTTTGTTTTGTTTTTTTGAAAAAAAATGAAGTGCACTGCAGGGCTAAAATAAAAAAAGTCAACCCAGAACCAATTGCTGCAGGATCTGGCGCCGACCAAATCGGCACGAGGGTGGAATCGTTGTTCTTTCTGAAAGAGATTCAGGACCCAAAAAAATGCAATTTTTCCATCTTTCGCCTTTTTTTTATTTTTTCTGTTTGCTTATTTTCTGCAAAAAGTCAACTACAGGGCTAAGAGTTGGACCCAGAGAGACTAGCAAGTAGGCTGTTGGTCAAGAAAAAGTCAATCTTGTGATAAGCCCGGACCCGAGGAATAGGACATAAAGCTCGGAAAAGATGATTCGCCGGGCCATTCATTTCTAAATCTCCCCAATTTTCTAAGGTTCTCTTCTTCTTTTATTTTTCTCTTTTTTTAATAGAAGGGGCTACTAATTAAAAAGCAAAAGTTCGAGAGAAATGAGATGGGCCGACAACTGTACTCCCAAGGAAAATATTCATGAAATTAATATTATTTGCTTCTCTTTTTATGGCCAAGAATTTCTCGCTCCTAGTTGTCAGGCACAAAATCCCATTAATTGACCATTTTAGAGTCTTTTTCAAAAATATTAATACCTATTAATATATATTTATCCCATAAGAGCTTCGAATCTCATAAACTAATATAATATTAATAACTTACACGGAGTTCAACGCCCGTTATTTTCTCTCTCTCTCTCGCTCTCTCTCTATGTGTGCCAAACGTACACACGCACACGTGGCTGTCTCCTGATGATCTAGGCCGGCCCAACATAGCCCATCCCTGTCCAGAGGTAGGGCTCGAGAAGCCCATTTTGGGCTTGTCTCTAGGCCCTGGCCCCTCCCCGTTCTTCGTCCCCGTCCGTTGACTTTCGCCTCCCGGTCGTCGTGTCGCACCGATTCCCTTCCCTTTTTCTCCTCTCAGCAGTTCCCGTCGCCCCCTCTCCGATCGCTGTTCTTCCCCGGTCGGTGAGTCTCTCTCTTCTTCCCACTCTCAGAGCTCCTCGTCACCCTTCTGCCTCCCCGATTCCGGTGTCCCTTTGTTCGGAATCAGCCTTGCTCGAAGAAGGCGGATCACCTAGTTCATCGCTCTCCCCTTCTCTGATTCATCATCGGATTCGGTGATTTTGCTTAACCTAATCGTATCCAAGTTGGAATGCAGATATTCGGACCTGTTCGGATTTGTCTCGTTGCAGGAAGGAGACCTAAATCGAGCTGCCTGCGCCCAGGGGTTGGAACTCCTCCTCGCCTTGGCAGATTCGGCCATGGCGGACGACGGGGACTATGCGGCCCCTCCGATCCGACTGATGACCTTCGTCTCCCAGGAAGAAGTGCGTACACCTGCCTCAATCCCTCCATCCGCCCTCCCGGAGCTTCCAATTCGAGGGACCCGTTAAACCCTAGCATCTTTCGAATTGTGAAATTGCAGTTGGAGCGTTCGAAGAAGGCGAGGGGTGAGCGGGTGGACGATGGCACTGCTCAGAGAGACAGACCCTTGTACGAGGTATTCGAAACCTAGATCCTCGCCTGACGCCTCTGATTGTTCCTTCACTTTTGCTTGGATTCCTGCTGTCCGTCTTTGTTTGGCATTGTAAACGAGGCGATCTCTCAGTGACATTTCTTTGTCGATCTCCGTGATTGAACGTATAAAAATGGAAAGGATGAGGGATTCTGATCCAGTGAATGCAGGAGGTTAAACTCTTTTTCGAGCAGGAAGGCTCTTCGATGTCTTTTTCAGTTTCGGAGCCTGATGTCTAGGGTTGGTGAAGCTGATGAACAGGTGATTCATCTGGGCATGGTAGCTGACAGCCAGTAGTTGGCTGATGTAACCAATCAGGCTTACATCTCCCAAAATCCTGGGCATGGACCATGGTTCGCCTGCATATTTCATGTGAAACGCTCGGTCATGATTTGTTTGTGTTCATATTTTCTGACATCTGAATCGGAAGGCAGAAGATCATCTTTTTTGGCGTGTATATTTGAGTTCATATAATCTCCCTGATCCAGAGCGCCTCTTGAAGCCATCTATTGGCGGTCACCGTCAGAAGGGAGTTTTCTGGGTTCTTCTTCTCACAGTAAAATCCTTGTTCTTGCAGATTTTAAAAGAGAACAAGGAGAAGAAAGACACAGAGTTTAACGAAAGATTCAAGCACAGTAAGTGATCCGATCATCGGATGGATGCCCTCCGGACTGGTTTCCTTTCAAGATTTTGTGGTGCCCCCTTTTCTTTTCTTATTTTTCTTCCTTTTATTAATCTTTATTTGCAAATACAATGCTTTTATCCTGAACCTCTTCGATCCGAGTGCTTAACATTTGTTAATCCCCGTAACAAGCTGAGGTGTTTTGCTTTCATCGGAGCACTAAAAGCATACATTTTATGAAGTAGAGCAAACATATTCGTTTAGAATCTATTTTTTAAATATTTTATTTACTTCTGTGAACATACAGAGCAGTTGGATATGCTTTATATTCAATCACGAATTTCTGTCCTTTTCCCTTCTATTCAATCCCAGGACCCCCCAAAGCTCTTGACGAGGATGAGATGGAGTTCTTGGACAGGTTGGAGAAGGTAGGAGGCATCCACCAGCCGGCAGCTAGTAACTAGGTTCCCGAGCAATAATCGTTTCGATTTCATAAGAATTAACGGGTCTTATAAAAAAATTATTTTTTGAGAATTTATTTCTGCCAACTTCGATGACATCGGTTTGAGCTCTCCCAAGTCAAACCATAATCTGGTCTTTAGATGTTACATTTTCCTATGTTGGCTGCTACAAAACAAGAAAAAAAGAAAAATGACAGGCAGCTGGGAAGTGAAGAAATCGACCAAATTCTTCTAAAGTGTGGTATCTTTGATCGAATTTTCTTTCTTTTTTTTCTCCTTTTTCGATTCTTCGATGTCTGTTGGTAGTTTGTTTTTTTTTTTCCTTTTCTTTTCTTTTACCTCAGCTTATTCCGAGCCCTTTTGTGTGCAGTCCAGGAAGGAACACGAGCGCCAGGTGGCGGATGAAGAGGAAGAAGAACTCCAAAGATTCCGGGTGAGCCCCCGAAACCCACCCTCATTCTCGATCCAAAAAACTGGAAAAATCTCCCGTGAAGATCAAACCCAGGCTCACCCGAGCTTCCGGGCTTCAAATTTCTGGGCTTTTTTCAGCCCCTTCAAACTCCGGGCTTTTTGGAGCCCGTCAACTTCTGAGTCTCCGATCTCTTCAGTTGAGCCCGACCATGTTTTATTTTGCTCCAAGAAATCATAATCTCAGGCCCTTTCCCATCACAGAAAGCTGTAGAGGCGCAGTCCGCCATCCACGAGCTCAAGGAGGCCCCTCCGCCCCCCAAGCCAGAGGTAAGCCCAGCCCGCATTAATTAGTCCCGTATCAATTTCCCATTATAGTTTCGATCACCCCACTTAGCTCAGCAGCAGGGCCCGCCCAGCCCGGCCCGGCCCGAGCTAATGATCCAATTGTTTGGATTCTTCAGGACCCGAAGCCGGGCCCGAAGAAGAGCCAGCCGGCCCGGCCACTTGGTGGCCTAATAATTTCAGCAAAGCCGCCGGCGGCAAAGAGGGCGAAGCCAGAGGCCGCCGCCGCCGCCTCCTCCGCCGCCTCCTCCGCCGCCCGCTCTCCTCTTCCTGGAGCAGGAGAGAAGCCACAATTTTCTTTGGTGTCATATGGTGATGAGAGTGAAGAGGATTAACTCAACCTGGCCGTCTTATTTGGGCTGGACAGCCTGAAGCCCAGAAACAGTAGGCCCATCCACGGATCCCTTCTTGATGCCCATTTTTCGGGATTTTTACCAGAAGCAGGCGAGCTCCGCGACCGACTCGGCCGGTTGCCGCTTCTCCGTAACGACAAAGGCGGTTGCTCCCGCCGCAATCTGATGCCATCGACACGTGATGCGATAGGTATGACTGAAGCAGTACATGACGTCATCTGCAGGTCAGCTCACCACATAATTAACCATTCACATCATGCCAGGCAATGCTTATCTCATGCGGAAAGAGAGTGGGGCCTACATGGGTCCCACAAATTCCCACCATAAACATCATAAGACTAACGGGTCAAAAGAGGGAACGGGGATGGGAGAGAAGCTTATCCGTTTAATGTTGTTGATCTTATCTCCGCCGTCCGATCCAAATAGTTCTCATCCGGCACGCCGCCGTCCCTTGCCTTCACTTCCGTTTCCTCTCTCTCTCTCTCTACAGACTGAACCGGTGCTTCCTGTAGGCCGCCGCTTCCCTCTCCAATCTCCCTCTCATGGGGTCTTCTCCGGCGGAAGATGGCCTGATCCTGGTGCAGAGGCTCCCCTCCGGCGTGGCCCAGGTGCTGATCAACCGGCCCAAGTCCCTCAACTCCCTGACCCGCCCCATGATCGTCGAGCTTGCGCGGGCCATCAAGTCCCTCGATGCCGACGACTCCGTCGGTGCTGTCGTCCTCTCCGGCGCCGGCCGCTCATTCTGCGCCGGCGTCGACCTCACGGCGGCGGAAGCCGTCTTCAAGGGCGACGTCAAAGACCTCCTCACCGACCCCGTCCACCAGATGGAGCTCTGCCGGAAACCCATCGTCGGCGCCATCCGCGGCTTCGCCGTCACCGCCGGCTTTGAGATCGCCCTCGCCTGCGACGTCCTCGTAGCCGGCCACGACGCCGTCTTCGTCGACACCCACGCCCGGTAACCCTGACCCTAATTCATCATCATCTTCCTCCTTGTTCGCTTTTTGAATCTGGTTAGGTGCAGATTTGGGATCTTCCCGTCTTGGGGGCTCTCGCAGAAGCTGTCAAGGATAATCGGGCCCAACAGGGCCAGGGAGGTCTCCCTCACGGCGGCGCCGATCACGGCGGCGGCGGCGGAGAAGTGGGGGCTCGTTACCCACGTCGTGAACGCCGACAAGGTTCTCGAGAAGGCGACGGAGGTGGCGGAGGCCATGCTCAGGAACAACCGCGACCTGGTGCTCCGCTACAAGGCCGTCATCAACGACGGTCTCAAGCTTGATCTGGGCCGCGCCCTAGCCCTCGAGAAGGTGAAGACCCCCCCTCCCCTCTTCTACTCTCTCCCTTTCTACCTCCTGCTCGAAGACGATGATCCAAAACCCATTCATTTCCCGGAGTTTTCAGCTGGTCGACGTAGCCTGTTTCCTCAACAACGAATGTAGTGGAATCTGGAACCCAGCTATGATTCGTGTGATCAATTCCTCCGTCGCCGTCTCTGCAAACTCTGCAGATTCTGATGATCTAAACCATTCCTCAGATGTCCCAGCTGATCGATTCACAGTGGTTTTCTGAGAAATTGGTGGGAAACCTAGCTCTGACTTTTGTGATCAATCCCTTCTACCGCCTGCATTTCTATCTCTGCAGATTCCGCAGCTCCTTGTCAAGAGCTTGAAGATGACAATCTGAACCCATTCATTTCTCATATGTCACAGTTGATCAATTCAGAATGTTTGTCCGAACAATTTGTGGCAAATTGTCTGTGATTCGTGTGCTGAACCCATTCTTCCTCTCCCATGCCCACCATCTCTGCAGATCACGCAGCTCCTTGGAAGGAGCTTGAAGTTGACCCAGACCCATTCCCCAGAGCTCCCGTTCTTATGATCGGTGGAGATTTTTTTTTTTTCCTTCCCGAATAACTGAATGGAGCTCAGCTCTTGCTCGTTCTATCAATCCTTCCAGATCTGCTATCCCCATCTCTGCAGATTCCACAGTTCCTGGAGGAGCTTGAATGAAGATGATGGGTAGAGCCCAATTCATAGATGTTCCAGCCGATCAATTTAGACTGGTTTCCAGAACAATTTGGAAGAACCCACCTCTGATTCTGAGTTTCTAAGTTTTTATTTCCACCCCTCAGCTGCATATTGTCAGTAAAATTCTTGCTTGTTTTATCGGGCAAGGATTGCCTTTCATTCTTGGTACAATTCAACCCTGAGAGGTCATTGCTTTGTTTCTCTCTCTCTCTCTCTTTCTCTCTAAGCACTATGCTGTAAAACCTGTGTTTCAGGAGAGAGCGCACAGCTTCTACGACGGCATGTCCAAGGAGCAATTCGAGCAGATGCAGAAGTACATATCCAGCCGTAGATCTCGGCCCGCCTCCAAGATGTAGGTGATCCTCTCCCTGTGATGTGTCCTGGACCGTTGGATCCTTCGTTCAACATAACATGAAATATCAATAACGTGATTATATATTATTTGTATCCATTTATTCATTTTAGTCTTCTGGGCCTGGGTGTGTGGGCGCGAGAGAGAGAATGAGAGAATGATATAGTCACCCCCATCACATGGATGGGACCTGCGCGGGCGGTATAATGCTGGGGAGGACAGGCTCTGCCTGCTCATCAGAGAGGAGGGGTTAAACGGCGATCGAACAGTGTGAGAATAATGCTGTTCTCCTGGGGGGTATTTGAATTCCGTTGCCGGCGCGGCGGGGGCAACCTGCGAAAGATCCGATCACGTGAGAAAATCTTCACGCACAGCCGGCCGGCAGAGGCCACGTGAGCCGCGCACCAGCAGCCACGTGGAATATGCTCATCGTTGACCGCCACGTGGCTAAATCGGTATTTTATTTAAATTAGAATATAAATATCTAATCAATAAAAATGGGGAAATACGGGTATAAATAAATATTGAATCGAATCTTTGGCGGGGTGGGGAGTCGCGTGCACTCCAGGCAAAGTCGCCAGATGAGGAGAGAATCTTGACGCCAGCGGTACGCCATGACGTCATCACTAATGACAACTGCAAATAGTCAACGGGGCGGGCCCATGTATAACAAGTCCGACCCGGCCCGCCGCCCACCCTCCCTCTCTCTGTCTCTATGTCCAGAGACTTCATTCTATCTATAGCGTTGACCGGGCCCGGAGTTTGGAATCGGCGGGCCGGGCCTGTTGGCATGGCCGGTGATTTACATTTTTCCATGCAAGGCAATAAATAAAAATAATGAGGATAATTATTATTATGAAAAAATAGGGCTCGTTTATCCAGAGGGAAATCACCCTAGTATCTTCCAGAGTGTACCACGACCAGAGGGGGGGTGGCGGGAGGGGTTATATATAGCCCCACGCCCCTCTCCGCCAACCAATTTTTCTCCTCTGGCAGGTCTCCTCTCGAATCTTCCTCCTCCGGCGAACCGGGAGCTCTCCTCCTCCCCGATCGACGGCGCTGGCGGCCGGCGGAAGAGATCTGCGGAGAGAGGTGAGGGGCTGCTGGTGCGTCAGCGGAGTGATCCGTGATTTGTCTGTTTGTCTCGCCGTGTGGATTGGGATTTTCGTCCGATTCGCCAGCTTTGGTATCGATTCCGATTCAGATCCGGGGATTTTGAGTCTCTTGTATGGTGATTGGGAATCGCAGGATCGGATTTGGGGATAGGTGGCGGATCTGGAAATTTTGTGGCCCTGGTCCGCGTCGTCTGACGAGATGCTTGCTTGTTTTTAAATTCTGTGCAGCGCGTCCTGGCCAGGGATTTTCGTGTTTGATCTTGCAGAACGGCTGCTCTGCGGAATGATGTCGTGAAACTTCCGAGGGATTTGAATCGCCGGTTGATTCTGCCGGCGTGGGGTTTATCGAACGATCGATCCCCTGCCAGAAGATAGGGTCCGTTGCAGATACCATGGATGAGGAGGTCGGCAACCGCGAGGAGGAAGAGGGGGATCCGTCCAAATTAGAGGCGGAGGAGAGAGGGCGGAAGAGGCGCCGACCGATCACGCATCTGCAGCCATCCCGATGGAAGACCCTCGGCGAGCACCAGAGCTATTCCTCCAAGCTTCTCGACGCCCTCCGCCACGTCGGCCGCACATCCAAGTCTCCCTCCCCGACCAGCGCCCGCGCCCCTCTGAGGAGCCGCGTCGTCCGGGAAGCGGCAGACCGCGTCTTGGCTGCTGCTGCCCGGGGCCGTACGAGGTGGAGCCACGCTATACTCTCCAACAGCTGCGGCCTCAGGCTGCGCAGGAAGCGCCGCATCGTCCCCCCCCGCTCGTCCCGCTGGACGAATCGAGGATCCTCATCGTTGTTGGGACCCTCGGCAGCAGCGAAGAAGGCCCCCTCAATGGGGAGGAAGGTGAAGGTGCTCGCGCGTCTGGTGCCCGGCTGCCGGAAACTACCCATCCCGTTGCTGCTAGAAGAGGCCTCCGACTACATCGCGGCCCTGGAGATGCAGATCCGCGCCATGAACACACTCGCCAAAGTTCTCTCCTCTGTCGGCAGCAGCGGCGCCGGGTCGAGCACTTCGCTTCCCACCACCACCGCCACCAGCTCCTCTCCCCAGCCGGAGGCCTAGCCGCCGTCCGCCGCAGGTTCCTCTTCCACCACTCCTTCCTCGCCCCCCCAATTCCCCCCCCCCCCCCTCAATTCTTCCCTCTCCCCGATACCCTCGTATCCCCTGTAAATTTCTCCCCCTTAAACTTGTAGGTCGTAAAATTTCGTAATTCGAGGAATTATTGTCCTCCGTCTCACCATTACAGACGTCGATCACCTTGTTCGTCCCTGCTCCATCCCCACCATCCTGCAACAATTATTAGGTCACCGGCCGTCATGCAGAGCGCCGGTCGCCGGAGACCCACTGGATGGGCAGCTCTGCTCTTCTCATCCACAAATCTCAAATCCATCGCCGCCCGGCGGAGCACGTGGGGTTAGATTGCAGCGACATAATTTAGTCCTCGGCTCTGCCAGCCTTCTCTCTGTCTCTCCCTCGCTCTATCTAGCTATCTCTATCTTTCTATCTCTCTCAAGCGAAGCAGCCTATGCTTGCTTGTTAGGAGGACTGGGGATTAGCTACGGTGATTTTAAAGGCGGCACCTTTAAGACTCACGAGCCCGGTTTTTGCCACAGCGAAGACTTGGCTTCCATCCAAGCTATCCATCCCTACGCCGCCACCCCATCGCGCCCACCGAGAAGAGAGAGAGAGAGAGAGAGCGATATGCCCTTTTTAGCTGTTCCCTCTCTTTCCCTCGCTCTCTCCATAAAGTATCAATTTTCTAGCTACAACGGATCATGGGAAAAAGCCTCGACACGTGTCGCCCCCCCCCCCCCCTAGCCCATCGCTGGGTCTTACTCAAACCTGTGACATGGGCTCCAAGCCCAATAATTCTCCCTGACACCTGTCGGCCCATCAATCGTCCTACCTGTTCTCTCTCTCTCTCTCTCTCTCTCTCCCTCTCTCTCCCGCTCTCTCTGTCTAAGAAGACGGGGAGAGGTGATGGTGGGTCTGGCTGAGCTGGAGGAGGGGAGGCGAGCGGACACATGCGACCGTATCGACTGGATAAGAGGAAGCCGTATGGAATAATACAGGGTGTTATCGTGGGAGTTAGCAAGAGAGATAGAGAGAGAGAGAGGATCATGTGACTGCATGTGGGGCGGTCGGAGAAGATCCAGTCCACGCTGTTTATATGAAAGAGATTGGGAGCTCTCCATGCACTGTAGTCTCCTCGCTGTGGGGCGGTCGTCTTCTCTCTCCTCTAGACCCCATGGAGGGCTCCTGCCGGCGGCGGCGGCGGCGGCGGCGGAGCGAGTGGGGCGGGTCAACGCCCTCCGGCAGCTCCTCCCCGGCGGGTCGCCTGCCGGCGTTCGCCGGCTCTTCGGGGACGCTATCGACTATGTCGTCTCCCTCCAGCTGCAGGTCAACGCCATGCGGGTCGTCGTCAACGTCCTCACAAGCTCCCCCGCCTCCCGCTGACCCCCTCTCTCTCTCTCTCTACGCCACATGAGTACTGTTATTGAAGAACATGAAACTGTAGCTCTGGGGCAGCCCTATGTGATCTGAGTAAGATATACGAAGCCCATTAGGCTTCTCCCACTCAAAGGATGAGATTTTTTTTGGGCCGAATTGGCCAAGTCACTCTCAAGGCCGGCCCAGTTCCCAACCGAAGGAAAGCCCATAAACGAGAGAGAGAGAGAGATGTAAAATGTAAATGGGCCCAGTTAGGCCAGAGTTTGGGCTCAGAAGTCATGCCTGGAAAAATAAATGGGCCAATGTGTCCTGGGCCTATGGATTACTCTCACTCGGGCCATATGGGAGCCAGTGAGATGCGGTGGAACCTTGAGTACGCGGTGAGTGAGCGAGATTGATGTTAGTGGGCCCCTTTACAGTTATGGCTTTGACTCCATGTGGGCTCATATGGGCCTTACTATTCGGGCCCACACAGGCTGGGCCTGGATGACCCGTAAAGTCGGGCCCACCTCCGAGGCAAGACATTTTCCGATTGATGGCCCACTACTGTGACACCACCGGCCCACGTTAGGGCTTGTCCCCCTCAATATTCCAATCTCTCTCTTTCCCTCCCTCTCCCTCTATCTCTGTCTAACCGTCTCTCTCTCCCTCCCTCTCTTTCGTGCTTTTATGCATCCATCCATGGCTGTCTCTTACACTCCCATCTCTGTCTAACCATCTCTCTCTCTCTCTCTCTCTCTCTCTCTCTCTCTCCCCCGCATCTCATACGTTTATTCATACACCCAATGCACTTCTTACACTCTCTCTCTCTCTCTCTATCTATATATATATATATATATATATCCGTCTTACCATCCATCTCTCCCTTTCTCTCTATCTCTATGTCTTCATCTCTGTGTATACGAAGATGTTAGAGAGCAAAAGAGAGGGAGAGAGAGAGAGAGAGAAGCACGAATGCTCCTAGAGAGATGGCGCAGACACGTACCTAGAGAGAGAACATCATTCAAGCGGGCCCCACTAGAACAGAAGAGAAACTTCCATCTGACGGCACGGCGGTGGAAGGTCGTCATCCGAAGTCGACAGTTGAGTGGGTGGCTATAGAGAAAGGTAGGGCCCATCCATTGGTGGGCCGCAGGCCAAGGCGGTGACATGGCCCACCTCAACGTGGGTTGTCTGGTAAAGTGGGCTTATTATTGGGCCGCCCTCCCTCTCGCAAATCGAATCACCTTTCTCACCCATTTTAGTAACTAATTTCTCGGACCAATCGCCGATTTCAGATCGGACGGGAGGGCGAGTCTCAGGCTGAATGGGAGGAGACTGATCGACTGGGCCGTTTCTTCTGTGAACTCACGCGCCTCGGAAAAACGGCGGCGACCCGGGTTAGACTCCGTTGATCGCGTTGACCCAGCGATCCGGGCCAGTCACCCATCGTCGTCGTGTGGAATCGGTCAAACTATTGTAATAAATACCGGGGCGATTCGGTAGAAAGAGATATGTCATAATGGTCTATTGAAAATTCAAGAGCTTTGAATGATTGAAGAGTTGTTTGTTACGTCTAGATGTTCACAACAGCAATGTAATTTTCAGGATACAATGCCCAAACACTCTAATCTAAGATTGATACATTCACATTATATAAGTATTTAATCAAGAAATTGATGATCAACAATACTATTCATATTAAAATAAAATTAAAAAAGCAAGTAATAAGTACATCCTTAAAAGGATGCTGAGTGAGAATGAAATAGGAGGCCTGTTTGTTTGATGAAATTACAACAACTAAGGTTCGAGCAAAACATATATGACTTTGACTCTGACTTTGACTCTGACTCTGACTCTGACTATCACAAGAAAAATCAAATATTGAGGTTCGATTATGAAAACAATTTCCTTTGATTTCTGAACCACTCCTAAGGCTTCCTTCTTAGAGAGAAGTTGACCATTCTATCAAAACTTACTCTTTGGAACCCAACTAATAAATTTATAACCATATTGATACCCACAAATTCAGTAGAATGATTTCCAAGAACCGTTTTTCTTACACCTACCTGGGTTAAACCAAATCAAATAAGATAAACACGAAAAAGACCTACCTGGGTAATATCATTTAAATAAGCTATACATATTTTCTATTACTTTTTATTTAATAAATAACGTTGTTCACTCCTATTGGGTCAGATAGAACGATGGTTGATGAAAAATCCTGGTGAGGCCCCAACATTGCCCACGTATTTTCATCAGGTCTGCGTGCAGAGGGAGAGAACGGAAGAGAGAGAGAGAGAGAGAGAGCTGGGCGCCCAGGTTTAGATCGGTGACCATAGATTAGGATTTTTGATGGGTTTGACTTGAACCTTGATGAGTCAACTGCTTATGAACCAAAGCGTTGTAAGACGCATATTACTTAAATATATATAATATATATCTAGCAAGAGAGGGAGAGAGCGAGTGAATCTTCGATTTTCTCATGTCCGTACGGAAACAAGGAAATGTTGACCAATTATCCGACGTCATAATTGTTGACTGACTTGGAGTGCTCCCCAAGCAAGTCTTATTCCGGTGGTACGCTATTTTATCTTTGACTGAACCTACGGGTGACCAGACCGCAACAATATCGGACTCTGAACGGGTATAGGACACCAAAAGAGCGTCCTTATCTCTTGAATACCGGTTCGGATTGTGTTACGACCTCGCCGGCGTCGATGGGCTCGCACGTGCGAATGGTCCTACGTCGTCCGCAGTCCGATTGCCGTCGGTAGTACGGCGTCTATGTCATCGACCGTCTCCCGCAGTTTCGAGGACATGACAGGCCACGTGGCGAATTATGACGTCACTCCGAACGACTCCCCGACGTCGACGTTTGAGGATCGTCGCGTCTTTTATTAGGGCTAAGTGAGTGAATTTGGGAAGAGTACGAGGGTATTAACGTCATGTTGACAAGCGAGACGGGGGAACTTGGGCCGCGACGCCACGTGCCGGGAAATCCGTCTGCTCTGGCCGGGTCAAAGGGGTTTGCACCGACAAGTAGGCGACCGGGAATCGCCGGTAAGACGGTGGGACCTTTCCCTCCCCATCCGTTCTCAAAGCTCTCTTTCTCTCTCTCTCTCTCTATCTCGCACTATCCGTTCTCTCCTTATTTCCTACATTCAGTTCCGCACAAAGACGGAGAGAGAGAGAGAGAGCATCTGCTTCCCCAGCGATCGAAGGCTCGGCTTCTCCCCTCCATAGCTCTTCGCTGAGATAACAAAAGATAGAGGGGCTTTCTGCCCCATCGGCTCCTTCGAGGAAGAGAACAAGAGACCCACCCTGCCCCCCATCTTGCCCTCCCCCCCCCCCCACCGCTTGCTCCAGGAAGAGGGAGAGAGAGAGAGAGGGTGGGGAATGAGAGGATGATGGTCAAGGGTGGGGAAGGGGGGAGGTTTGGTATGGATAACCCGCCGGGGACGAGGTCGGAGCAGACAGGTGGAGTGGGAGAGATGTTCGAGTTCGTCGGTGAGGACCATTTCGGGAACTCGAGCTCCTCCTCGATAGGCGGCTTCATGGAGCTGCTGGGCCTCTCTCCCTCCTTGTTCGAGCTCCCGATTTCTCCGCCGCTGCCACTTTCAGAGTCCCTGGACACGCTGCTCTCTTCGTCACCGGAATTTTCCGACAAGATGGATCCCCCACCGACACCCAGCGACGCCGACCAGCCTAAATCCGCAGTCACAACGGAAGCAGACGAGGAGGAAGAGGAGGAAGAGGAGGATGATGAGGAAGAAGAGAAGGAGACGAAGAAGTTGAAGCAGACGTTAGCTTGGAACCCCCTCTCTCTCTCTGAATCTCTATTTCCCCCTTGAAACCAGGAGAAATATTAAGCGAATTATCTCAAAAAGGAATCTTGTTCGTGATTGCTGACCAGATCGCGGGGGACTAAGAAGAGGAAGAATGCGAAGAACGGGCGGCAGGAGCCAAGATTCGCCTTCATGACCAAGAGTGACGTGGACAATCTCGATGACGGGTACCGGTGGCGCAAGTACGGCCAGAAGGCCGTCAAGAACGGGCCTTTCCCGAGGTAAGCTCTGATCCCCGCCGCCACCGTTGTCTGCTTCCGCCGTCGTCTCTCTGAAACGGAGTGAGACGCAGGAGCTACTACCGTTGCACCACCGCCCTGTGTGGGGTGAAGAAGAGGGTGGAGAGGTCAGCGGAGGATCCCAGCGTGGTGGTGACGACCTACGAGGGGCAGCACACCCACCCCACTCCCATCGGCCCCCGCTGCGGCGGCGGCGGCGCCCACCACTTCTGCCCGTTGTCCCTCGTCGGAGCTCCGCCGTTGACACCGCTCGCCGGCGTCTCTGCATTCTCCTACCCTCTGCAGAGATCTCAACCGCCCTTCAGCAACAACCTGACGCCGCCGTCTCTCGCCCTCTCCCCTGTCGGCGGCCTGACTGATCGGTCCTCGGTGTTCGTCAGGGACAGGGGTCTGCTGCAGGATCTGGTTTCCCTTGATTCTGTGAAGAGAGAGTAGGTTCAGGGGGAATATAAACGCCCCCTAATGTTTCTTCCCTACTTTCATCTAGTTTCTTGGGGGGCGGGGGAGAGTCTTCTAGATACTGACTGATCTGGTCTGTAAATCCAGGCTACAGCCGAACCTATATCGATTCACCTCACGGGGAAGTAATTGATGCTTTCTTTTCTGAAGAATATCACTCCCATCCAATGGCTCTTCTCCGTTTCACGAAAAGAAAACGTCGTCATCTGAAGAAATCTCCTTTATTTCATATACATACGCAAACATTTTTCTTTGAAAAATAAGAGATCTTTCATATCGCGGGACTTCTTTCCTGGCTTTTATCAGATGGGTCGGTCTTCTATGCTTGGCGGCGAAGGAAAATATTTTTGTTGGCGGGTCTTCTCGGAGATGTTCATGACCGATTCTTCTGCCGCGAAGATCAGATCTCTTCCTTCTCCGGCACGAGAATTTGGGAACGAGCGCTGAATTTCAAGGCGGCTGCTGGGGCTGTTGTGGGCCGTACCGTACACAAGAGGGAGATCCGGAAGCGTTGGACGAGCATTAAAAATCACTGGTTGTTGACCAAGACCTTGCCCGCTCCTGAACGGGGTAGCGGAGGCTCTGAAACACCAAGATCGATCTAGATATCTAGATGGATCGATGGAGAGCAAGGGAGAGAGAGAGAGAGAGAGAGAGAGAGTTGGTGAAGGATAGCGAAAGCCGCCGGGGGCCACCAGCTGTTGATCTCCTCTCGCTTCTGTTAGTCTCCAGTAAACCTCAGCTGAACTCTGTGGCGTCGAGCTTCAGTCCCCCCCGGGCCATTGACACAATGAGCGTTCTTTCTGCGTGCCCGTCAACGGAGAACTACAACAACGCGGTTTCTTCACGTGCCTGTCCATTCTCGTCCGATGCGGATTTCACGGAGGTGGTGAGGTCAATTAATGGAGACGCCAATTGCGGTGGGCGTCGCCTCGTTGACTTTGATATCAATCCGACGAAGGGGAATAAGGCTACCGTACGAAAATATTTCTCACGAGCCGTACAACAAAAAAGCTCCCGTTGGACGTTTATTTCCTCATGTGGGACTGCCTTGCCTTCTGGAGCCGCAATCTGTAGTCCCTCTTTCTCTCTCTTCTCTTCCACTCTCTCTCTCAACCTTAATACCGCTACTTGTCTCTACATCTCAGCTTTATGTCTTTATATCCATCTCCTCTCCCCACATCTTATCTCCGTACTTTCTCCATCTCCTTTCTCGATACCTTGCACCTCACCTCTCTCTCCATCTCTAACTCTTCCCTCCGATTCTCTCTCTAATAAATCATGTCATTTATCTGCCTATTGTTTTTCTTATGAACATAGGTATGCATATATAGTATACACCCTAAACCTCATTCAATGGAAACTAATTTATCTCCCTGTGAGGTATCTAACAAGATATAAGAATATGCTTTTCTTTCCCCATTAAAGCCATCTTTTCCTTCAAGACATCGCCAGTCACCGCTCTTCTCTAGCATCATCTTGGCCGTCTCATGTCCCTGCGATAGCCAGAGACGTTCTATTCCTCCCTGAGATGCTGCTAGAGCCTCAATCCCGAACTGCTTGAATTAGTGTCCTAGTTATCGATCTGGCAAGCCCGTTCCGCTTTGTTAGTTAGTTCTCCTCTTGCGAGGACGTGCCATTTGTCGTCATGCTCACGAAGGAATCTTTGATCTCGCCGAGGTTTCATTCACGCTCGTGCCATTGTAGAGTTGGCTCAGGTTCATCACCATCTTTAAGGGTTTGTTGCTTCTAGCTTTTCCCTTATATGGTTTCCACTGCTATGACCGTTCTATTTGTACCATTGATATCAAACTTGACATAACTAAATATTTGCTTTTGTCAACTTCTTTACGGTTTTATCTTCAGGTGCCGTTCCTTTCTGGTATTGGTATTTGTTCATCACATTTGTTTTGAGTTAAATATACATTAATGTCAGGCATGATTTATGATGATATCATGTGCAGAACGATCACATTAGTATAAAATCTTTAGAAACAAAAAAAGGCATATTACAACATTATTACTCAACCTCTGGTTGAAGATAGATTCGCAATAATCTGAAAAGAGATTCACAATGATTTTTCAGAAATTAAACTAGGTCTCTCTTTCATAAATGATCTTACGTCCTAAAATGGTCAAATCAGCTGTGAATGATAAAAATTAGCATATCATGCTAAAATATTAAATCTCAAATGCTATGTTTTTAAACAATCAGATATCTGATTTAGAGAGAGATGTGCGCACGATTAAATACATCATTATTTATGTAAATCGTATTGTATAAGCTTAAATCATATATTTGCTTATTTTTATTAAATTGGAAATTCAAATGACACCACGTTAAATTTACTGTACAAGGTTATAAATGTTATTATGTCTTGATTATTGTTGATTGACATTTCATGTGAATATATCTATCAGAAAATTACAAAATTAATCACATAAATATTAAATAAATTTTTAATGAAATATATTTTGATATACTAATTTAATAACCATGATATAAATATTTAGGTTTTTTTGTGTAAATATATTTTCCAAGAATTATATGAAGAAAACATATGGTAAGAAATAAAGACACATCAAGCTAAAGAAAATCAAAGTAAAATAAATTATTGTAGAGGAAAACTAAAAGGAGAGAAAAAGTGGATCGACTCATGTGTTAACCTAAAAAATTGTGTCAAAACCGCAAAGAGGAAAGAGACCATGTTGACCCACAAGTGTTTCTTTTCAAGAAAAACCTAGTTCTTTATTCTTTCTCTTTAATAGTTGTGTAGTTTTTTTGTACATCTTTTTTCTTTTGTTTTTGGTATCTTGTCGTGTATATGATCCATGATATACTCAACTTAGCTTCTTTGTTTTTCTTGTTGGTTCTGATTTTCTAATTCAAGATATTCTTTTTTTACTGAACTGTAGATTACAATTCTTTTTTTGATTTTCATTGATGTTCCTATTTCGACTAAAATTTATATTTCCATGCATGTTTAAAAGAAGAAATCGGATTGGTCTAATTCATGGTTTAAGCTTGTATACATCAGAAAGTAGTCCAAATTATAGGAAGAACCAATATTTCAGATTTGATATGAGACAATGTGGCCTTAGTGTGCATTCACTCATTTTATTCTAGAAAGCAAAAGTGTGTTGACTCAATTAAATCAGACTAATTATTAGGAAAGAGGAGAATGAGAGATCTTTTTCAATGAAATTTGATAAGTATGACATATTAGAGAATTTGACACATCATAAAAGATCTCTAATAAAGGCGAAATATCCTAGTAATTTAAGATATAATAATATTGTTTGTTTACCTTTGGCAGCATTGTAGTTCAAGAGAAGGGGGTGGGGGTGAATTAGACTTTTTTCTATTCTTGATTATCAATTATATGGCATAATAGATGGAGATTCACAAACAAGGTTTTATCATGGTTTAATCAATTAGACCTAATCTACTCTTTAAATACAAAGTTTTTATGATCCATTAAGTTATGGGTAAACCTTCATTGAATATATATGTCTCAGTGAGCAAATGTGCTAGATTATACAACTCAAATGAAGAAATGCTAAATATGAATGGTCTCAATGATATATGTGCAAAAGGATCTGATATCATTCAACATGTCACAATGCAAAGAATAGTGTATATGCTTACCAAATCAACAACTACCTTCTTTAGCTTAAAAATGTATCTTTAGTGAACGAAGCCTCAAAATGTAGGATGAGATAGTGAGGCTTGAGCACAATCAATGTAAGGCAATAATATTGCTTCAAATCCAAGGAGTAAGGATGGGAGAGCAGCTCTTCATTTGATTCTTTCCTTTTCTATTGAATCTCTAATATGAGCAAAAGGCCTCCTTTTATACTTCATCTTTATGAGCCATTGCCGTTTAATGTGGCTTGCCTTTTTTCGAGGTTATCACATTAAATGCACATATTTAATGTAGAGAGGAGAGACGGAGTGCGAGGGAGAAACGGTCAATTGGAAGGCCGATTCTCATAGACTCAACGGCCCATTTATGGGTTGAGCAGGTCACGAAGTGGAACAATGCAGGTGGAAGAAAGGGAAACCATTTGGCATGTTTTTCAAGGTTCTTGCTGGCATGATTATTGAGATGGCTACGAGGAGAGTCACCTCCCCTCATTTGGAGCAGCACAAGTAACCCCCTTCTACCCTTGTTCCATCATAGAGAGAGAGTGATTGGGAGAGAGTTTCCAAAGAAGATTTCTTAGGTTGGTGAGTACCTCAGAGGGCCAAGATCAATGATTCGTTCTTTAGGATTTTAGAAGCGTCAAGATTAGGAATCTGTTCTCTGAATTATTGAGGAGTGATTCTCTTATACTACTTTTGGCATCTAGTGGAGTTTTCGTCGTCACCCATAGACGTAGGAGGCTAACCTCTGAATCATGTAAAATTCTTGTGTTAGTACTTTTGTTGTGAGTTGTTCTTTCTTCTATCTTACTTCACATCATGAGCATCGCTTTTGTTGAAGTCCGTATATGATGTCTTACTCTAACAGTCATAATAGTTAGAAGTGGATTAGTTGAGTAGTCTATTTTGGACTGAGCATATCCCTAAAATTCAATGAGTGATCTGTACTAATATCTATGGCACCACATCTTACAACTAAAAATCATTTTTCCCATAGATTAGTAATATAGATATTTTTACTTTTGAGTGTTTTTCTTTAATTTATCATCTAACTTAATATTTGAAAATTCACATTTAAAGGATAACATATAAGTATCAATGATATATTACCAAATTAACTTTTATTAACATCAAAATTGTTGAGACTCCCAAAGTCAATCGACATGTCATAAAATCTTTGGTTGATACATTTAAAGATACCAAATCTTTTAATTCATAGTCTTTGGGACACCAAATCCCTAATGATTTGGTTATTGACATATATCTAAAACTTATCTTTGTCGCACTTTAGTGTGAGCTTTTAGGATCACTTTGAAATTTTACACAGACATACTAAATAAGATGTTAAGTCAAGTATGATTCCTTTATATTAAGTTCTATCATTCTCTTTTCTTTTTTCATTATGATATAATTGTAAATTACATTCCATGATATGCTTTGAGATTTTAATCCATATATATTAAATTTCTTAAGTCCTTGTTATATTTTTCATGGGAGATAAAATATTACCTTTTCTGATTTTTTTGAGTCCTACAAAGGATATTCTCTCTCCCAAAATGTTCATTTAAAATTCCTTCTTCATTATTGTAGATAACTTTTTGCAACTAATTTCATCACTTGATCTAGATATTATGTTATCAACATAAACAGACCTAGGTGGTTGAGATATATAAATCTCTTTTATTTTTCTATTTACAAATGTACTTGACATCTATTTGATATAATTTAAGCATGTTTATGCTTGCAAATATGAGCGATATCCTAATAGTATGTAGTCTTGGTATTAGAGCATTAATTTCTTTGCAATCAGCTACTTCTTGGGCACATCCTTGAGCTGTAACTTTGGTTTTATTCCTAATAGCCTTGCCTTATTTATTTAATTTATCTCTAAATATTCATTTTGTCCTTATACTCTAAATGTTCAAGCTCTTTGTTCATGAAATTTATCTATTTATCAATATTTTAGGTTGAATTTTAGATGTGAAGCAAACTAATCAAACATCTCCCATAATATAATATTAACTTTATTCTTCATATCTCCCATAATATTTTCTTCTGATGGCCTTTTACGAATTTCTATTATTCAGTAATTTTTATTTTTAGATTTTAATTTAGACATTTGATCATTCATTTCCTTTATTTCTTCCATTTTCTCTTCTAGTCTATCTACATCAAAATTTCTTTCTACTTCTAGATTTAATATGAACTTGACATGAAGATATTCTTCTAAAACTTATGTTCCTTTGTTATAAACTCTATGATGAAGTATTTACCTCTAATGATTTTAAAGATGAGATTTTGGGGTGAAGTTGATTCCTAATTTAAATATATAACTTTTAGTAATGTCTTTTATAAATATAATTTAGTTCTATGTTTTCTAGTTGTTCACTTGAGTGAGTCTAATTAAAACATTGAAAGAGAGACTCATGTGATGAAAATTTTATAGTGGTTTGACCAAACTCTTTTTGACATACATCTTTTTTTGAGGTTTCAACCTTGGTTCGACTATTATAATCCCTAAAATACATCTGATTTTCTTGAGATTGAGAACCTCTTAAACCTAGGTTTCGTGAACCTATATTGACCCCCTATGATCCTAGAATAAACTATCCAAAGTAAATCATGTTGTAAGCATAGCACAAGTGTTTTAACATTCATCCAGTTTCAACTGCACAACAAGAAAAATATTAAGAATATTTTTTTAAAATGTTACCACCATCTTCAATTAAGAATAGAGAGATTTTTACCTTGTCAAAGGACTCAGATGACAAAGGTTGGAGGAAAAGGAGGTCAAATGACTCCATCAGGCTAAGTTTAACATAATGCCTCTTGGGACATTGGAAAGAGGAGGTGGAAGAAGGGTGTGAGGTAGCTACTGCCTATAAATTTCATTTGAATATTGGTACCCTAATTTGGATGAAAATGCCCTTTTTATACTTGGGTTTAATACGTTGGATGATAATGCTTTAATTTTATATAATAAAAAGGTAAAATTAAAGTAATTTTCACATGAATCAATATAAAATATAAATTATTAAAGTCAAAATGTGTTAGTATTGGTTTGGGAATTGTGATGAGTTTATATTTAATTTTTTAATTTATAAAATTTATGTAATATAAATATATTTTTGATTTTTAGTTCATGTACTAATATAACTATCCAAGGTTTATAACCTTGAGAAATATTTTACAATTGACAGAAAATTTATCGTGAAGTTGAAATTTAGAAAGTAGATTTTCTTAGAATTTTCAAAGAAATTATGAGGTAATTTTTTCTGTAATTTTTTAATAATTTAGAAATCATCAAAATAGTCATAAAAAATATGGCGATTCATGACCACATCAGTAAGATGATGCATCGAAGGATTTATGGGCCATGAGGCCATAAGTCAACAAACAACAAGGTCAACATTTCGAGCCACATCATCCATGTATACATTAGTATTCATATTCTATTTTGGACAATGAAACGAATGGGAGGGAAAATCTCATTTTGCAGTGATTGTTGAGATTTATGGGGATGAAAATCCAAACGAAGTTTTGAGAAAAAGAGAAAAGGGTCTAGAGAGGGGATATAGCAGGTGAGTCAATCAACTTTTAGGGAAGTTTTTTGGGCCAAGTTCTCTCCGAGTGAGACCTAGAGAGAAGGGAGTAATTGTTGTAGGAACTTATGAATTCAATCTATGTTTTTATTACATTTTATTCTCATTTTTGCTTAATCTTTTGTCTAGGTGATGGGCAGATTACAAGATTAAGCCCTTCAATTTAGTTTTGTTACTATATTTTCAGATGAAATAATATTGGGTGGACTGAAAAAGATAATGTGTTGTCACTTCATGACCCTACATACATGAATATATGGAGATATACTTTTTTTTAACCTTTGAAATGACCTCCCTTTCTCCCTTATATCTCCCCCCATCCATGTTCTCAAGACAATTCTAGTTCAAAGTTCTTAGACCATGGTCAATAACTATATGATCTTTAAGTGATTTTGGAGTTCTCTATAGTATATGTGGCTTGTTTGGATTTTGCTTATCATCTTCATGCATTCGTCCTTTTTGATTTGGAGGGAATTCTTATTCAGCTCTTTGAGCACTGAATCACATTTTTCCTTCTCCTTATTGCAACATGGATATATACTGGTGGTCATAAAGTGAGTAGGATTCAATTTGTGTTGCCTCAATCAGCACAAACAACATGGATATCCCAAATTAGGGCAATTTTGAGGTTTCATTATAAATCTGACCATTATTCTTTGGATAATGAAAGTAGTTGGGATTTCTCATGTCAAGAAGATGAAGCAACTAATCACATTAAACTTTCTCATAGTCTCCTTGATCTGATGAAAAGTAGGTGTAACATGAACTAATATATCACTTAAGTGCTTATAATTACGGCTGATTTTCTTTTTTTTTTTTTTGAAATTAGATATTTTTTCTACTAGACATGCAACCGTGCCTCAAAATATATATATTTTTTAATTTAGATTTTCAAAGTAAGATAATAAAGGCGTGCCAATCATTGCATACAAAATCATGATTAGAAATGAAGGATATTAAGAGCAATACATACGTTGTTGGTGACTGAATACGTACGTACGTACGTACGTACGTAACTCTCCATGTTCAGCAGTGTAGCCTTTTATTCTCACTTTAGAATATATCCTGAACAAACATGTAGCGATAATGCAAGGGAGCCACCACGAAACTGCCAGGAGGATAAGGCCCGGGATCCCTCCCTCCTACACGGGCAAAGACTTGTCCCCCTTCATAAGGGACACGTGGACTTGACGCGTGGACTGATTTTCGATCGCCACGTGGAAATGAAGAGAGCGCCCTCGTTCGGAATCAGTGGTCCGGCCACGTGTAGAGCGAGAGCAGCGGCTCGCTTCGGATAGACCCCCGCTAGGAGCGTTACTCCGGCGGTGCGCTGTCTCCCCGATTTTTGATAAGAAAGGTCTAGTAGTAAGACTGCTTCAGGAACGTCCTCCCTGTCCATCCATCCACGACAGCAGCGGCTTCTCTCTTAACTGATCTCCGCGGCATAGTCCACCTCCCCGGGTCTTCCTCCCCGATCTCCCAGTCGCAGTCCACCGACGCTCCGGAACTTTCCGACCTACTGGCATCGATTATCCTCTGAAGGTAACTTGACTCCGCCGCCGTTCACCGCCCCCTCCCCTCTATTTAACCTCACCACCACCTCAACCTCTCCCCGGAGCCTTTTCCAAGGGCTTGATCATTTCATCTCTCTCTCTCTCTCTCTCTCTTCCTCTTACTGCGCTTTGTGGGTGGTTTCTTCGTTTCATTTCATGGCGCCGGCGGAAAGGGAGAGAGAAAAGGGTACGTTAGGGCGGCGGAAAGGGGCGTACGTGACGTTCCTCGGCGGAGACGGGGACTACGTGAAGGGGGTGGTGGGGCTGGCAAAGGGTCTGCGGAAAGTGGGATCCGCGTACCCCTTGGTGGTGGCGGCGCTGCCCGACGTGCCGGAGCGCCACCGCCGCCTCCTCCGCTCTCAGGGATGCCTCCTCCGCGAGATCGAGCCCCTCCATCCCCCGGAAAACCGTACCCACTTCGCCATGCCCCACTATGTGATCAACTACTCCAAGCTCCGAATCTGGCAGGTAATCTCACCTTCCCCATGGAGTCACCGAATCAACAGATTCTTGGTCAACCAAAGGTTTTTATGTGTATGTGTCTTGGTGGCGCAGTTTGTGGAGTACAGGAAGATCGTGTACCTGGACGCGGACATCCAGGTGTTCGAGAGCATTGACCATCTGTTTGACCTTCCGAACGGGCACTTCTACGCGGTCAAGGACTGCTTCTGCGAGAGGACGTGGAGCCACACGCGGCAGTACGAGATTGGCTACTGCCAGCAGTGCCCGGAGAGGGCGCCGTGGCCGGAGGCGGCGCTCGGCCCGCCGCCGCCAGCGTACTTCAACGCCGGCATGTTCGTCCACGAGCCCAGCCTGGAGACCTGCGACCGCCTCCTCGCCGCCGTGCTGGCGGCGCCGCCCACGCCCTTCGCCGAGCAGGACTTCCTCAACGCCTTCTTCCGCGACGCCTTCCGGCCGCTCCCGCCGAATTACAACCTCGTCTTCGCCATGCTGTGGCGCCACCCGGAGATGGTCGCCGCCGGCGAGGCCAAGGTGGTCCACTACTGCGCAGCGGTGAGTAGAAGAACAAGAGGTTCGCCGCCGTGTTCCCCGGCGGTGCCGCCGGTCGGAGGTGATTTTTGAGTTGTCTTCCTGCGGGTGGTCGCAGGGGTCGAAGCCGTGGAGGTACACGGGGAAGGAGGAGAACATGGACAGAGAGGACGTCAAAGTGCTGGTGCGGCGGTGGTGGGACGTCTACGCCGACGAGAGCCTCGACTACAACGTCCACTCTGCGGCGGCGGCAGCGGATGAGCGGCTCCGGCAGCCCTTGCTGGCGGCGCCGTCGGAAGCAGGGGCGGTGCACTGCATCGCCGCCCCTTCGGCGGCGTAGCTGTTTGCTCGTGGTGGGGGGGTCAACGCTCTCCTCCGGGCATGGTCCTCTGCAAGAGCGGACGCGGATGGGACTATTCTTTATTAAAGGAAAACATAGTCTTTTAGTGGTCTGCGGGATTAAAATATCATGCGGTGTGATCTTATGGATTTGCTTCTTCTTACCAATATTGTTGGTCAATCTAAACCCGTATATTTTTCTGCATGGCAGATGGATGAGAGAGAGAGAGAGAGAGAGAGAGAGAGAGAGAGAGAGAGAGAGAATTCTATTTTATATTAATAATTTAAATAGTATGCTATTTTTTGAAAGTCGTCAGTAATTATCTTTTTTGATAAATTTTGAAATATTAATTTAATGAATAAAGAACTAGAAGACTACTCAGATCCAGCTAGTCACTGAACGATTCCTCCACAGCGTTCCCATCGTCCATTCGGTTAATTTATTGTGTTTTTTATTTATAATCAAGAATATTTAATTTAATTAAAATATTAATGTAGGTATACGCTATTTAAAAATAATCGCCCTTACTGAATTTATTTTATAAAGAAAAACATAGTCTTTTAGTGGTCTGAGAGATTATTTTATTTTACTAATTTATTTAAGAAAATCACCAATCCTGAATTTAGTGGAATATTGACCCGACTCAAGGGCTATCTTGCTGCCAATAACCTACAGTCGCTGATGCTCTCTCTCTCTCTCTCTTACGTCATGTCATTTTTGGCCCAATAAACAGTGAAGCCCATTTTCGGGTGTCGCATCGGGTGGTTCATTGGGCCGCGGGATCCGAAGAGCTTGTTTCCTTTGGCGAGGGTTCTATTTTGACGGCCTCGTTTAGAGCTGCTATTCGCCCTGCAATCCGCAGAAGCAGTGGGAGAGGGGGCTCTCGCGTAGGGTTTCCTTGGGAGCGCCAGGAGGGAGGGAGGGAGGGAGTGTCTTCTCTCGCCGGGAGGCCATAATGGCGATGTCAGCTCTGAGAAGGGAGGGGAGGCGGATCCTCATTTCGCCTTTCGCGCGTCCCGCCCCCGCCCCTAGTGTGGCAGCTCGTTCCGGGATCTTCTGCGAGTAAGCCCCAGCCCTCGTGTTTTCGAGCTGACCGATCGCTCTTTGCTGGATCACGTGGCTACGTCCTTCTATGGAAATGAAGTTAATCTATTCCTGGTTTTCGAGAATGTGATAGATGTTGGGATGGGTATTTTTTGGGTGCTGATTGGCTCGAGTTGTTGAGTCTTTCATGCATTCTACGCCATTTTCTAGAGCGCGATGTTTCGTCTTACTTTTGTATTTTAATTTTTATTTTCCTCATCCTTTCCCCTTCGTCGGTGTCTGAATCATCAAAAAAATTGTACCTGACGTGGGTCAACCTTGCGGGAATCTTACCTGCTAAGAAGTTTCTAATTGATTTCTTCCCTCTGCAGGGATGTGAATCCAGACGGCACACGATCAATTTCTACTCAAATAGGTAAAGTAAATTTACCCATGTCGCCTACTGAACTCGAGTGCACTACCTTTTATAGTTCTTCTCTTGAGGAAGGAATCTTCTTTAAAATAAAGAAAATTTCGCCCCTTCATGTAACAGAAACTGGGGGTGTTGACGCTTGCAAATTGAACTGATTCTTTGTTTGCAGTTAGGAACAGAATGAAGAGTGTCAAAAATATTCAAAAGATCACAAAGGCTATGAAGATGGTTGCAGCCTCAAAGCTGAGGGCTGTTCAAGTGAGGACTGAAAATTCACGTGGCCTGTGGCAACCATTTTCTGCACTTCTCGGGGATGTTCCAAGTACGGCTTTCATTTCTGAACTTCCTTTAATATGGGTTTGCTCAACGGTTTATTATAACTTTTACGCTGGGTGTGAATGTCAACAGTAGGGGTCACAGAATTTGTTATGTTTCCACCTGGCGTTCGTAGGTACATTAGCAAAGAATTTTTTCTTGATCGCTTCACTAAGGTAGTATAGGAACACATTCGCACGTGTTTGTATGGACTTACCAATGCCACATCGCCATAATGAACCATAGTCTATGGTTCTATGTCGTTAAATTCAATATGAGCTCATGTGAGATGTTATGGTGAGCACTAGGCTCTAAGCTTTCATGATTCAAAACACTTGAAGGTAATCTTTGAAACAGCCTGCTCATTGATACACCGAACAGATCCCTAAATCAGATGACGAAGTCTATTGTAGAATTGTGAAGGAATGAACCAAGTTTGTGTAGAAAAGGAGCGTCGGGGGATTCTATAGCTCTTAGTTGAGTAGTTTATGGGGGAGTACTCGGCCAGTGTGCCTTTTGTAGCAAAAGATTTTGGCGAACGGACTTACCTCGAAATTATTGTACTGATCTCTCTCAAGATAAGAGAGAAAAAAAACGAAATAAATGAAAAGAATCCACAATCCCATATTTTAAGGACTCTAGTAGTTATTTATAAAGAGTTTCCCAGTCACTTCGGTGAGATTTTAAGGTATTTGATGCCCTTTTTAGTTCCACTTATCTGAATTCCTACCTTGATCGGCACAATGATATATGCTGATTTTTTTCACATTTAACTAACTTTTGACCGCCAATTCCTTTCTCTGATCCTTAGATTTAAGTAGCTTCTGTGCTGGGCAGGCCATTCTCTCTCCTTTCAAACTCTTCAGAACATTTGGCTCTTTCTTATGTACATTCAATTATTTGTATTTGTATTCACCTTTGTGACTTTTGTCCACCCTCGTAGGCTTTAACATGTGTGGGAATGACGACAGAGTTGTGAATTAAATGGAAGGGATAATGTGTACCAGATATAGCAACTGTGATTACGCTTGTATCAGCTTATTTAACTATTCTGGTAGTGTTCTGGGTGGCATTCCTTTCTATGGTGTATAATTTTACAGAAAAGCTAGAATATGTTTTTCCTGTTTTACTTGTGTTTATGAGTTTATCTCCCTTGAAAGCGTCCCTTATGCGAATATGATTATATTGGTTTCTTAGAACCCTTTCACTTTTCTGCATAGTACTGGGATGTTAATGAGCGTCTCTTTGTTAATCTTATTTAATAATTCTACGCCTTTTTAAAAATTCGAGTGTCACGATTTAAGCAGTCTAAATGCTTTAATATTATCGTCACTTACTCCCACACTTATTTTTGGTGGCCATTGTGTATTATCTTGAATGTTGGCCGTGTTTTAGATGTCCCTAAGGACACATTTTGGTGAAGTGATGCTGGTGGCAGAATGCTTTGAACAGGGAATGGAATAATGTGAAGTGGTTGCGATTTTTTGTGTGAACATTTCATGTTTTGTGAGTAAATAAAATTGGCATTGTTCCATTTGCGTTTGTGTCCCGTATTGTGACCGTCTGGTTTATGAGTAGTTTCCCCCTGAAAATTATCTTTTTGTTTTCTTGGGAGGTCTTAGCTATATGCTGTTGCTAAGCTCAAGACTCTCCCCAGTATGGGAAACGTGTACCTTCGCTTATGAGAGCGGCACACTTTCGTCCTTTCCCCCCTTTTTCTCCTGATCCTTTATAAACCACCACTGTTTTTCCTCGATTTCCGTTTTCGCTGCTGTAGCAGTTCCTATAATCTAATATTGTATGGTGACCACTAGACACTATTGGAAGAAGGAAACCTAGATTCTCTGTGTAGGGTTGCTTCTTGAGAAATTTTCTAGGATTACAAAGATACAAGCTCGTAGATTTCTCTGCTACTCGATTTGTCTCAATCGAATTGGTATTCCCCTGGTGGTCGTTCATCAATACTTCATTGGATATCAGATAGTACCTACCTTGCCAGGATTGAGTTCTCAGTCGGCTGTATTTTACACACTAAATTACGTATCTTGAAAAGATGTAATTAATCCATCTTGCGTTTTTCGCAATTTTAATGCCTGATTCTGCATTTTTCTTTGTTGCCTAAAGAAAAAGGGGTTTTTGAAAGTCTTATGTCAGTTTAATGATGAAATAAAATTGCTTTAGGAAGTGCAGCGATGTGTTAACTTGCCTGGGTCTCCATTATGGATGTCTAACTCTATTTCGTTATCAATACATCAGGCATTGATGTGAAGAAGAATGTTATCATCACTATCTCATCTGATAAAGGCCTCTGTGGTGGAATCAACTCTACATCTGTCAAAGTCAGCAAGGCTCTTTACAAATTGACATCTGGTAGCTTCTCAAACCACCTGTCCTGGGGTTTTATTACTCTTGAGTTGAGGCAATTATTAAGTTGTTACCATTTTGTCGTAGGACCGGAGAAAGAGACAAAATATGTCATTTTGGGAGAAAAGGGGAAGGTTCAGCTGGTTCGTGACTCGAGGAAGAATATTGAGCTGTCCATAACTGAGATACAGAAAAATCCGCTCAATTATACACAGGTGATGTTTATATGGTTGTGTTGGCTCTTGGCTCATCTGTACTTGAACTTATCCTCTTTTTTCTATTTCTTTTTGTTGAAATTATTCATTCATTTTGAATCGCCAATTATATTTACGATTGTATTCTGAAATCTATTTTCTCCCTCTCCCTCCAAATTATCGCCGATTTAGAGGGCTAGTAGTGCTTTCTACTAACTACTCTTTATGTCTGCAGACATAAGACATTTCTTGCTGATGTGACAACGAGTCCATTTCTTCCTCTCTATATGTTCATATTCTACATTTTCGGTGGCTGCCCTGCAAAACACATTCTCTTTATATTTGGCACGAGTTTCTGAACTCTTGTTGAAGTCTCTGTTTACTCAAGTTGTATGAAGGAAGGCTTGGTTTAGTAGGAAACTTGTTCTTCTGTATTGGAATGGTCTAAAAACATTTTGTTGCTTTCTATTGAATGAACTGGCAAGAAAATTTGCTCATATGCTTCACCTCCGCGACCTTTTTTTTTTTTTTTGCTCTCAGTCTTCTTGAATAGAAATATGGCGAATCATTTGTCCTAGCTGCAAACAGATTAAGGATAGTGAATGCTTTTTCATCAGCCCATTTCATTGCCATTTCAGGTGTCCGTCCTCGCAGATGATATACTGAAGAACGTCGAGTACGATGCATTAAGGATCGTGTTCAACAGGTTCCATTCTGTTGTCCAATTCATGCCCACAATCTCGACTATCTTATCTCCTGAGGTATTTTATTTCTTTACTGGGCAGCATTTATTTCCGTATTTCTCAAAATAATTGTTTTTCGTTGGATATTATCTCAATTCCGGTTATACTCAGGTTGTGGAAAAAGAGTCCGAGGCCGGGGGCAAGGTGGGCGATTTAGACTCTTACGAGATTGAGGGAGGGGAAACGAAGGGAGAAATTCTTCAGAATCTCGCGGAGTTCCAGTTCTCCTGTGTACGTTTTTCTTTCATATCAGTTTCAAACATGCCTTTACGTTTGTTTTCCCATTGAAGGTAGCTCTAATTTCAGGTCTTACAAGTATTTCTGTGCTTCAGTTCTTGCAGTAGATGGAAAACTGCTGCTTCAGTTTCTAAGATAGACTGATTGACTTATTTTTTGTTATTCATGGCGGTCAATCTAATAGCAATATCATGAAGTAACTGTGGGTGTCTAGTCTAAATTTAGTAGTCAGATTCGGATAGAATATGTCCAGATTCAAAACTTTTCCCACTCGCCACAAATGCATTTATTTTCCGTATGGATTTATATTTTCTGGCCGGGTGAATCTGTGATGTGATGGGTTTCGCACGAGCATACCGATTGAGAAATGAAATATCTCTCCGAATCCAGTGTACGTATGTATGTGAAACCCATCTGGCATAATCTGAAAAGAGTCAACTCTCGTCGCTGATTCTTCAAATTTACGTACCATTTTATGATTATCTTGAACATAAAATGGGTTGCTTTCCACCAAGCGTTTGGATCAGAATCTGTATGGACTTGTATTTGGAAGGGGGATGGGTATGATCTAGAGATCCGAGATCTCTGAAGCCGCCAATCTGGTGAACTCGTTGCCGATTCTTCAGACTTTACTAGTAAAGCCATTGTCGTCATCATCTTGAATCGGACATGGATTGGGATATTTATTAGGTATGGTCTGATTCAGAGCACACGAACCTAAGAAACGTCCCTCTTGAGCGAGTCTAATCTTTGTGCACGAAACCCGTGTTGAAAGAAGCTTCGAAACTGTGATCTTCGTCGTCAATCCTTGAAATCTAACATTGTACAATCATATCATGTCATGCGTTCAGGTTCTGTTCAATGCTGTTCTTGAGAACGCCTGCAGTGAGCTCGGAGCGAGGATGTCTGCCATGGACAGCTCCAGCAGGAATGCTGGAGAGATGCTCGACCGCCTCACCCTCACCTACAACAGGTCTCTCCCTCCCCCTCCCCCTCCCCCCATCAACAACATTTTCAACATTCCTTTTAGATGGTTAGTTATTTGCCTTGCTGCTCGTGATTTATTTATTTAATTAATTAATTATTTTTGCAGAACCCGCCAAGCTTCGATCACCACGGAGCTCATCGAGATTATCTCCGGGGCATCAGCACTCACGGGCTAGAAATCTCATCTTTCTCCATGAAGAATAAAACCAAGGTTTTTACCCGGATTCTTTTCTTTTCTCTGTTCGAGATTTCCAATAATCTTTCCCAATATCATGCTGCCTTTTCTGGGAGGAATGATCACCATCATCATCATCATCATCATCATCATCATCATCTCTGGAGGACGGCCCCCCACCCTTTTAACATTGGCCGTTGGATGCCTTCTTCACCTATATATGTGTGGCCTTGCCTTTGATTTAAACCTGTTCTCTGTGATCATGGCGCAGTATGCTCGAGTAGAGAGTAGGGGAATATTATGCTCCCCTAATCGAATTAAATCTCTATACAGCGTGAATTTATGCGTTTGATTGCTATATATGCCACATATGGTTTGTTTTCTATTTTCGTATAATGTTCTTCATTAAGATTATTTAAGTGAAAATTGCAGAAAATATGTATAAACTTTATTTTTTCTTTTACTTGTAAATACTTACTTCCGTAGTCAGATGTAATAATGTAAGTAAACTACACAGGGAGGAACCTTTGCTGAAGGATGACGAGTGTTCTCAGTCATGTGGAAATAATTCCATGCCCTCGCTCTCTCTCTCTCTCTCTCTCTCTCTATCTCTCTCTCTCTCTCTTTTCTGGGTTTTCCGAGAGATCTCTTGGAATACAAGAAAGTAGCCTCATTTATTCTTACCGGGTCAGTCACACGTGCATGTCTCCTCCTCGGACACAGTTGTGAGCCTCTCTCTCTGATCCCCCTCTCCGTAGGCACTACGTCCCCCATAGACAGGAAGGAATCGACTGTCTAGAACTGGTAGAAAGTTGACGGCACAGGTTCCGAATTTCAGGATAAGATCCCCACAAAAAGAATGAAGGCATCTTCCATCGAACAAACGGTGACGGTCAACGCCGTCAGAGAGAGAGGGGGAGGGAGAGAGAGAAATAAAGTCTTCTCAGCAGGCTACTTCTGAAGAACAAAGGTCTTGCTAAGGATCATGTCATCGGTGGTGAAGTCAGCCTCCTTTCGATAGGTTCCCCGCCCGAAGTCGAGGTTGTAGGAGTCCGCCAGGCCCTCAACAAGGTCAAACTCTGGGGTCCATCCCAGCTCCTTGGCAGCCTTCTCTATGGATGCGAAGAAATGCTGAAAGAGAGAGAGAAGGGGAGGATGCTAGGTGATCCCTCAGGCTTCGGTCTTTTTCAGGTATGTTTTGATTTTATTTCTCCCCCTTTTCTGTCTCAAGTTATGAGAAAGAAGGTGCATATTCTAAAAGAAGAAAGAAATAGAAGCCATTGATTTCCCCATAGTTTCCTGAATCGAGGAGTCATAAATAGTAAATACCTGGTCACGGAAGGGGAATGCCTTGAGCTTTCCAAAATCATAGTCCTTGGGGTTATAGTGGACGATCTCCGGCTCAGGGAACCCACCAGCCTGGAAAACACAAGCCGAATTAAATGGCTGAAATAAATTGACAAATATTCTCCATAATTTCCCACGTGCCATTGCCAACCCATCCAAGGTGGCATCATATTTAGTGCCAAATAAAATAATAGCTAAAACTGAAAATAAACCCATTCATAATTAAACAGGAAATTGAACAGAAATAATTCACAGGAATATTCGCCCAATAAGAATATTCAGAGGAAATTGAACAGAAATAATTAATGCATATGCTCACCTTGGCGCATGCCCTCGCGAGACCATCAAAGGTGACATATTTAGAGCCAGAAATGTTGAAGACCTGTTTGCTGGCCTTGGGATGCCCAAGCACTTTGATGAAGGCCGTCGCCAGATCCTGAAATCAGTCCAAATCCACCCATCATTTCTTCACTCAGTGACTTCCTCTTCTCCATAAATCAATTGGCTTCCCTTCCTGGTTTTATACCGTGAACATGATTTTCTGAGGAATAAAATTTATTTTCTTACCGCGCAATTAGAACTATGCTATCAAAGGAGAAATTGGCACGTTGATCCTTTTATTTTCTTAAATAATAATAATAATAATAATAATAATAATAATAATAATACTAATAAACATATATCTATGAGAAAAGAGGGGGTATAGCTTGTATAAACACGTTAGAAGAAACAGCAGATGACTGATCGTCACTAACCTTGACGTGGCCGAGCTGCGTAATCTGGACTCCGGAGCCAGGGATGGGGATCGGACGGCCGGCTTTTAGGCGGTGGAAGAACCACTCCTCCACCGGGTTGTAGTTCAGAGGCCCGTAGATGTAGACGGGCCTTATAGAGGTCCAGTTCACATCCCTTGACTGCAGCAAGCTCTCCGTGTTGAGCTTCCCCTTGTGCCGGCTCTTCGGGTCAACTGCATCCGTCTACGGATCCCCCAAAAAAAGTCAACTGTCAGAGCAAGGGCCTCCAAGAACACCATCTCTTTCACGACATAACCCACCTCGAAGTGAGGAAGAAGGTCGGATTTCAGATAAACCCCGGCTGACGAGCAATAAATGTACCTGAAATAGAAAATCTTTTAGTTCCACGCCAGAAGTTGGGAAGGTCAGACGTTGACCCATTTCCAAGTATGGAAGATTCGCCTACTGTTCTAGGTTCGGGAGGGCATCCAAGATGGGCTCTACTTCGTTCGCCTCACGGCCTGAAAGGGGGAGATTATCAGGGGGAGGGGGGGGGGATAACAAAAAATTAGCTAAAAAAAGGAAAATACCTCCATGGGAGCATCAGGAGAGGAAGGTCAACCAGATAGTAGAACATGAGAGTTACCGTTTATGTCATATACTACGTCGAACCCCTCTGCCGAGAGGGCTTTCTTCACAAATTCGAAGTCTTGCCTGTCCCCCTTCAGATGCAGCACCTATGATCATGTTGCCATAGCTTCAGTTCAACGTTATCCTTGGAGCGTATTACTAGATGACTATACTGTAACAGGAAAGATAAATTTAGGGTTCTAAGCTCCTCCCGACTACAATCAAGTTGTGGCATTTAGGTTCTGTAAGTAATCAATGAGTCTTCCCGGATAGTGTGATGATGCTAACATTGGAAAATAAATTTAGGGTTCTAAATAGGCTACTAAGAGACTAACATTGGACCAACCCATCTCTGGAATCTTGGAGGATTATGATCTGCTACATCATTTTCTAGCGGAATTTTTGCAGAACCAGGGGCTTACCTTGGAAGAGAAGTCAGAATACTCTTCATCGGATTCCCCAGGGAGCTTCTTCGTGATGGCTGCTTTTCCCCTCGTGAACAACGTCACCTGGTGGAAGAAGAAGAAGAAGAAGAAGAAGATAATGACGACGATGAAGACGATTGCAGAAGCTTCCATCATTCAGACCCGAAGCTTCTTCAGGAGCGGCAGCAAACCTGATGGCCCTCCTTCACCAGAAGCCTGGTCAGGAACACCCCGATGAATCTCGTTCCCCCCATTATCAGGATCTTCTTGGTGGCAGATGCTGTCACCTGCAAGGCCCCCCGGGTCTCCCATGGCTTCCTCTTCATCTGCCAAACAGGACAGGAGAGAGGGCGATCGACTGATTAGCACCCGAAATTGAGGTTCGACTCCCTCCTTTGGAACCCTAAATTGATTCCACTCGACGGGCATTTCTCCGGCGATCACCTGAACCGGGGAGCTGAGCCTGACGCCATGGAAATCGGAGAGGGAGGAAGGGGGAAGCGAGAACTGAAGGGAAGGATGACCCCGCTGCATCACCGCCAGCTTCGCCATCGCCGCCACCTCCGCCCACCTGCTCCTCCTTCTACGGCTTCCTGTCCTTGAGGTGGCCGCTCCGTATGTAATGGGCCGACACTCAACCTCGACGGTGATGCACAGGTCCGTAACATCATCATCCTCTCCTCCTCTCTCCCACTGCCTCTCCGCCTCAGCCGCTGGTGAGATGAGGAAGAGGATAAGACTGAGGCCCCACCTTTTCCTCAGCCTCTCGTTTCACAGCTAGTGATCCCCTCTTCCTTCTCTTTAACCTCAACCCGCCATTGACGAACAAACACCGGCCCCACGGGGAGCTTCTCCTGGATACGACCAGACAGAAGGGACCCTTCCGCCGCGGAGAATCGGTGAACAAGAAGACGCACTCAAGATGAGAGCTTAGCTAGCAATTCACCATCATCACAGCCCATCATCGCCAGCCCCATCTGGGTCTGTCTGAGTGGAGGTGAGGGCTGGGCACCGTTCTAACAAAGTACTTAGTCACTACAGTCATTGAGCACACCTCATAAATCCCAATATATTGATATAATATGTCATTATATTTTCCTCTTATTCTCCTCGGTGACATACTCTTACTATCTTGCGCTGTAATATAAATTAGTAGCCTTGCAGAATATTTAATCAAGTCAGGGCTGTTTATGCCTTCATAAATATATATGGTTGGAACCTCACTTGGCAAATACATTTGTCGTCTTATTTATAATGTTGCCTATTTATTCATTAATGTATTTCTTTAATATCTCACTGTCGATCCATTGATGTATATTATTATGTTAAAATATTTATAATATTCATATTTATATAATATTCATATTTATATATTATTCACATTGTCTTAATATATGCCGATTTCTTGAGCCTTGATAGTTTTGATATTTTGACAAAATACATAGTAGGGTTTAAAATGCCATGCTATGTGACCAAAATTATGATGAGCATTTACAAAAGTATTTTCAAAATTAATCTTAATTCTACATAGATATATAATTATCAGAAATAAAAAATTATCAACTTTCTTGTAATTGAGTAGACTTAGTGTGAGAAAGTTTAATACTCATTATGACCAACTTACCCCTATGAGAGTGAGCAGACTCACCCCATATGAAGAAGGCTTTCTTAACACATTTCCAATGTGACCTAAGAAGAAGCGAGATGACTCATACCACAAAAGGAGACTCAAACCCACCCACTATGATGATTGTTTATCACATACACTTGGCAAGAACAAAGATTAACGTTGTGGCAAAAGTGCATACAAGGGTAAAATGGTAACTCTATATTATCAAAAACTATCTACGTCCATTTTCTGACTTCTTTGTTAGAAAGAAGTATGTGAGGGGGATAACATTGTGTGAGGAAATATGAGAAAAAAATAAGCACAACTCTCCATTAGGGGGGTCATCATATTTGGTCACTTTTTGACCTTCAAAGGCTCATAAAAAATTGAGAAAAAAATCACATTAATGACTTACAAGGCAAGTCAACTCCACTTAACAACAGTTTCACATGTTTTCCCAAGCATTCAAGTGGCTCTTCTTTACATGAAGTTTTCATGCTTTTGGGTGCATGAATTCATGCCAAAAGAAGTAATGGCATCAAATGCATGAGACCATTCACTTGTTCTACTACTCTTGTGCTTAATTGCTTCTAGTCAGTAGTACCTGACAATTCTAACTTGGACCATCAATTTATGTGAGATTAGTTGAGCACTAACTTTCTTTTGGCCCCTTAAGAGTTACTATTTTGGGGAATATGTGTTGACTAGCACTATCTCTCTTAGTTGAAGGCTAGCTGAAGTCTTTGGGTTCTATAGTAATCTAGTATCTACAGAGTTTGAGTAGGTTTGGTGGACATGCTCTTTGGATCAAGGCTTGGAAGAAGTTCTAGTTGTATGTCTTGTCTCAATCCTTCTTCTAGACTTCTCAAGAGAAAACAATATGTTATATCATCTAATGTATGTATGTATGTATGTATTTGTGTTCATCGATGTTACCACATCATCTAACAGTCACATGATGCTATATTGTCTGGATGTACTCCCATATGATGCATTCATGATGTGATGCTATATTGGCATACTTTTTCTCACATTTCATATCACTTTATTACTGGCACACATATACCTTGTCGTCCACAATTCCCATGCATGTTGCATATGCTATTAGAAATCACATCATAAGAAATAAACTATGTTATACTCCTAGCATGTGCCAATTTACTAATTGCTCTCATTTTTCTTAAACATGCTCATATTTCTACCTCACACGTTAGGTAATGACACATATGGTGCTAGTCTCACTCTTCTGTGGTCACCTCAGAATCAATCAAACAATAAAAAAAAAAAACAAAAAAAAAACAGAGGACTTGGGACTTGGGGGGATCATGTTACTAATAGTTTTATGTCACTCAAATGGTTAATAGATTATTGTAGGAATGGCTCACTATTGCTGACACATTGGGGTTGACTATTCTGACAGGTCAAGGGGGTCAAACACCCTTGACCATTTTGGTAGGTCAACAATGGAGAGGGTGAAGATCTTAGTAAGAATGGGAAGTTGCGGTGAAGATAGATACGAAGAGGTCAGGGTTTTAATTAAGAATGATATGTTAAGCAGGGGGTAAAACGAAATATCCTCCGGTTTGCCAGCACACCCCGCGCCTCCACAGAGGAGGATAACATTACTGTCTCCAAGCCATCGCCTTATCCTACCCAGAGAGCTCAATCCCCCTTCTCCTTCTTTCCTCTCTCTCTCTCTCGAAGCTCGCGCAGGAGCAGAGGAAGAGGAAGAAGATGGCGGCGGCGCTGGGGCAGCAGTTTGCTGGACTGAGGTGCCCCCCTCTGTCGTCTTCCCCACTTGCGAAGCCCGTGCAGAGGAGCAGCCCCCTTCCCTGCAGGCCGCTCGTGGTGGCGCAGGCGGTGAACCTGAACACCAACGCGCTGCAGGCGAGGGAGAAGGTGCAGCTCAAGGAGCAGTTTGAGCAGGCCTACGACCGCTGCCGCACCGCCCCCATGGAGGGCGTCTCCTTCTCCGTTGACGACTTCCTCAGCGCCCTCGAGAAGTACGACTTCGATTCCGAAGTCGGCACCAAGGTCTGTCTTCCTCTGTACCCTAACTTTACTCACCACCCTAGGTTGCCCCCCTCGCTCTCCAGGCCCTCTCTTAGTGTGGGAAGGAGATCGAGGATAATTCCGCGCATTATGTCCTTCGTCATCTCTGCCACCGAACCAGGGAGGAATATAGACAGATACATGTGTGTGCGCTTGACCTGGCGAGGGGGGACAAGGGGGGGGGATAATTCCTCAATGTGACAGATCGGTGGATGAGAACAGCCTCAGATTGTGATGCTCCTTTTAGGATAATATATTTCCTTTTAGCGTCCCCAGAGTTGTTGCTGTAAATGAGATCCTTCTGCTATGCAATTAAAATTTCCCTACCTCATCTTCTGTCTTTCTGAGAACAATCTTTTAGAAATATTCAGAATTATTCACGTCACTCTCTAAATAGCTTGTCCTACCTCCGCATTCATGAACTGCACTTTCTTGTTTACATGGATTTGAAAAATCTCTGATGATCGGAGTCATTCGCCCTGAATTTTTGGATTCTTCGGGTTGGTGAGCGTTAATCTTAAAATAGTTTGATATCGATTTTGGCGCTTTGAAATATTTTGAAATGAAATTTGACGTCTATGCCGAAGATTACACGGATGATAATCTAGAGTGGAACTGGATTCAGGAAAGTCTTAAATAAGAGCTCTTAATCACCTGCCCTTTTGAGAGAGAGAGATAGAGAGAGAGAGAGAGGGCTCTCTCCAAGGATATATGCCATGCTAATGTATTTCGAGCTACTATTCTAGCCATGCTCTAACCATACGTTGACTGCCATCATACTAACCAGGATGGTTTTTCTATTATTTACTTCGTCATGTATTCAATATCTTGGTGCAAAATGTTTTGGGCTTCCATAGGCAACTTTTTTCTATTCCATAATTTTTTTCTTTTTCGGGTTCATACTGATGAAATAATTATGTAAGCGCTGGAAATATCCAATAATTAGTAGTCCAAACATGGCCATCTGACGCCTTTTCTCACTATTCAGGTTAAAGGAACTGTGTTCATGGTGGACATGAATGGAGCGCTTGTTGACATCACCGCCAAGTCTTCAGCTTACCTGCCTGCCCAGGAAGCATGCATCTACAGAGTCAAGCACGTAGCTGAAGCAGGCATCTTTCCAGGTTTCCAGGAGGAATTTGTGGTGATTGGGGAGAACGAAGCAGATGACAGCTTGATTTTGAGCCTGCGTTCAATCCAGTATGATCTTGCCTGGGAAAGATGCCGGCAGCTGCAGGCTGAGGATGTTGTTGTCAAGGGTAAGGTGGGAACATATTCGCTGATTCTTCCTCTTCTTTGTTTTTCATTCAAATTTAGCGTTATAATTCTTATCCGCTTACTTATTATCCGTACCAATCATGCTAAATTTGCCCACTCGTAGAATTATTGACAAATTTTTCTCTTTCTTTATTAATCTGTGCATCAAGTACAGGAGGATTACAAACCTTTAATCTCCTTCTTCTTCCCCTGATCTCTCTTAGACGATTGGAGTGTGGGACGTCCTCTTTTAATTTTTTTTATTATTTTTGAGAATTTGAAGGATGCTGTATAGAAGATGGTGTTTGACTGATTAGTATAGTGATTCATCATAGAGCATCATTTGAGTGATTGCTGCTGAAACTTGGGAAGGAAGAAAATGATTCTATTGGTGAACATATCAAAATGACCTGCCTACTTTGTTCGTTGATCACCCTTTTTCCTTTTTTTAGTAAAAAGGCCTAGTCAAGGTTGCTTATTTTGGAAAATATACCGCTGGTAATTTCAGCACGGTCACTGGCCTCGAGATTGCACAAATTCTTAATTAATTGAGAAATAAATGTAGGACTATTTATTTAATTTGTGAAAATTGTGATGGGCATGGACGGAATTCACAGTTTTGGATGAAATTTACTCCCAGGAAGATGTCTTCTGTTAACGATTTCTTCAAGTTGACTTCCCCCATGTGGTGGACAAAGTGAAGTCTGACCAAATGTTAACGACAGACAAATCTTCTGTGACATCCATTCAGAAGCAGCGGTTTCAACTCTTTGTCAACATTTCTCCGATAGCTGATTCGCGATAGGAGAATAAGGGATCCAGCTTATGACGTTTGATCATTTGGTTCTGATAATCAAAATTTATGATATTTGGCCCTGACAATTCAAAAAGAAAAAAGCGACATTTTGTGGATTAACATATAAATTTTTTTTATTTTTTTTATTTTGACAACCCGGGCTTGATGTATGCGTGTGCAGGTTATTGGGGGTAACAAAGGAGGCATCGTGGCCATTGTGGAGGGCCTTCGCGGGTTTGTGCCCTTCTCCCAGATATCGACGGTGGGTTCCCTGGACTCGTCTTCCGCTGACTTTCTTTCTATTAAATCAAAGGCCCTGCGTCAATGGTGGGAAGCTAGCTTGACCGGGAAGTCAATGCTATCTACCGGTCTCCACACCCTTTTGATCATTGATTTGGCGATCAGAAATCCACCGCGGAGGAGCTCATCAACCGGGAGCTGCCCCTGAAGTTTGTGGAGGTCGACGAGGAGCAGTCAAGGCTCGTGCTGAGCAACCGCAAGGCCATGGCAGACAGCCAGGCCCAGCTTGGCATCGGATCGGTCGTGGTGGGGACGGTGCAGAGCCTGAAGCCATATGGCGCATTCATTGACATCGGTGGGCTGACTGGGCTCCTCCACGTCAGCCAGATCAGCCACGACCGGGTCTCAGACGTCTCCACTGTCCTCCAGCCTGGCGACACCCTCAAGGTAACTTGGATTTACCCTTTTCCTCGGTGGATAATCTGTGGAGAAATAATATATTTTTTTTCCCATGAGTAGGTGATGATTCTGAGCCACGATCGTGAGAGAGGGCGCGTGAGCCTCTCGACGAAGAAGCTTGAGCCCACACCCGGCGACATGATCCGCAATCCCAAGCTCGTCTTTGAGAAGGTAATTTTAGTTAATTCCCTCGAAACTCGTACTCACTCCCTCACTGAGGCATGTTATTAATTATTATTAAATATTATTATTATTGTGTTCTTCGTAGGCCGATGAGATGGCTCAGGCATTCCGGCAGAGGATTGCTCAGGCAGAAGCCATGGCCCGTGCTGACATGCTGAGATTCCAGCCAGAGGTGAGCTATGCTCTGCCAAACCTTAGCCTGATGTTGGTGAGACTGTAGAACGGTAAAACCCAGAACCCTAAACCTTAAAAACTTCAACCTTCGGAGAAGTCATCTTGCAGAGCCAGTCTTGATCTGGCAAGGTCAGATTCAAACCAGCTGAATCTGGTAAATCTGAGGATCTGATATCTTATCTGATGAGTTGAAGGATTGAATATCCATTCAGATAGATGCCCTAAAGGAACCCTAGGATCATGAAATCCAGGGATCCATCTCCTATCTCCAGAAGATTAGCCTAGAAGGATCACTGGATCTGAGGATCTGATCTCTGGAAGTTGTTCTTATGCTTCTTTCCATGTATATCATGCAGAGTGGATTGTCCCTGAGCTCGGACGGCATCCTCAGCCCTCTCACCCCGGACTTGCCTGTTGAAGGCCTAGACTTGACCGACATCCCCCCTGCTGAAGAAGTGTAGAGAGAGAGAGAGAGAGAGAGAGAGAGAGAGAGGAAAATGTATGGATGTACGTTTCTTTGGGATGCTTAGCATCTCCTTTGCCTCCTACCCCTGTTTTTAATGTTTCTGAATTTGTTGTCAATTGTATAAGCTTCTCTTCCCACCCTCTACTATGGTTTAGACTTTGCCGATTGTATGAGCTTCTCTGCTGGCCCCAGGAGGGAGAATAACTCTTAGAGAGAGAAAGAGAGAGAGAGAGAGGGTGGGTGCCCTATGTTGTGAGACATTTTCCAAAGGCTTTGGCAGTTGATGGCACTGAACTGAAGATGGGCAGCAGGCATATATATATATATATATGCATATACATATATATTTTCATTTACTTAGCGAGCGAGAGAGAAAGAGAGAGAGAGAGAGAGAGAGAGAGAGAGAGAGAGAGAGAGAGAGAGAGAGAGAGAGAGAGAGAGAGAGAGAGAGAGAGAGAGAAAGATAGAGAGGATAATGATGAAATGCTACTTAGACATCTCAATTGGACTCATTTACCTGTTCAACTGATGAAATCAGATCCCTCAGAAGCGCCGCTCTTCTGAGGATCAGAAAAACTAAACCCATCGGCCAATCAATTCACAAATTGAAATGATTTACGCCACCTCCAAGCAAAATTCTTGGGCGAGATGGGAGATCAGCCTCGGTAAATCTTCTCGGACACCAACCAAAGTACTCTGTGGCACTCTCCACCTTCTCCCCACAATTATCCCTCTTCTGTGGGTGACGGCTAGGTACACGATCAAGACCCAGGCCACAGAACTCAGCCAAAAACCCTAAGGAAAGCCCATGTGTACATTTTTAGAGAGAGAGAGAGAAATATTGGCCCTATTTATCTTTAGCGGACTTCTTTTCCTTCTTCTGTTTCTGTTTCAGCTGAGTGAGTCCAGGTGCGGTGATCTTCACATTACCGACGATCGACGCCACCAGCTCTGCGTCTGTACACGCCTTCATTAGCTCCTTCTCTCTCCCCGTAGCCTCCGGGATATGACTGAACAGGTTCATGGCGGTTTTTGCAGCTGCGGGAACAAGCGGCATTCACCCAATCAGTGAGTCTTCTTATTCAATCACGAACAACAAGAAATTTGGAGAAAGATAGGATGGAGATATACTATAGAGAGAGAAAGAACAGAGAGGGAAAGAGAGGACAGAAAAACAGATGAAGAAGGGGAGGTGGGGAGAGAGAGAGAGAGGGGGGATATGGATAGAAATAGATGGGAGGAGTAAGAGAAGAGAGGGACTGATAGCAAGAGAGCAAGAGAGAGAAAGGGGTGTAGATAGAACTAGTAGATCTAAAATAAAGAGAACCAGTTCGTAGTTCATAAGAGCAAAGCAGCAATTTCTCATCATCTGCGGCTACTGCTGTCTATGATCCATAATAACAAAATTCTAGCAGCAATTTTAAGCGTGGGAGAAGAAGATAATTGGAGGGGCAAAAGAGGGTGGGTGGGTGGGTACCTTTCCCCTTCTTGGCCGTGCCCGGGGTGATCTTCACACGATACTTGTAGCTCTGCAGGGCGTTGTAGGGTCCGCAGACTGGCACAGCGTACAGCAGGACGTCGCTGACGAGTGGGGCCCCTGTGAAGTAGTCAAGCTCATTCAACCTACCCTTCTCCTCTTCGGTTATCTCGTGGATGCCCTCCTCCTCCATGAACACTCGCTCGGGAGCGTCGGTGGTGGCTTTGGTCGGGCCAAAAGGGGCCTCCCAAGTGACACTTTTGGCAACTTCCTCCACGTGTTCCTGGCAGTCCCGCGACAGGTGGCCGGGCTTCTTACATTTATAGCATATCTTGGACGACTCGGGCGGCCCTGCCAAACCGAAGAACATAAAAGGAGCTGTTCAAAGATGGTATATTTCCTACTGTTCATGGAAGTGACTCTCTCTCTCTCTCTCTCTCTCTCTCTCTCTCTCTCGCTATATATATATATACATAACATGTGAAAGGAAAGGGGAGGGAAGAGAAATTGATAGAGCATCTGAGAGGTAAGAGGGGTTCAGGGAAATTGATTTGAGTCAGGTAAACAAACTGCGCAACATAATCATAGATTGAGGATTGAAACAGATGGCGAGAGTGAGTGAGGATCTGCATGAGTTTACCATCACTAAGACAACACAGGGGAGAGAGCGTGATTTAATTGAGAAACCGAAGAGGATCAAGCACAGAATTAAATATTAGAAAATCAGGAGTTGCCCATCAGGGTAATCCAGAAATTAAGCTTAAAATTCAAGAAGTGGAGGGATTTGATTCATTAGAGTAGTTTAGCCTGTCTAGGATAGCAACTTTTGGGGTTTTACCCATTAGAATATCAGGAACAATCTCATATTTTCAATACAAAAAAAACTAAAAAGAGAGCAATACACGCAGAAATTTGAGGCATCACATAAGGAATGAACGAATTTAAAGATATGATAGAAATGCAACAGTAAAAAAAAAAAATTAAAAAATACAAAGGTCCTGAAAATATTAGAGATAATGGAAACATTGAAAAGGAAGATCAAATGGAGCGAGACACAGCCAGCATTTCCAGCTTCACAAGGGTGAGAAGAAGGCAAGCTAAGATGAAGGCAGTGCAGATAAGCTTGCAATTATTTAGGTTCTAAAAAAGATTTAAATTCCGTCAAGAAATAGAGGCATGGTAGATAATCATGATATGATTGAATAACAACAAACTTTACTGGATAAAACAGCAAAGGCTGCCATAAAAGAACAAAGAAGCTTGCAAGGAATGAATATCAAGAGAGGGTCAAATACCAGCCCAACCTTTATTCTTCTACAAAGGAGTTGACACTAGAGAACATATTCAAATTTCTAAAATTTTCACAGCAATCTCACTGTTTGTTTCTCAATTTTCTCCTCCACACATTTCATAGGCATGCCCCATAATGCGGTGCCAACCTATAAATAACTAACATCATGGTTTTCTCTATCAACCTGTAAAGAAATAACACTCCGCATTTGGCTTTGCTGTCATCTTTTCCTTGTTTTTTTTTTTCTGAATGAGGTTGGTACCAGTCACCAAGAAGCAAGAAATATGATATTCTAAATAGAGATCAAACAGCAATCTAAAAACGGAAATCTTAATATACAGCACATACCGGTCCCTGCTTGTATTTCTTCATCAGCAACCATCTCCTTTCCTTGCAGTTCTTCAAGATTTACATTGGCTTTTCCAGCAGACTAGGAGATTTTAAAAAAATGTTAGTTCCACAAATAACAATTATGTTCATTACGTATTTTCTAACAAAAGAAAAGAAAAAAAATGAATTCCATGTTACTCACAGCTAATAAAGCCATCCGGATCTTCCTTTCTTCATCATCCTGATCTGCATACTTCTCCTTTATCTTCTTAAGTTTACCTTTCTGTCCACGGGTCACCTTGGGACGAAGAGGTTTCTGATTATCAACATTTTTACCTTTTTCAGATACTAAAATATTACTTCTCGTGCCCTCATGATCTTGTGGATCCATTGGATTGTCACTCCTGCCCGTCTCACCTTTCTTAAGTTTCCTCCTTTCTGCTTTTGAGAGACAGGGGTTCCCCCTTGAGGCAACTTTTGGGCCTTCCGTACCATTATCCTCCTCTGCCATACTCATCCGAGGAGAATCAGGCATGTAACCCTTGGTCGATCCCTTAACAGGTCCAAGGCTAAGAGCTTCATCAAGAATTTCCGCAAGGTGAGGTGAAAAAGGAGGTTGATCGATTTCATTCCTAAAGTGGGAACCGTCACCACTAATGTCAATCGGGTTATCCCTTTCATTTCCTACCAGGGGGCCAGATGTTTCAAACACAGCTGGAGAAGGTGATTGCTCAGTATCAGCTGCATCAATTTCCAGTGTGTCTTCCACCGCAGGCTTTGAATGCACTCTACTTAAATAATGGCTTGGTCCTTCATTTTCTTCTGCATCTTGTCGACTAAGAAGACCATTTTCCAAGCCAAAATTTGGAGATTCAGGTTCTTCTGCATCAGGGAATCCTTCATCCTCACCCCTAACCCTCCTTTCATTTAAGTGTGATCCCAATGAGCTCTCATCTAAGCGAAAAAGGATCCCAAATCCCAAAACAAGAGGGTGGGGAGGAAGAAAGTTCTTTTTACCTCGGATCATGAAACTTCCTACAGTAAGATATTCCCCTGTCGGAGCTGTTTTACTGACTTGGTGAGGATAAACCCACCATGCACTGGTAACAATTTTTGAGTCCCATGCTTGGCTTTGGCAGACCTACAAAGGAGGACACGCAAATTGGCAAGTTTTCGTACAGGTAAACATTTCACAAAGTACAATCAAACACCAAACATTAGAAAACCCGAATAATAAATAAGTATTTAGTTTCAAACTCTGGCCCATCCAACTTACAGTGAAGCATCCCGCCTGATTCAATGTAAGAGGCGGTACAGGGTGATCTGGGTTATGATTCTTGATGACTGTGCTAGAAGCGCCGTGCAGGTCTGCATGGACATAACTGTTGAGGATTTAATGTTAATCGCGAATTGAAAAGATAATTTTAGCAGTTTTTGTGGATACGCAATTACAAATAGAGGCATTTTATCACCAAAGCCTAAGCTCATTGAGCATACTTTAACTTAATTATACTCTATTGCAATTCCATGCATAGGAACATCAAAACTGCATCAACCACCCCTGACCGTGCTTTCTTCTCCATCACCTTTTACTCTCCTAAATAAATCCATTTACACCTAACTCAATGTGGAGAGAGGACTTTAATAGGATTTCTTTTAATCTATGCTAAGTTCTTACCATTCAACTACTTACTGATGAACCACACGAGGGTCAATTTCCAATTTTAGACATTTACGGTTTTGTGTCTTGTTTTGTTCTGGGTTGTATAAGTTCTGTGTTTACATGTTATGTTTGACATAGCGAACCATGTTTATCCTGCAAGGACGTAGAGGGACAAGATAATTTGAGAATAATCGATCATGAATCAGTGTTCTGGTTTCGTACTCCATCTGGGTATGATGACGTAGTTCAGACCACTATTCTCTCTCACAGACTTCACACAGGTTCTCTGCATTCACATTTTCCCCTTTCTCCTAACCACCTGCGTGGCTGCTTCTCTCCTTCATGAGACGCCCAGGGACAAACAATTCTTCCCATCCATCATGTCCGTCCATCTCATTCCCTCTTTCAATCATCTGTACCTGATAGTTTAACGACCGGCGTCATCCATACTCCATCATTACAGCATGTGGGTACTTAATCTAGTCTCCATTGACTTGCGGCAACAGCTCAATCTTCTGCCCAATGCTTGTGCAGAGGATTGGCTCCTGATCATATCGAGCACCACACCTCGGCAGGACGGCCTGGATCAATGTGGCTGTCCCCACCTCCAGCACCAACTACACGGCCACTAATGACATCATCCATATTTCCCCTTTAGATTTTTGATTAATCTTGATGGAACCTAGCTAAACTGAACAGTAGCTGGAATCCGTCTCATATTGCGATAAAATCCGTTCTCGGGTACATATGCCATTCAATGTTGCTAGTATGTTCGTCTGAAATGCGGCATGGGCACTATTTGGGGGAACACCCAAAGTAGTTAACTGTTGATTAACATGCCAGATGTGTTTTTGCATGCTGCTGGTTTATCTTCGCGGTTAAAAATAGAATCTGATATGTGCTTAGTAATTGATAGCAAGGCATTGAATCATTTAATGTAAAATAATACAAACTCGCTCAGCAACTCCAAGAAGAGGTTGCAAGGTAGAGAATGTGACCATGCGATCAAGAAATACTCACAGATCTCCCTTAGACATGTATCTCTTGACTATCATCTCATTTTGTTGAGCGTCACGACCACTGATGACTAAGTAGTTCTCACTACTAATAAACCAATTGAATTTCTCAAACCAGTGGACTTTGCGCATATGAGAAATTGCAGCAACAGTTTTTTCCTGTAAATAAATACAAATTAAGATGGCAAGAATCTGATCAAGCTCCTCCTCCCAGCAGAAATAGAATACAACAGGAAAATCAATCTCTGTCCGCATGCAAATAACAGGCCATGACTCCGGACTGTGTGCTCTCATATTTTGAGTTTAGAAAAAAAATTATGACGCAAAAGAATTCGTGAAATGCCAGAGATATTTACTAGGATATGTGAATATCACACAAATACCTTAAGGTTTAAAATAAAAATTATGCTTGTGTTGGTCCTCAAAAAGTGGCATTCCTCCAGTACAAGTGTCTAGGGCAAAAACTCCTGACTTGCAGGTCAGAATTGGAATTTAATAGATTTGAATCAGAAATGAACCTAGAGAGAGGAATAATAACAATAATTGGAAGAAGCGATATGAAAAGCTTATTAGCATGGTGAGGTGTGGATCTAGGAAAGTGAGGAGCTCAGATAATCTTCCTAGGCCCATAACCAGTCACAGGGGAACTGAAGTCTGAAGATAGATAGACTGAAGAGGAATGATAATCCAGTGGTTCACGATTTTCTTGATATTCTCGATCCATCAGCCTTCCCTATTCCGTTTCGTGTCTTCTTATTTATTTGTCCTAATCTCTCAAACCTGAACGTTTTTCTTGAAGAAATGCTCAACTCTACTTCTCATGGAGATCCAAAATGCCATATGAGAAAGAAAGATGCAAAGAAAAATGCCACGAGGACAAAAGTTGTGAAAAAAACACTCGATTGGGAACATGTTCAAAGGAAGCACTGAAAGAGGATAAAAGGCACTGGACACGGAAAACCAATTTGTCCTTCATTATTATAGTATAGTCGTCAAACAATTAAGGGCTATTCCCTCTTTCGATGCTTCTCAATCGTATTCGGGCTCGCTCCTAGAAAGAAATTTATTTCTTCAAGCAGCCCAAAAACGGGCGTCTTGGGTTTCTCTAATAGCAATCTGCCAGATAACATCAAATGCGTTTAATATATAGAAAAACCTAGTAAACGTAAATAAAGAACAAAAAGGAACTAAAACATGGGTTCCGATCACTTTGGATAATTGGGAAACTGATTTCAGACTTATAGAAATCATAATTACCACAAGAATTAACTCTAAACTAAAAAATTACATAGACTTGCAGCAGCACAATGGTCTTGACTTTGTCTGTTTCACTTTATTTGACGGACTAGCACAATGAAGCTGTGCTTCTCTGAAATGGCTGCTGTTTTTTTTTTTCTAGGAACCCAATTACTTTAGAAAGTATCTCATCTCTTCAGTCATTTGAGAGCATCACTTTTCTTTAGAACAGAATTGGAACTGCGTCCCATAATTTCATTTAAGAGTGAACTATATTATCATATAACACAATAATGCATATGCATCATAATCTGTTGAAGGCTCCAACATGCTTTTGCTAAAGTTATCCATCACTTCTTATGATAATTGTTTTAGCATTTCAAAAGGTTAAAAAAACGATCCGACTGGACTGTAGACTAGTTTCTCATCTCCTGACATGATTAAATTGATGTATTTGAATAAACAAACCATCCTGACAGAAATTTTACATTACTGCTGGAAGGAAAAGAAATGGAGTATTTTGATATTGTTTTGCAGCTGTTCATTTTTTCTTCTTCAGTTTTTGCTGTTAGCAGATGAGAATTTCAGACTCATCTTGATAGAAACTAAAAACTGAACTTGATAATACCTGTTCTCTGATAACATAGATAAACTCAAGCTTTAAGCTAGAGAACGAGGAAACTTACCAGACATGACTGTCAAATATAAACAAAGAATCATGACAAAAACAGCTGACGAAGTAAAGTTACCTGTGCAAGTTGAAGTTTTGTCTTCCTCTCAGCTGCTTTAAAAGCCTTCTCATGCGCTGACACAGTTTTCTCTTGTTTAGTCTCCTGCTTTTTCTTCAACTCATACCACCGACGGGCATTTGCATGCGCTGAAAGTGCTAAATCTACTTCTACCTGACATAATACATAAAAAAATAATTGAACAATTTAACTTATAAAAACCGAATATTAGTCATAGGCTGTGGTGAGAAACCAATAGATGTGTGGGAATCTGACCACAGATAGGATTCAATGGCTCATAAGCTCGTATTCAAACATCAAAAATAAAGAAAAGCACAAAACAAAGATCATCACAGCACTTTGGCAAACATGATTTTCCATATCTAAAGTGGATAGGACCACATAAATCAAGTTTTATTGATATGCTTTAATTAATATCTAAATCTATATTACAATGTTCATACAAAATACAGAATGGAAACTTTCCCATACTGAGGTATAATAAGAATAAAATTGGTACAGTCTTACTTTCTGCAATCTAAATAAATGGTACTTTTTTAGCTATACAACTTCTTTGGTGTAACGAACAAAAGAATGGAAATGTTGATCGATTCCTAAAGGTGATTCTTATAAACAACTTTTCAACAGCTGCTTTATGTAAGAAATGCACAAGTATGAGCTGCCGCCAGTTTAACTAACACCTATTATCATTGCTCCCAGTACTGACAGAAAAATAAGTAATGAAGTAAATAACGATTATTAGAAGTCAGATAAACATGTAAGACATGCACGGCCACCAGTGTGAGCTGCCGCCAGTTTAACCAACACCAATAACCATTATTAGAAGTGCTGACAGAAAAATAAGTAATGAATAAAAATGGATAACGGTATTAAATAGTGACAGTATATTGCGCCTGATACAACACTTGCCAACCAAAGTTTTCAAAAAGAGTATAGCACAAGTATGCAAATGATTGTCCAAGAAAAAATAAGAATATTATGAAAGCATGTGCCTCAAGTACATGTAAGATAAATATACATACCACTCACAAAAAACCCAAGATCTTAGCAGGAAGTTGCTCAACAATTTCAAAAGTGAGAAAAAGAAAATATTTTAAAACTTACCTTGTCAGCAGGTTGTGTAATTTCATCCTCATCCATCTCATCGAGATCATTGCTCAGGAGCAACGTAATGCAGTTTCTTTCAAGATGGAGCTTGTCAATCAGCCCAGCAACAGGGTTTCCCAGCTTTTTCTCTTCTTTTATCATACGTGCAAGATCTTGCCAATCCATTCCCTTGGCAAGTGCTACACGAACAGCAACAATTGCAGCCTCCACTTCTTCTAAATTATATTCAATCAATTCACCCATTTTTATGCTGTGGTCTACTTCTTTCTTGAGAGCAAGCACACGATTTTCCTGTGTATGGCATTATAGTATTGTCAAAGAAAACACCTCGATTTCAGCTAATAGCCGGGAAACAAAGCAAGATGCAGAAAAATGCATTGTTTTACATGTTTACAAATTGCATATCATAAGACCTGGAATTGACATTGTTGAAGTATAAGGAAGTTTCCTTTTATATCATAAGGCAGAGTAACACTGCAATACAATTTCATAAAATAGATGTGTTAGGTAGATGAAGGGTATTAAATTTCTGATGAGGCACAACTACAGGATGAAAAATTATAAAAAACTGTGCTGCCCAACAATCAGTATTTTGCCGAATTGGTTACAAAATTTGAACAGTAAAATTTGGATTCTTTAGATGTTTAGAAATAGCTATAGTTAGACAGCAATGAAAAATAATGATGAGGATAGAAATAATTACCACAAGACTATTTCCACCATTCAAGAATTTAGAATGAAGTATCAAACATGCATGAGTCAAGCATTACACATCAACTACTAAACAGTGAGAAGACAACAAGCTGGCTTAAGATGCCAAATCTTTTTCCAAAGTCTGCTTAAAAGCGCTACTAGTAATTTACAATTGAAAACGTGAACATACAAACCTGATCTGTGCGTATTTTGTTTAGCTTTTGGAATGCTGATTCCTCTTTTGTCTTCTTCTGCTGCTCTGACCTTTGGCTTTCAATTTTACTATAGAACTCATCCATAGCCGCATCAAATGTCTCAAATTCCATTAACTCCCTCGCTCGAAATTGATTAAGCAAAATAGGACAGAATTCATCATAAATCTGTGTGCCCAACCATGAAAAGATTCAGTACCCAGAATTCAACAGATTCTAGGGGGAAGGACTTAATAAGGCTTCCCTTGAAATCTAAAATATAAATAAAAAAACCGAAAAAACAATGAAAAGCATCCCAAAATTATAATATGACAGAAAAAAACTTCTGTATTGCAATTATGAAGATAGTCCAATCTTTTAAAGAGTTGACTAAGAGATCAGGTAAGAAATTATTCTTGCGATATAAGAATTACACATCAACAGAATAAATTGAATTTTTACCATCAGAAAGGATTTCAGATCATTAAATCAATTAAACGATCTTACCATGTACATGACGGCTACTTTGAGGACCAAATGAACGAAAAGTGCCGTTTAAATCGTTTTGTCATTGCAATGATAAAAACACAGAGACTTAACTGGATTATATATTTGCGTACTTTTTCAACCTAATGCAAGGTCATCAGAGGGTGTCAGACTTGAACAGGGAAAACAACATGTTTTCAACCTTTGCCTAGGTCACAGTATTTGTCACTTACTCCACTGACTCATCATGCTGCTCACCACGTATTGCCTAAACATAAGGAACTACAACCAAAAAGGTATTTGAAAATTTCCTATTATTTCTTGTTAAAGGGATTACGTAGTACTTGAAATCCGTTAAGTTCCGTCCAAAACCTCAACAAGTTGAGGATAAAATGAAAAAAAAAGGGCAAGGGAGGAAGATGAGGCCAGCAATGTTCATCTAGCACAGTGGAGTTCACTTGCCATATCCAACGATTTAAAGTTTGTTTCACCACAATAACTATCATATGATGGATTCTCGCTTTCCATCCCCAACAAATCCCACACACCCTCACCATCCCCAACCAAAAACTTGTTTTTCAACCTTCCTGATATACTCTAGTCAGTCGTATCTGCTTAATTTGTTTTCTTCCTCGTATTAGGAACCACTCACATGGAAGAGCGAGCCATTTTCCAACATGATTGGAGCCAGAACCACATTTAGTACAATGATTCTGGTTCCAAATTTTGTCTTTAAATCATATGGGTATATTAAATGTCAAACACAAGTACATGTTGATAGCTGTAATGTATCAATTATCCAATCTATCCTGGTACACCAAGACCACATGAAGAATCTAAAGGTTTGACAAAATTGCTCTAGCTGTCAGCAACTCTTAGAATGGAGAGACAAGGTGCCCTTGGCGTATGTGATCTTTTATGAGATCGACGGACTCATTGGAATGATTAATGGATAAAATGCTTTTCCGAAATGTATTTACAACTCATACAGCCAGAAAGCAACAAACAAAATCCTTCACTAGACCATCAAAAATATCTAGAAATGAGGAAAAACAAGTCAGATAGCGAAGTGTGATCTTCCCCATTGAATGTTGAAATGCCACAATAATATTCCTCTTTGAGTTGTTTTACCACTCAATTATGAGCCAATATAGCCAATGTTTGGTTTCCGATAACATAACTTGAGCTACTAACGACAAGAACACACGAAAGACAAAAAGGACATGTACCTTTCCTGAAATAGCATCTTGAGTTAAAGCATTTTCCTTCTTCCCAGGCATCTTGGCCTGCATCAAAATGTAACCTTCAGGGATCTTTTGACCTGAAATAACATCAGCAAGCCAGTCCTCAAACCTGGCAACAGCCTGTGACAAAGCCTGCATGGCATTATCATCAATTTTACTAACAAACTGATCATTTTTCATATTTGGGAGAAGTCCAGCATCCAGTATAATGTGCTCTGAAAGTGCAGGTCCATAGCCTAATATGTTCCCAAGAACAGTCTTCAATGTCAACTTACTAGACCGATCACCATCATTGACCTTGTTGCCCGAAGTGGGAAGCTTTTTTGCTTCATTTTTAGATTTAATGCTATCATTGCCAATAGAATTATCTGCATCCAGAGAACCACCATGGCCAGACGCACTTAAAGATGAAAGTGCCTCTTGTAACTTTGTCAAGGTGGTCTTTTGAAAAGTACGACATGCTTCAACTGGATACCGATGGCGTGACATGATTGCTAGTCCCTTGTCATCATCTCTAGTTTCATGAAGCTCAAATTAGACATTTGATCTGACAGTATTCAGACTGACAGTATTTAGATGTGACACTGTCTAGGAAAAGCTAGCATGAAATGGGATGAGCAATCAATATAACACAGTAAAATGAGTATAAAACAAGAATTTTTCATACAAGTACAAGTTGAGCACCACACATTAAACGGAAACAAGCATTGCCCAAAGTTATCTTAGGCATTACCTTATCTATATTTGACACAAGGAACTAATTTCCTAGAATCGTAAAAAGAATTTAAAACTTTGATGGGCAATCAGGTGACCAATTTAAAGTAATTCAAAGGATCAAATTAATTCATTTTACTTTTATTTGGATGTGCTTGTTTCAAGTGTTCCCAGTATTTCATCTCATTTTTCTGGAAATATCATAGATATGAACGAAAATAAAGCATGAACCTAACGCATGAAGATCAAGCATGAAAGGCATATTTGCGAACCTTCATTCCTACACTTCTGATCCAGCAGTACATGACAAAGGGTAAAATATGGAAGTGATAGTGAAGAGAAGCTGAGCACTGACCTATGGGAGCGAAGTAAGGTCATGACAACATAATTAGAGTCTGCAAGAAGAATATTCCCTTGAGAGTACAGCTCCAAAATTACATAATGAGCATGCGCCCCCAATCCAAACTGGAAAAGGATGATCTGGATGGAGAATCAGACACCACTATTAGCAATCAATAATCCCTATGATGGAAACAAGATCAAAAGGAAAAATTTCCTCCCACGAGAGAGTTCAAGATGTTGCACCCATTATTGAAAATAATAAAAACCAAAATACATATAGATCATACACGATCATAGCCCAGTTGCCGCACATCCTCAAGCCTTTTTGTGCGTATATGTTTACGCAATTTAAGTGTAAATCCAGATGGTGTCATGCTTTTGTCCCTGATCAGCATAAAAAGTTTCCTCAATGAATTTTCATGTAGAAGATGGGTGCAAAAAAGAAAAGGATCAAGTGGTTTGCCTTAAGGCCTACCGAACATATGCAGTTGTATGTAACCTCACACCACTTTCCATCAACAATAAAACCTTTTCACTTTCCCCAGACTCTGTCACTCCACTGCTGTTCATAAGCTTAAAAAGATACGTCTGAAACAGAGAAAATAAACAGCACAGACCCTTTCCCAGTCAAAAAAAGACTATCAATGCAAAATAAGTACCGCACTTGAAATAATGCAGAGAGAAACTACAAGAACAAAACGCATAATAACGAGAACAATCAGAATATAGTAAAAAAACTAAATTCATCACGTAAGGTTGTTAACCAACCAAAATCTGGCATGCATGAGTCAATGTATCTTCCACTAAAAGCCCAAAAACTAACTAAATAAAATTAACTTCACATTCAGTCAACCCTAATGCGTATAGGGGCCTAGAACTAAGAATCACATTTGTCTAAAATGGACCAGCCAAACCAAGAGGACCAAAATAGATTTTTACAGGTTCAATCAGTATAAAAGTACGATGATTCATCCAACTGATTCTGCATGCCACTCAACTGCAACCGTAGCAAACAGATTCTGTAGTTTAACCGTTTCCAATCTTTTTAGTCCAATTTGGACGAAAAATGCCAAACTTGGCCAACCAATTTTTTATGCCAGTCAAATAACTGAGTAGAAACGCATTTTGTAGATTAATGTTTTTCTTAGGGTGTGAGCCATACAAAATCGTCAATGACCAGTAGCAAAAGTGATCCAGAAAACTTGATTCAACCTACAAAATTTTGGACTAAATTTATCCACCCAATTTATACAGACGACGAAAAAAATAAATTCAATCAAAATCGCACTTTCGATGAAATGTTATAGATTTCAGATTGCAAAGATCACCATTGCTTGTCGATATCCTACATAATTCATATAACCCTTTATTTTGATTCATTATTTGTGTAGATTTGAACTGGATTATATTTAATAATTTTTTTAACAAGTTAAACTAAATCACTTATGTTGTTCACATAAACCCAAAGGATTATTTATCTTCACACAACAGCTATAGATAAAGATCTTCAGTACAGTATGCATTAGGAGCCACATACCTGCAGATATGAAATTGGACCATGTAATGTGGTGCTTATACAACATGAGACACTTGGCTGTTGGAAAGAAGTCAATAGCCAGGTGTTTGGGTGTGTGAACTACATTTTGCAGATAGAATTCATCCTGTTCTTGATTAACATGTAAGAGTGGGAAGACGCTGTGTAATTAATGTCTGTGCATATGCGTGTGTCACAGAGAAAAGGATGTGTCTTCCACCATAAAAAGAGTACCCTACGCTACCCTGTTGTACGCTTTTTGATTCTCTTAAAGAGTTCAACATTTTTTTATGTGTGATTGTATACATGTATGTGGATATATTTTTAATTAATGATTTTGTGGTACCTCCCACTTTTAAAAAAGTTCAACCAACTCAAAAAAACTTTGTTTAGCAGCTTGAAAACTTCTCAAGACAATTCAAACTCTAAATTTTCGAATCTCCAATCAACATGACTACTAGAAATCAAATGTTACGAAAAAATTATTACTTTTAAACATTTCTCCACAACATCAAATAGCAGAAAAACGTTCCAAAATTTCCAAATATCTCTATAAAGATTTGAAGACTTCAGCATAATAAAACTCAGAATTACTTTAAAAAATAGATAAAAATCGCACATCTTTTTCTAGATGAATAAGGAGGATGGATGAACATACTCATGTTCTACTTTCTTAAGGAAATAATTGATGATTTGAAAACATTAGCAATAGATTGCTCAAAAACGAAAAGCTAACAATAAAACTAAAATTAAGAAGACATTATATAAGACAGACTTGTAAAATAGTTTAGAGAATGTGAGACAGACCTATCAGCAACATATAACACAGTCATAGGAAAAAATAAACATTACTAAGATATGCATGATACATTGCATCAACTTCCTATGATCATAGACATCTGATTTGTGCCACATCTCTTATCCTTGAGATAGGCAGCCAGCTATTGATGAATATTTTACAGGCATAAATAATCATTCACTACTTTATCTGAAAATACTGGTGGTATGTTCAAAGAAAATGGTGCAAAAGACTTTTAAATGAAGATTGACTTGCCAAGTTTTCAAGGACATCTACACATCAAGGAATATTGGTAAAAGTTGAATGATTTTTTTAATATATGAAAATCATAAAGAAAAAGTAGGAAAAATTTGTTTTATGAATGTTGAAAGATGGTGCCTTGACATGGTGGGAAATATTCCAGGTAAGACGAGTTAGAGTTAATAAAGAACTAATTCATACAGGATAAAAATGAAGAAATTATTGAAATATAGATTTTTCCTCTTCATTATGAGAAAATATTATAACAACAATATCAAAGTTGCAAAGAGAAAAATAGAACTATTGTTAAGAAATTTTATAGATTATTACCTCGTATTAAATAGTACAATCTGAATCTTGTATAACTTCTCATTTTAAAAATTGTGTAGGATGAGAACTTGAAGAAAAGACAAATTACAATTTTTTTTATAACTTAGTGATGTTGTAATAACATCAGAATATGCTAAGTCTCTAATTGAGAAGGTGAGGACTAGGCCTAAGAATTTAACCAATATTTCATGACATCAATAAGAAAAAGGAAAACTGCAATAGCTTCTAAATAGGCCACAAGGTGTGCTACAGAAAATGTATCACTAAGATCTAGTTTCACAAACCTAGTACATAGGGTGGAATGAAAAATCCTTGCCCCTATGGGTCCACAAAAATGGTACAAATATGGAGAGGACGTCAATCAAATACGTCCAAAATGGAGTACAATAGATTTTCTAAAGCCTACAGAGGAAAAATTTGTCGTGATGCTAAGAATGTTCATCTTTCTTTGGCATGAACATAAGTCTCTTAACAAATAATGAGTGAGAGAGCATATCTCCATCATCACCTTCAATATTTCATTGTCTTGAAAATTGGTTGTGTATTCTCATTGCTTGCCTTTGCAAGTTCTGTGAGATTTCCTATAAGTTGTTCTGAGCTCATTTGACTTGTCTCCTTCCTCCCCTCGTTTGAAGCATTTCCATAGACCAATATGACCACAAGGATTTTCCCTTTGTCCACTGAAACTAATCTTCGTTGTACATTTTTTCTAGCATGCTTCATGACCTATTTCAAAGTCGCTATCACCTAGTTGAATTCCAAGATCTAGTCCTTGCATTTTCAATCAGAAACTTAGGCCTTTTTTATGTCACTAAAACATCACTAAGTTAAAAACCACTTGTAGATCACCTTTCTTTGATTCCCATCAGATTCAATTTGTAAAATGAGAAGCTTTATAAGATTTAAACTCTACTAGATTAATATAAGATGAGAATCTCTAAAATTTCCCTTACTGTACAATGGTTCTCTTTTTCTCTTTGCAACTTTGATATTGTTGGTCTCATATTTGCTCAATATTAAGAGGAAAAATCAAGTTTTCAATAATTTCTTCATTTTTATTCTTTATGAATTGGTTCTTCATTGGTTCTAACTCGTGTCACCTAACATTGTTCCCATTATGCCAAGGCATCACATTTCAACATGTATGAAACAAATTTTGGCTGCTTTTTCTTTAATATATGAGCCGTTCAAGTTCAACTTTTACCAATCAGCAGAAACATTCTTTGATGAATATATGACCTTGAAAACTTGCCAAGTCAATCATCATCTGAAAGTCTTTTGGATCTTTCTCTCTGAACCTGCTACTAATAGTTCCAAATACAAATAATGAATGATTCTTTATGCCTGAAAAATTTTCATCGATAGCTGACTACCTATTTTGAGGATAAGAGAGGTGCTATAAATCAGATGAATATAATCATAGGAAGTTGGTGCAATGTATAATGCATATCTTAGAGATTTTGACTGACATTTTCCAACTCAAAAAATCTACTCCTGAAAGAGTCCTTACCTTGTAAATTGGCGAATCTGGGATTTAAAACCTTGCTCTAATATCACTTGATGTACTTAGAAGTTGGGGAACAATGAAAATCGTACCTTGAATCCTTAAGGAATAAATCTACAGTTCTAGAGTATACAGGAATTGATTCGAGTGATCCTTGAGTTCACAATGATCGAAAACCAAACTCACTTAAATCTACAAGAGTTTTCTTGAATCTAGAAGGAGAGAAATCACTAGAGAGAATAAAAAAATGATTATCAGTGGGAAAAATGTCTTGTTCTACACACTTCATGAGCTTTTAAATAGATCGAATTGGTTTTAGATCGCCAAAACAGTAGGGTCTAAAAGCAAAAGTAAAAGAGAGCCTATTTAAAGGAAAAAAATTACTAAACCTACAAAAATCACGCTTTCTTCATGTGTTTTCGGCCTTTGGGCTAAGATTTATATTTTGGACGGATCTTGGGTCTTAAACCCTATGCTCTATGGTTGTCTAGGCTAAACTTTATGAGCCTTCCTTATTGGTTGCAGTTATGTTCTACATCAAGATAAGATTATTTGGTCCATTGAAGACATCTAAAATTTCGACTCCAATGATGCAAAGTGAGTGTCTCTTCTTATATTCATAAGAACCTTGCATATCACAATGTTTGATGCTTTCGAAGCTGATAAGAGCTTTCCAAAAGCCAGTACTATCACTTATTCATCAGCTATAAAAAGAATGCGGAATGCAAAATTGTGTTCCCAATATCCTCCCAAAAACCTTCCAGATAATATCTAAGGTGAAATGCCCATAGAATGTCATCCAACACCATAGAAACGTTATTAGGGTGACTAGGTTAGACGTCTCAAATCCTTGTTTGCATCTAATAACTACCCATTCCTTGTGCACAATGTCAGCCACCAACACAACAGTGTAAACCGTCTCTTGAATATGGATAGGCTTGGAAACAATGCTTACCATAAATAAGCAGGTCACCATATCAGAGGAGCCTTTCTTTCCATCACATCATTGAAGATTCCGTTTCTAACAGTCTTCGTATAATCCATGGTGAGCAACTCATTCAAGGAGTGTGGGAAACTCCCCCCAAATGTCCCAGGAACACAGCGGCCGTCTTACCTTCCCTCTTATCAGAGTACACTTCAGAAACATTCATTCAGAAATAATTTACATGAGTCCACTGGCCTCTTGAATAAACTTTAACACCAACCTGGTCAAATGTAATTAATCTCCTAGTGTAAAAGAGAGAAAAAACGTAATATTGGCATACTGGAGGTGAATCACCAAAAGCCTTGTCCACAAAGCTGGAAACGAACCCATCTCAACCTTGAACTCTCAGTTAACATTCTCCTCAACATCTTTATTGCAAGAAGGCAAAGGGGAGGCGACAAAGAAACTCCTTTCCTCAAAGCTTAACAACTATAAAATCATCTTGCTGACTCCTAATTAACTAACACTATGAACCGAATACTAGTTCTGCAGGTGTGGATTTATCTGATTCCATGATCAAAGTCTACCCAATCTAACACCAAGATGAGGCAACTCCATTCAACCTGATCACATCCCCTCTCGCAGCCTACCTTCAAGATTAATTATTTCAAATCTTACTTCACAGGATCTTTGCAGTCATCCGCCACTATATTTTCCACCTTTCAACAAGAGCACTTTGATTCCAGCTCACCAAGATTTCTAGTACTCCCTCATGTCATGTTGTGGAAATTGTTTGACGATGATGCCAAATAAGTCAAGACTTGCGATCAAGTCTTTCCATTTTGACGTCATGGACGAAAAATGTTTGTAGCACACTTCAAGGTCACTAAAAGCTTCCCCAACTAGACCCTATTACCAATAGAAAATTAAAATTAATATAATTCGAAACCCTGTGATAAACTGCAAAATATCCCCTAACCGTTTCCACCACATAGCAAAAACTGCACATTCTGAAAGGGCAAAAGGTGGCTCGAAAAAATACACACATACACATACATATTTAAGTGTTAACGGAAACTCGACCCTAGGGTTCTCAGACGTTGGAGAGGGAACGCGAGGGATCGGTTCGAACTTGCCTTGGGGGAGATATCGTAGACGTTGGCGCAGCGCATGCCGATGAGGCGGCGGAGGCACGCCACCTCCGCCGCCACGTCGGCCGTATTCATCCGTACCTTCACCATCTCCGCCGCCCCTCCTCCCTCCTCAGCCGCCGCTTCTCCGCCTCTCTACTTCCCGTTTGCCGCTCCCGAACATCACCTTCCAACAGACCGGAATGGGCGTGCAGGTAGGCGGCGCAGTCTCTGTCTACTACTAGTACGTATCGATGTTCAGGGGAGTCGTGCAGATCAGGGAGAGCACCGAAGCAAAATTGGCAGTGGCTGTCACTGATTTGATACGTGGCGCTGGGTCTTCTATCAGGATGACACGTGGCTGTCGTCGTGGTTCCATAAGTCGCCTTCAGTGTACGGCTGTCAATCGGTTTTTGGGCTTCAGCCCAAGTAATGGGCCCAAATGGAGATCCAGTCTGGCCCGTTTGTTCCCTACAAACCCCCATCTCTCTCTCTCTCTCTCTCTCTCGCTTTCTGTGTTGGTCGTATGATGATGGAACAGAAGAGCAGGGATATTGAAGGAGTACGTTACTTCCTTTTTCCGCATTTCTCTTCATAACGAAGATCAAACAGGCCTTGTACGTTCTCACAAAACAAGCCTAGAGAGGGAGAGAGAGATCTAAAGAGAGGAAAAGAACGGGAGTTTAAGAGAGAAGAGAGACAGCAGAGCGGGAAGAGAGAGAGAGAGAGAGAGAGGCCAGGGCGGGGGGTCCTTTGTGAACGAGGGCCAGTAATCTTACACAGTCCGCAATGGGGTCGGTGACTTCGAAAGATCGCGGGGCATGTGGGGCCCGCGTTTCGTCATCCGGCATCCGACGTGGAGGGGGAACATGGGTGGGGAAGGGCAGCAAGGGGTACGTGGGCCGAACACACTGCCCAAGTTACTTTGGCCCAACCGCTCTCTCTCTCTCTCTCTCTCCATCAATTTGTTGACCTATATATCCCCCATTCAATCACCTTCTTCTCTCTATCCATTAATCTATATTTCCCATAGAATCATTTCATCTCTCTCTCTCTAAAATGGGATGACTTAGTTGGAGCCCATTGGCGAGGCCGGACTAATCGACTGAGTCAACGGTTCCACCCATCGCTGGATCGTGAATCATTCGGCTTAACTGGCAGATTTTATTAATAACTCCCATCAATCAATCAAGCGATCACATCAATCAGTCAATCTGTCAATTTATGATCATCAGATCTTCTCTTAAGTGGTGGATGACGTAGAAGGCGAGGTCTTCCACGTGGCTTGAGAGGGTGGAGCGGCTGAGCGCATCCTCTCTGACAACATGTCTTCCACAGTGATCGCCATTAACTCGACCTCCCCCACTTGTGGAAGAGGGAGAGGATCAATGAGAGAGAGAGAGAGAGAGAGAGAGAGAGAGAGAGAATCTGACAGCTAGAAGAACGAGAAGAGGCCCATGATTTTACTTTGATGAGCTTTGGAGGGTTAGAAAGAGGGAGCATCTAATAACTAAAGAGAAGAGGAGACGCATGATTCTTAAGCTTTTACCTGGATGAAACCCACCCACCCATAGTATATATATCTGTAGCATGATAGAGAAAGAGAGAGAGAATATCATGGTAAGAGTCGTGATAGCTAAGCTTTCGTCTTAATGAACTGGAGTAGGATGAGAGAGAAACTGTGGACTAGAAACGATTGGTGACGGATTTCACCTCGTCTCCGAGGTCACAGAACGGTAACCACAGTGCTGCCCTTTTAGAACGCTCGTGAAAGCATCCGTACCGATGACTCGCTGGCTGCGAAGAATAAGACCCATCTCTCTCTCTATTTCACCTCGTCTATCCTTCCGCTCTGAGCTAGTCTGATCCTATCCTCCCCAACTCGACTCCACCCCGATCACGCATCCCGTTCCTTGCCCGACGAAATCGACCGAACCTTTAACATAGATAGGTAGGTAGACTGAAAGAAAGAGGGAGAGAGAGAGAGACAGATAGACAGAGATGGGTATGCATGGATTAGTTATCGCCGACGGGAAGGCGGAGGCTGCGGCGGCGGCTGCGGCGGCGGCTGCGGCAGCGGAAGTGGAGGGAGAGATGGACCTGAGGAGGGGACCATGGACTCTTGATGAGGACCTTACCCTCGTGAACTACATCTCCACCAACGGCGAGGGCCGTTGGAATGCCCTCGCCCGCTGCGCCGGTAAGCACCCTCTCTCTCTCTCTCTCTCTCTCCCCAGAAGGGTTGATCTAATTCAAGGTGACATCCTGAGCTTGCAGGTCTGAAGCGGACGGGGAAGAGCTGCCGGCTCCGCTGGCTCAACTATCTCCGCCCCGACGTCCGCCGCGGCAACATCACCCCGGAGGAGCAACTACTAATTCTCGAACTCCACCGCCGCTGGGGCAATAGGTCCTCCCACGTCCTAATTACAACATGAGGCGGATGAACACATGGATATATTCTAAATCTTTGATTATGTTTATATTCTTCACAGCTTCAAAATTGACGTAGGCCGTCTTATCATCTCAGTTTAATCATAAGACTTTTCTTCATGATCAATCGATCTCGAGGTGGATCAGGTGGTCGAAGATAGCTCGGCATCTGCCTGGGAGGACCGACAACGAGATAAAGAACTACTGGAGGACGAGGGTGCAGAAGCACGCCAGGCAGCTCCGGTGCGACGTCAACAGCGAGCAATTCAGGCACGTCATGGTGCAGCCGTGGACGCCACGGCTGACGGAGAGGATCGGCGGCGCCGTCGCCGCTGCCGCCGGCACGGGCGCCCCCTCCGCCGTAGGGATCGGCCGCTTCGGCACGGACGACTCGTCTACCGCCGGGTTTCCCTCAAACTCGCTGCCGAGGCTTCCGCCGCCGTTGTCGCCTTCGGCAGCCGTCTTCGAACAGGCGAAGTTCTGCGTCGTCGGCGGTGGCGCCGACGGCGGGTGTGGAGATGAGTGCTTCAACCAGGTGCTCGCGGGCTGTGACCTCTCGCCAGAGGGTCCGTGGGAGGACGGCGGCGACATCTGGCTCTCGCACTAGCAGCACTAACTCAGGCCGACGGTTGGCAGAAGCCCATCAAACGAAACCAACTAATCAGAAGAAAATAGGGGGAACGGACACAGAAAGGAGAGCTCATGGTGAAGGCTGTGTTCTCCCTCAGTATACACTCATCTCCTATATTCTTTCTTCTCTAATAATTTAAACTTGATCTATCTATTTCCTGGTACTTATCAAATGCACATGAAATCTTTTATGAGAGGTTCTTTCGTAAAAGATTTCACACTATTTGATGTTAGTGAAGTGTCCACAATGCCACATAAAATAATTATTCTAAGAAGGAACTGTGCTGATAATTGAAGAGCTACGTGCATGATCTTCGGACATGAAGATCAAAGGATCATTAAGTGTAGAAAAACGGAAGAAGCGATGATTAACTTGGAGAATTCATCAATTAGATTCATAGGGCCATTCTTAAATAGCATTTGCTTGGGTGGAATGAGATGATTTCATCATCAAAACCTGTCTTTATTAATAACCCAATTTCTCACAAGAATCTAATTCAAAAACTTGACAATCGTAGTGTGAATAGAATACTTATACTGAAATATTATGGCTTTCAAAAGAATTTTAAAGCTTTAAAAGACTCATGAAGTCAAATGCAAAAAAAAAAAAAAACTCTTTTGGGCCTTTGATTGACTTGTTTCTATTAGTCTCTTGATATTTTATGATGATGATGTGATACAATTACTTACTATCCTAGTATTAATTTTTGAATGGCTTATGTACAATGCATCATCATGCATTATTCTATTATCAATAATCATAATAGGTTTCAAGTGCATTCTTATGTTACATTATGGCCATGCATATATGCTGTTATTTGTGTTTGTAATATATTATGTTAATGATGTATGTATATTGTGTTACCACAATCCATACATTCCTTTACATATGTTTATAATATTCTACATTGTGCTTGATCTTGATATATTCTGGGAACTATATTCATATGTTATATTACATGAGTTTGCATATTATGTCATTGGGTTCCATGAGGGTACAAAGGCATAAAGATGGAGGAAGTAAATTCTTCTTTTTGAATGGGTTAACATAAAAATGAATGATGCAACATATAATAGACATTATAAACTCATGGATAATTATGGATAATCTCAAATGAGTCAACTCATGGATAACTATACTCTTTAGGCTTAGCTCCTCTACATTCCACTATCAAAAAAACTTCAAATACATAAAAACCCACAAATCTAACAACTCAAATGCCCCTAGCACTTGCCTCTAGATTCTTGGTTATAGGTGGCCAAATATTAATTAAATATTTGCTCATTATTTTTGATTCACGGAACAAGAAATTTCTTGTTGCCTACTAGTACTTGCTACTATTGAGGAACTTCTACTATGAAATAGACAATATCAAGGAGAAATAATTTGAACCTTACAAGGATTGATTTCAAACCATTCCTTTTGTACCTTGAAGAGTTATGAAAAGTAGAAATTAATTATTTGAGATCAAAATTAGAAGTGCTAATTTTTTTGTTATATTTGAAAAGTATTAAAGAAGATATTTCTGCTTGAGCTTCTTGATTAGGTTTTTTATGCTTATTTGCACGTTTAAGTTTCTTGGCTCTTTAAATTTCCAATTTTTCATATATATATATATATATATATATATATGTATAGAGTTTTTTTATCATTCTTCTTGAATAGTCAAATATGACTGTAGTCAAGGTTGTTCCAATAACTTTTAGATAATGTTTGCTTTGATATTATGGTATGGAGATTCCTTTATTTGTTTATAGTTCTCATATAATTGTTTTGTTGATACAATTATAAAATACATGCATATTTATTCTCACGATGGTTCTATGTAGTACAATATCTGCTTAAACTAGTATAGCACAATCTTGACAAATGAAAATTTTGTTGTGCCACAATATGTGTCATAGATGTGACATTTACTAATATCAAAGTCGATATACTATTGTCATTAATATGCACCTACTTGAAATATTTATTAAAGGAAATAAATCATATATTTAGATATGAGACATCATATATTGAGTTATCAATATATTTCTCTAGAATTTGATACATATGTTTCACAAGGTACAGTTCTCATCTTGAGATATGCAACATAATATATTGACATATATCATAGATGGATTTTATATGCGTAGATATAGAAGTTCACATTTATAATTAGATCACAATGTAAAATCCATGCATTGAAATTTGTTCTCAATAAAGTGAATTATTAATGTACTTCTTCTTAGTTTGATACTTCTATTTTCCTATATCTATTCCATACAAAATAAATTTGTATTTTGTATACTATCTTCTGTAAAATGTAGCTCTCATTTATTGAAATATTGAACTTGATAAAAAGAATTATTTATGTATTACTCTTAATTTCAGTACTTTTTTGTAAAAATAAATTTCCACCCACTGAAATATTAACTTTTTTAAACTACATTTGTTAGTGACATAACTTTTTGTATTAACATATGAAGTTTAACACACTTCATTATTATGTAAGATTGTTTTTAGTGTATTGACAAATCACTTTATTTACTTTTTTATTTCATATAATTATTATATGCACCTAAATATGAGACTTTATATAATATACTATTAAAGCTAGATTTTTGTGTTTTAATTAGTTTTATTGTTTTATTTTATTTTTTTAACTTGCAAAATAAACATAAGATATTTTGTTAATTTTAGAAGTCCAAAGTTAAAATACTTAGCGTAATTTTAGATTATTTAAAAATACAAAAGAATAAAGTATACAAATATTTTGCTTGCTAACAAGCTAACACTTAGCAATTGACCTGGAGAGATGCTACGGTCAAATGGGTAGACCCAAATCAGGGGAGCCACAAGCTTGGCTCGAGTGGCAAATGACTCACTCTATGCACATGTGCGTCACTCCCGTTCCATGTCTTGGTGGCCAACCGATCATGGGGCAAGGAATGCCCATACACACGTGTATGTAAGGGCAGACCACCTTTTTACTTTCTCCTAAGATGGTTATGAGCATTATTTTTTTTCAAGATAAGAGATCTCTAATGAGAGATCGTAACTTTAATTTATATTCAGCTCATGTGTCCATAATACTTCTGATGTGAGACTAACCATTTTGTCCATTTCAGCACAGCCATCTAGAGCACAGTGTGATCTAATGATTTTTAGTGAGTCACATCATCAAAATAACCATATCCTACGGCTGACAAACTACCATGATACTAGATGTGTAAAGTGATCCATCGGTGGTTCACAAATCTAATGCCACTCAACACACATGTAGCCACATGGGTTGATCTACATCACTCAACGCGCCATGTGACCAAACACATTTAATCCAACGTCTCTCAAAGTGCCACGATACTAAGACCTTAAGTTCTTGACGTATCACTCTTAGGGGTATAAAGATAATAATTAATTATTATCTGGTAAAACATATATTATTGATTATCTTTAAAATTCTGATGGCATTTGCAAATACGACAATTCATTTCCTACCTTCTTTTGTGCAATCAATACCTCTAATAGTCAACAAAGCTCATTCCTTCCTCCCATGATTGCACTTAAGGCCTTTGGTGAGTAGTTAGCTCTTCCTTTCTCCCTTTAGACAACGGTGACAATGTGGTCAACCCTTCTTTCAGTGGATCTCTCTGGCAAGTGATGCAATGCTTCCGAATGATACTTTTGTGACTTCTGACATGGTGTGACACGTACGAATGAAACTAAATCACCACACTAATGTCTCCAGTTGCCCAAGAGATAGACTAAACTTGGACAACAATTTAGTTCTTGCTTTTAGCATTTAATTACATGTTTTTGTCATTTATTTACATTTTACAGCAAGTTGTTTCTGTTTTATGTACGTTTTAATTGAAATGAGTATGTTCTTCTTCTAAATCCTCTAAAACTTGTCTCAAATCAAGTTAAGATCATTTTCAACTTAATTTTTATTGATTTTTACAGCTAAATCTAGATATATTCATATTCCCAACATTCTATGAATAATGAGTATTTTTCTATTTTTGAATGTAAAATCATCAAGATTAAAGACTGATTAATGAGTGTTCAATTGTTAAAACAAATTAAAGATATTCATAACTGATCTCATGTCATATGTGTGAATCCTTGAGCTCACATTCGTCTGAAAATAATGGTCACCGTGAAAACAGATTGACCGTCTTTCTCTCTTTCTTTATTTTTATCTTATTTCTCTCTCTCCCTCTCTCATGAGATCTTTCTTCTCTTTATCTCTCTTGAGATCTCTCTCTCAATCAATCTCCTTCACTTTCTCTCTCTTAATCAATCTCTTTCTCTCTCCTTCTCTTTCTCTCTTGTGAGACTTTTCTCTCTCTCCATCTCATGTGAGTTTTCTCTCCTCTTCTCTTTCTCTCCCTTTCGTGAGAGATCTGATCCCTTCTCTCTCTCATGAGAGCTCTCTCTTCTCTCTTTCTCTTTTCTTCTTTTTTTTTCTCTACTTTCCTTCCTTTATTCTTCTCACCTCACCTCTTTTTTTATATATATTAAATATTAATAAAATATAAAATCACTTTATATAAATTAAATTAGTTTTCACAATAAATTAATCAATCTCCCTATGTTCGACTTGAGACTTACTTCTATATTAATATTTTATTAGGTCTTAGTTATAAATATTATTAGATAATGTGCATTTAAATACATCGACAAGTGCACATCATATACTAATATTAAACATAAGTTTTCATGTATTGATATATAAAGCTTAATATACTTTGTTCTTGTAAAATTTAATTTACTCATATTGACATATATAGATTATATACTTTATTAATGGGCAATGTAACTTATCATGTGTTGATATATGAACCTATTGGTGTTAAAAGTTTTAAATTTTTTGATGAATGTAATTTATCCACTAAGTGTGATTCACCATAAGTTAAATAACATACTTAAAGTAGAATAAATTCAATCAATGACAAAATAGTCTTTATATATACTTTAGATAATTAAAATGC